ACCATGTTTCCAGTGGTAGTTGAAGAAGCTCTCCTAAAAATATAATCATATAATAAATATATACATATAATATCATATAATATAAATATATTATCATGGAAACCATACATTTATGTTGCCATAGAAACAACCCCAGAGTGATGGCACTCAGAAGACTGCATATGATATCAAATGAAGCTTGAAAAAGAGATAAGTAATACAACATACTTTGACCCTGTCATTTAACCAACAGATGAAGCTGTAAAGTTCTTAAAACAGTCTATTTCAGTCCTCCTTAGTCCTTTTTGAAAAATTCACCTATATAATTTTGAAGCTGATATGTGGGTTCTGACTCTTCCGGATCTGTCATAGTTGGCCTCATCACATCAACAAGATCTTGTCGTAATATATTTGATGTGTACCAGTCTAGTTCTAGTACACAAGATTTCAACCCATTGCCTCTGGGAGATGAGAGTACAGGCTTGTGTTACATACAAACTCTTCAATTACAGCCTGTGTTTCAGTTGTAATATTTGTAGATGACCCAATACATTAATTGAATGCATCTTGGTATTTCTGGCTATTGAATAGCAGAGTTGGGGGCCTGGTTTTTCCTCATTGAACAAATGCACTAACACAATAACAACCTGTGAGAATGGTGTATCATCAAGACTAGAAAATCTGTGTCTGGGGAATGTACAATAATGTTCTTTGACTGATCAAAACGTCTTCACATGTACTCATCTTGGTGTCTGCTTCTTCTTGTATTGACAGTAGATTGTTATCAACATATGATCGGACATTTAGACCATCACTAGTGAGAATTTTGCACATGTAAAGCATACTTTTCTGTTCTTCAGCTTGGCTGAGTACTTATCTGTTTGCCACTCGCAAAGGATAAGACTGTTTAGTTGGGTCTTGTTTTGGCTGTTCCTCAAAAATTCTTACCAATTCTTAGGGATTTGGTCCTTGGATCATGAAGGGTTTTGATGTTCCTCTTCTCATTCTCTCTGGTTCTTTTATTGAATCTATGTATTTGATAGCTGTCAGTTAAGAAATCTACCCTCTCTGACTTCAGTGGTAGCATGTCAAACACTTGCTCTGCCAGTTCTTCAAAGGTGGATAAACGCTGCACTAAGCTGTGATAGATAGCATTACCATCATACAGTATATGTAGAATGATTCATCTTTTGCTGGTCTTGAAGGGTGATGTTGGGAGCAAGAGCATTTAGGAGTGTTGCTTTTGCTGCCTTCGCTGGCAGACCATCAGGAGACCCTAGCGCCCATGACATGACTAAGCGGATACTCTAAAACTTTCTTGTTCTCTTGAGATATAAGAACTAACTGTCAAAAAACATTCCTTTCAGCTCTAAACTTGTCAGATGTTATCAGGATGTCCTTCTCGATTGTCACAAATGTCTTCATCTTTATTCTTTTCACTGGATCTTGAAAACTTTTGGTGTCACTCACAAGTCTTTTTCAAATTCCACCTTGCCTCTGGATCTGACATGCAGTAGGTCTTCAGCTACATCTGGAACAGGTCGCATTCCTGATGATAGACAGTAGAGTTGATTATAGCATCTGTCTCAAAGGGGTCTAAAAAAGTTACCTATTGCGGCCCTTGCTTTTGAAACACCTTCAGAGCCTGCTATGTTTGCATGGTAGTAGGCATTTGGATTGGTGATAAATCCAATTACCCACCCCCTCAGATTTCGCACTCTGATTGATAGTCTGTTCAGTGGTTTGATCAACTGGCAAATGTAGTGCAGGTACTTGGGACCTGTTAACACTAAACCCAAGGTCTCTCAATCTGACATATTGTGCTGTTAGATATATAGCATAGTTGGGCTGGTCAATTGCGAAAAATAGTGGACATAGGTCTTGTAGACGCTCAACAGAGTAAGTGGAGGTCAAACTCATTCTCTGCTAGCTTGGATGAATCATGATATTACATGACAATAATCTCTTGTGAGAGCATGGGGATTGGTAGCTGGCTGATAAACTTGTCTTACAAATTTCTTTGTAGCAACTCCAGGAAGATTTTGGGCACTCTGATTGATCTGTTATAATGGTTTCCAGTTAGCACACCTTCAAGAGATCCACGAGCATATATGCCAGCTTCAATGATGATCTCAGAGAAACCGTGAAAGCAAAGCCAATGAATCAATAGCCAGAAATACCAAAATGCATTCAATTAATGTATTGGGTCATCTACAAATATTACAACTGAAACACAGGATGTAATTGAAGAGTTTGTGTGCAACACAAGCCTGTACTCTCATCTGAGTCATCTCCCAGAGGCAATGGGTTGAAATCTTGTGTACTAGAACTAGACTGGTGCACATCAAATATATTACGACAAGATCTTGTTGATGTGATGAGGCCAGCTATGACAGATCCGGAAGAGTCAGAACCCATATATGAGCTTCAAAATTATATAGGTGAACTTTTCAAAAAGGACTGAGGAGAACTGAAATAGACTGGTTTAAGAACTTTACAGCTTCATATGTTGGTTAAATGACAGGGTCATAGTATGCTGTATTACTTATCTCTTTCAAGCTTCATTTTTTGATATCATATGCAGTCTTCTGAGTGCCATCACTCTGGGGCCTATCACATAGCACGTTCTGCAAGCAAATGTAAAAGTATCACTATAGAATAGAGATGTGTCAGATATACTAGAATAGTATCTCATACAAATGTGAACTTCAAAGAATGTAAACCTGTACTAAGATATATATTCAGCCAATATAGTTTACTCATACATTTGTTGTTTTCTCTAAATGGCCAAATGAATAGTCAAATGAACAATAATTTCATTAAGCCTTGCGTTAACAGACCAAAGTTGTTTCTATGGCAACATAAATGTATGGTTTCCATGATAATATATTTATATATGATATTATTTTTAGGAGAGCTTCTTCAACTACCACTGGAAACATGGTAACATAAATATCAACATTATTTATTCGGTTTTTATTATACTCATAAATTACAAAGTGGTACATGTCTGGTGCCACGCCCACTTCTTATAGACTTTGGGGGGGGGGGGGGGTTCATTCATGTATGATTATGGACCTTTCATACTAATGGTGTCATTCTAATCTGCAATAAAATGAAAGAATACAGTTGTAGTGGGTTTTTGAAACCAATTATCAATGTGAAAATTCATCACTAGAAAAAATATCAAACTTCAACCAAGTTGCAGTGGGGCAAAATTGCCATAAATTGTCCAGCTCGGAAACACATTTTCTTAGTTGCTATAGCAACCATTACTCCAAATAATCCCAAAGTTTCAATACAGCTCTGTGTTGACCCCAGGAAGGTTTTAAGATCTTTGAGAGATACAGGACATTTGATTTTTGTATATATTTATTATATGATTATATTTTTAGGAGAGCTTCTTCAACTACCACTGGAAACATGGTAACATAAATATCAACATTATTTATTCGGTTTTTATTATACTCATAAATTACAAAGTGGTACATGTCTGGTGCCACGCCCACTTCTTATAGACTTTGGGGGGGGGGGTTCATTCATGTATGATTATGGACCTTTCAACTAATGGTGTCATTCTAATCTGCAATAAAATGAAAGAATACAGTTGTAGTGTGTTTTTGAAACCAATTATCAATGTGAAAATTCATCACTAGAAAAAATATCAAACTTCAACCAAGTTGCAGTGGGGCAAAATTGCCATAAATTGACCAGCTCGGAAACACATTTTCTTAGTTGCTATAGCAACCATTACTCCAAATAATCCCAAAGTTTCAATACAGCTCTGTGTTGACGCCAGGAAGGTTTTAAGATCTTTGAGAGATACAGGACATTTGATTTTTGTATATATGGGACCACATGCACGAGGGCTTCGATCAAATTATTGGCTATTTCATTACCATAGTTCTGTTGCTATGGCAACATAAATATATGGTTTCCATGGTTATATATCTAGTTTTTTAAAGGAACTTCTTCAACTACCACTGGAAAGATGGTAACATAAATATCAACATTATTTATTGGGTGTTTAAACTTATGAATTATAAACTGGTACATGTCTGGTGCCACGCCCACTTTTTTATAGACTTTGGGGGGTGGGTTCATTCATGTATGATTATGGACCTTTAATACTAATGGTGTCAATTCTAATCTGCAATAAAATGAAAGAATACAGTTATAGTGTATTGTTGAAACCAATTAACAATGTGAAAATTCATCAATAGAAAAAATATCTAACTTCAACCAGGTTGCTACAGGCCAAAATTGCTGTAAATTGCCAGTTCGGAAACACATTTTCTTGGTTGCTATAGCAACCGTTATTCCAAATAATCCTAAACTTTCAATACATCTATGAGTTGACCCCAGGAAGGTACCCTGCAAGTTTCAGACACATATCTTTAATATTTAATAAAAGTTATTAAGAAAGAGTTGAGACCCCCTCGAAAATAAACTCGGTGGGTTTAAAACCTAGAAAAGCTATCCATAATGGTCGCTTTTTGGGCGTCAAAGTTCCAAATCATTAAATCTGACATGTTTCCCGAGATAAATAATGTGGTTCAAATTTGCTCACTGACGGGCCCACCTTTGGCTACCATATGAGCCCCTAACAGGTTTTACTGTATATTATTAACAAATGTGAATGGCTATCTGAGTTGCAAACTTTTTGCATTATAAATATACAGGGTGTCCAATGATTTTTGTTTTTCACACATATAGATCCCATTTTTTACATACACTTCAGTGAGGGGGTCGCTATAGGAGACCATGTACAACTTGTTTGGTTATTGCAATATCTTTGTTCAGAGATATAATATTATTGCCATGTCTCTGCTCCAATAGACTAAAGACTTCCCCCTCTTATATAAAAATAATTTTCACAGGCCAATTCAAAGACTCTGAAATAATTAATAGGCCCGCGTAGGAATTGAAGGTTAATCCCATCACAAAATATTTCGGAATATCGATTTCAACATGAATTTTAAACAAGAACCCTGAATTGAACAAGTGAAAGAATTTCTTACTTTCTTCCAAACTGGGAGTTTGTTCAGGAATGAAACAACATTTTCATCTAGAAAAGGAAATCTTGACTCTCTCCCATGATCAGTGATTATCCTGGAATGAATATACATCAAGTACATTGATTATGTGAAATAGGCAGAAGATTAAATATACATACATGTATACACATTTACCCTAATGCAATGAATATACAATGATATTAGCAATGATAGGTTGAAATATCTGTTTTTATATTTCATAATACTGTGCAAATATTAAATAGGTTTATTTCATTAATATATTTCTCATGGCATAATAGACAATCATGCGACAGATCACTTTTTTTCATTTTATGTCTGCTTTCAATTCAATATTGTACAATCGATTAATCCTTTGCAATTACAAAGAACATACTGAATGCAGATTTTAATAAACTTTAACTGAATCAAAGTTTATAAATAACAATGCGTATAAATATAGTCACAAACCTATCATCACGTCCAAGATTTCTGGCGGAAATTCTTTGAACCTCCATCTTTATTTCCTGCACAAGACCTGACCATCCACCAGTGTTGAATTTGCCCCTGTGTCTTGAGTAGCCAGCCAACTGCTCATCTGCCCCCATTCCAACCAAGATCACCTACAACAATGTACATGTATCTCATGTCCTATAATGGGATTGTATCCAAATATTGACTACTGTAAAAATGAAATTAATGTCATCATGGTTAAACTGCCCTTCTCTCCCCTATTTAAAGAACAAGCATATGTGGTGACATATGTGGTGACATATGCAAAATGTCACCACATATGCCATTTGTTACAGACGCTGAACATCAAACACCTACCACTGACCTCCGAATGTTGAACACCAACCACCAGACACAGTCTATATTATATAATGAAACAAATATATCTTAAGAATAAATTGTCAATAGTGAAAATGATTGTTTTGAACCCAGCCCCTTGCAGTCTACATTGAATACACACCCTAGCTGGAGATACATATTCTATAGGTTCCCCTGGGTTATCTGAGTGTAGAATTCCATGACCCTTGGCTGCAAACCATATAGCACATCCTATACTATCATCCAGCACAGAACACAATGGGTGGACTAAGTCTCTAATTTGCCTTTCTCTCCTCTCTTGTAACTCAGCTTTTGTAACATTTACCTGGATTCAAAGAGCATTATCGTAAGAGTGTTGATGATCATATTGGAAATATGAGGTTCAGTTTTTTGTAGAGTTGAGTTCAAGCTCTTATCTTATTATAAAATTACAGCTGATAAGATGAATTGTTTTCATTTAACTGACAAACTTGCAATTGTATGGTTGGTCAGAACAGGGCTACAAGTCATGAAAGACCAGGCAATACATTCACTGGCATTGCTTAGGTTAAATTAAATTAGACAAACGGTGAATAAAGTTCCAAGTACATGTATAACCAACCAGTATTCACCATTCTTTTGGAATCTATTTCATTCACTGTTGGTCAAGTTTATATTCATGGCAAATGTCAACAGCTTAACACTGATATAATAAAACAAATATTTCATTCTTTCTTTGGAGAACATCTGTGGCATTTTCAGATGATGACATTCCATTAAACCTCTAAGCTTCCTGGAATATCACTTGGAACGATGCACAGCTATTCACACAAACATAGTTTGAATATTTGTATAATACTTGCTCTGAGACTCCACTTATTTCTCAATTCAAAAATACATGTATATTGTATAGTGTACCTTGACGAAGTTCCAAGATCTATTTGGGTTTATCTTCTGTAATTCCTGAAGACCACTTAACCCTGTTATTCTGTCCGGGACAATGAACTGATCAGACTCAGGTGTTCTACAAGTAAAATAACAAGGAATTAACATACCATATGTTGCAGTCATCAACCGCCGAATGCAGTTACAGATGCAGGCCGCCGTAATAAAAAATGGAGACCATAACAATATGTTATCACTTTTAAAGGGTGACATTATTATAATTGCCATATTACATTTTGTACTCTTATCAGTCTAATTACTGAATTCACAAAAGTGGCCTTTCCCTGGTGTGTCTAAGCTAAATCAATCAATTTGCATTTCACTCCTCAATTTCACTGAATTTAAAGAGGAGTAACATGCAAAATGTCACCACCTGCCATTTGTTAAAGATGCCAACTCAGCCAACTGCTGATCACCATCCACAAAAAGTTGGAGACTATAACAATATGTCACCACGTGTGGTTGTGACATAAAAAAGAATTCAAACAGAATGATCAAAGATTATATTGGATCTAAAGTGGAAGAACTCAGACAACCAAGTACTCTTTTAAGCCTTACCTTTCTCCATGTTTCTGTTTCTGTTGCTTGCTTTGTCGTTCAAATGCAACATTTAACAGGTCTATTGGCTCATTTTTGTCCACATATCTGCAATAAAACAAACACATATAGTGTGATATTTATGCACATGTAGCAGTGTTCAAAATTCACATATTCACAATTCTGGCCATTTTCATAAATTTTCTCATTTTCAAGTGGTTGCAAATGGATTTTCAGGTGGGTGCAAGCCTTTTTTTAAATCTCGGGGGGTGCACCCATTCACTTTAATGCTGAGAAGATAACTGAGTAGTATAACCAGTCTCATGTAATACCTTCTCTTAAGGAACCATTTCATCATGAAACAGTGTTTAAAATAACAAAATATTTTTATATTGGCTTCATAATAATATCAAAATGCTATCAAATAAACTCTACCTGTCCGCTAATGCTGTTATCATGATGGAATCTATACCTCCTGAGAATAGAATGGCCACTCTAGAATGACGACACTTTTCTTCATGTGACATGTTAAGCCTCACTGTCATATTATCGCTACTATTATCACCACTAGCTGGATTCACTACCATTTGTTTTTTGATACAGTTTGAACACAATACTGGTTGTCGTTCAATTCTTGTTTTTATTGCATTTCCAAAAATGTTTATAAATTCCTCAGCTAATTTGTGGTCTTCAGCTGTGGATAAGTCCAATATACTTTGCGTTGAATCAATAGGGAGATTCTCATTGGCCAATAATTTCAAGGCCTCTGATTGGTCAGCATCTGGTACAGTATCATTAAATTCCCTCAATGAAGTGTGGATGAAAACTTCAGATGATTCATTCAGAAAATTAGAGGCTTTTGATACATCCTTCATCTCAATACTAGAATCTACATTATGACTAGCAGCATGACCAAATGAAACTGAAGGACTTACATAAGGATAAAGCACTGTTCTAACTGAGTTAACTCCCGAATCATTAACACCTGCAAAAAGTGATATATTTGAAATTAATGTTTCTGGTGTTATTGATATTTTATAGATGCCCGCTGCAGGTATTTCTTGCCAATCTTCTCCATATTGGTCCAGTTTGATAGAAGACAGACAGATTTCTGATGAACCTTGGGAGTGGTTCAGAAGTAAACTCCTTCGACCAAAAATGTCTCTCCCAAACCAGAGATTATTTTGTTTTTCCTGAAAACAAGATATGATGAACCACTTAGGATTTTTCAATGTTTTATTACAGTGGGAATGTGTAAAACAAATCAAGATGTAAAATTTGTTAGGTATTCAAGGTAAGAGAGAAGAATTACAGTAAAACCTGTATATATCTGAAAACTTCAATCTAAACACCTTTCAATGTGAACACTTTTTCATGGTCCCTATTGACACAAATATGAAGAAACCTTGAAATGTGAACACCTGCTAATCTGAATACAACTGGCATTCAGATTAGACAGGTTTTACTGTATAATCATGCTATCTAAGTCGACAATCCCCAAACAAAAGTTAACCATCTTGTACAAATCTAGAGTAGAGTTCACAAAGGGAAATATTACAATGTAGAATTTAAACATCATAGATAAATAAAAAGACTTGTAATATTTGGCCTGTTCTGTACCTGCCAATATATGAATGCCCAGGGTCCCTGAATTTGCCTCATTACATCTAACAGCTCATTGTCTGTCTCACATCCTCCCAGTCGACTGTGTAGTACATCAGTATCATTCTCACGGGCATCCACCTGCTCAAGTATAGCATTCAGCATTAGATATTTCATATCAATAATGTATCTATTTTATTGATCATATATACAGTAAAACCTGTCTCATCCAAATGCAACAGGGACTGGTGTGTTCAAATTTAGAGGTGTTCGCCTCTTAAGGTTTTGCATTCAAGGAATTCTGGATTTTGAAAAAATGAGAACGCAATTTAAATATTCATAGTTTGATTGACAACATAGTTTCATGGCATTCTAATAATAATATATTTGAGAATCTGATTTTTGATGAATTTGTTAGACATGCTAAAAAGCTAAAAAGCTTAAAAATGGGACCAGAAAAAAGTGTTCAGATTTGGAGGTGTTTGGATTAGATAGGTGTTTAGATAGACATCAAGGTTTTACTGTAAATTAAATCATTACTTATTACTATAAGGATCGATTTAAAAACATGTACAACTAGAAATCGGCAACTCCAAGGAGTAGCAAATCCCAACGAACACTATATAAATCATGAATCTGTTCAGCCACAATGTAATATTTACCATCTACTCTTCCCTTCAATAAACACTTGAGATCATTGTAGTATCATGTAACCATACTTAAAGATATCTCAAGTAATGGTGAATTTCTGCTTTAGGCAGCCACTTTGAATTTTCCTGATGCACAAATCAGAAAAATGATACCATATTTGTGATCTATTTGTAATATAGCCATAATTCTACGAGATCACAAAATTATTGCGAAAAAATCCCACATTAGGTGGATATTTTGAATTTATGGGGCCCGTTTCAGAAAAACGATACAATATTTGCAATCTACTCGAAGTTGCCTTTCATTTGAGTATAATAACGCTATACTTTAAAAACTCAAAACTCAAAAAAAATCTCTTTTACTGTCCCAAAACTAGGACTTTTCAGTCCTGAAAATCAGACTTTTCTGTCACAACAACAATGTTGGGTTTTTCACAGGTTTTATTAGCAGCTGGCAACGTGTGATTCTCTTTGGTTTTAGTTTACAAAAATGCTTGTTGAATTTTGCAACTTCCGATGTTAAAATCAGTATTTCCCAAATTTTCAGGGAGAGTTTTCATTCGTCAGAATGTGTGTAAAATTTCACCTCAATTCCTCCAAATATTTCTCCATTCCAGAGCAGAACATTTCCATCCTTGTCTAACACAGGCTGTGGGGTAGGTGAGCCTTGAAGATGTAGTACACACCCAGTGAAATATCCTGCAATGTTAAGTTATGCAAATTAATACCCAATTTAGATCATATGAGACACCTTTCAAGTACTTGGTATCCATTTACATGTAAGTACATATTCTCTACTTTGATATAATATCTAATGTACAATGTACAGTACATGTAAGACCTAAACTGAGAAAACAAAAATCGAAAAATTGAAAGAAATAAAGGTTGTTATATTGATGGTAAGTTGAAGTAACTTGATGGGGAGCAGTGAAATGGGTTAACCTGTAACAGCATCTGCTAGCCTCTGCTCCACACATATCTGCATATCTGGCCCCCTTCTTGCAAGTCTTTCTTCAATTGTTTTGTGTCTATCATCATTACAACTACACAGTACAAGGCTGATACCACACATATTGCGGAGTTCTAAAAAAGTTGAAAACAACATAATGTGAAATGTACAGGGTGTTTCATAATGACGATCCCCAATCCACAGTCATCTCTAGTGAGCATGGCCCTATAATCCATATACCGTAATAAAGCTTATTAAATTCTGGATTCATGTGCCAAATATTAGCATGACTGGTCTTTGATAATTTGTGAGCCGTTGTTTGTTAGTCACTATTCCATCAATTTACATGATTTGTGGCTAATTAAAATTTCTTATGGATTTCAAGAGATGAGAAGGTCACTATATAAGCCATTGCATTATCATAGAGCTCTCTGGGTATTTCTTTGTGTTTGTATACCCTTGTCATTTAAATATCATTAAGATATATCCTCAGCATCCATCAAATGTTATAAGTTTGTACATTACTATAGAGAGTCATACAGGTTATCATACATTTTGGAAAACATGTGGCTTTCAGGTTTTATGATAAAGGGTAATCAAAGTTGTTTCACTAAGTCCAGAATTGAACAAGCTTTCATATGATATATAACATAATTTCAAATGGGTTGCGTCCCTGGGACTCAGAAATTTTAATGGCTAGCGCGAACACTGTATGGGGGTATGCTTTTTTAGGATTAGCAGCTGATGGGCGGACAGTCATTATGAAACACCCTGTATAGGAGAACTCTGTCGAACTTCGACGTGAGGGGGTTACTTGGCCATGGGGCTATCATGGGGTTATTTTGACCATGGCAGGGCTTGCATTAACGGCGTCCCATACATGTTAAGGACTCAAAAATAATTTGGAGGACGCAAAAATTGAAAATATTTCCGTTTTTTGGACGCAACATTTTTTTAGGTCAATACTACAATGTGTTTACAACGATGCCTAACAAAAACAAATAATTTTTATCTCTCACCTTTATTTGAATCGTAAATAAGGCTTAACATGTTGAATATTTACAAGTAATCTAGTTCAACAAGTTAAACCCAATACCACGGCTTTCATTAATAATCTGAGTGTTCTTGTTGCCGTGGTTGGGTTTAACTTTCGTGCTATGCTTTCATTGGTTGCAAATTTTCACTATCAGTAATTAATAAAACGCGCATGGAATTCCATGCGCTGCCATAGGCCATCATTAAAATTTTTTGCATTAAGGGCCGAATAGGCAAGGATGTTAAACCTAGGGCGGGCCACAAGAAATTTCAGATAAGAAATAAGGCCCAGACTAGGTTTCACTTGTTGAACTACAAGTAATCATGATTCTCTCGAATTTTTTCGACTTTGTTTATTTTTAGATTTGAAACCATGACATGCCACAGTTTTTCCTATTCAGAAACAAATATTAGGTTATTCATGAAATAAAATGTATTCATTGTCGAATGAACGAACATGCATTTATTAAGTCCGTACTTAACGTTTACTTCCGTTTTAAATTCGCGGCAAGAAATCAAATTGTTGTGTTGAAGCAAAGACAATCATGTGACAAAATTAACTTCAAGGTGTTTTGGTAAAAATGCTTTTAAAATAAAGTTATACCTCAAAACAGGCTAGAAATAGGGGACACACTTTTTTTCCAAAGGACACACTTTTTAAAAAAAATTTCGTCCTTGGGACTCACAAATTTTCTAACCTAATGCAAGCGTGGTATAGGAGAACTCTGTCGAACTTCGACGTGAGGGGGTTACTTGGCCATGGGGCTATCATGGGGTTATTTTGACCATGGCCGAAAGTTCAAATTTCTGTGTTCAGCCATATCGGATAGAAATCTCGCCCATTTTCAAAAAATAAACATGGTGGACTGCATAGATTGAAATTATAAGCCAATGTCAAAATAGCCCCATGGGCGGAGTAGCCCAACAATGAATGATACCCATACGTCAAAGATTGACGTATGCCCCCTACATAAGTGTGTTGAACTTCGACGTGAGGGGTTACTTGGTCATGGGGCTACCATGGGGCTATTTTGACCATGACCAACGATTCAAATTTCTGTGTTCAGTCATATTGGATAGAAATTTCAGCCATTTTCAAAATGACAAAAAGCAGACGCTGCATAGATTAAAATTATAAGCCAATGTCAAAATAGCCCCATGGGATGAATGATACCCATACGTCAATTGACGTAGGCCCCCTACATAAGGGAGTTTCATTTTTTGACTCAGGTCAGCGAGGCTAGTGAGAACACATTGGAAGGAGGGGGTCTAACTAGACTATCCTCTAGTCTGAATTTTTTTTGAAATTTGGAATGAAAATATTCAGACTATAGCCCACCTATGTTAAAATTTGGGATTGAAAATTATTTGTTTACATAGGAAGTGCCATTCAAAATGGCCAATTGGGTAGATTAATTTGCATATTTGTTACTTCCCCTAGCTTTATTTCCACTTGACAATATGCTGTGCCTAAAATTGATAATTGTGTGCAGGAAATTTCCTGTTTTTTCCCACAGGAGGGACATAATGATCAATAGACTGAATTCTCAGGAAATTCAGTCTATTGGATATAGACTAGGGTCTAACAAATGTTGATTTATTTGGTGGTTGAAATATTACGTACTTGGCTTGTATTACGTATAGTATTGATTAAAATAACAGCCCTCTATACACAGTGAGAAACCGATGCATACAGTGGGGATCATAAAGAATTGCAAAAAGCTATATAAATTACATGCTGTCGCACATGTAATTAAATTCTTACCTCAGTGTATTCAGTGCTCTATTTTCTCCGTCTTAGTAAGTCCAAATATCAGTACTGTCAACCCCTAAAGATTTTCTCGCGGGACAGATTTTTTAGACCCAGTGCCCAAAATTCGCGGGATTTTGCGGGACATCTACTAAATTCGCGGGATTTTGCGGGACATTTAAGGGATTTGCGTGATTACGCTAATAGGAGTTTTTTTTATCAAATTCGCGGGATTTCGCGGGACCATTCGAGGGACAAACACCTTAATTGCGGGACAGTTAACAGGTGTACCGCCAAAAACTTCATAGAGGGACAGATTTTTTAGACAAAGTGCCCTAAATTTGCGGGATTTCGCGGGACATCCACCTAAATTTGCAGGATGTCCCGGGACATTCAAGGGATTTGTGTGATTGGGACTAATGTAAAAGCGTGTAGAAGTACTTAAATCAAACTTTCAGATACTGATTAATCAAATATAATGCACCGTTACATTGTAACTTAAATAAACGTCAACACAATTTCACAAAATACGCATAGGAATATTATTAAACTTTATTGTAATTTATCAAAAACAAAAACAATGCTTCAGGTGTGATTACCGTAATCTAACACGAAATTCAAAAATTCGGAACAATACTTTGCACTTCTGGCGTCATGACCAACTATGAAACGCTTACCCCCATAATGTTATATATTAAAATGTACCTATTCATATACTGTAGGCATGGGCTTTCAATTGAAAGCCCATGATATAGGGGTTCGATTAATCTACATCAAATTATAGGGAATGAGGTTAATTTTCTAGATAGGGTTTGTATAAAAAACCGGGTACCTGGTAGTAAATCCTCCATGCTGGGTTCAAACTTGGTACCCGGTCGAAAAAAAAAAAAAAAACGAAATATACGAATACACAACATAATTAGATCATTAGAAAACGTGTAAGATTTGTTTTGAATTTACAAAAATGTATGTAACTTCCTTCAAAATTGAGCTAGAAGCTTCAAATAAAAAGCATTTTAAGGCTCTTTTCTTCCTCTATCATCTTGGTCATATTTCCATTGGTAATGAAGGGGGGGGGGGGCACCCCCACCTGGCTACGCCAATGACATTGTAAGACGATTTGAAAAACAAGACAAATCAATCTTACTCTATTTTCAATAGTTCGTATGTTGGTACGTGAATTGTTTTGATTATGATTTAAATCTGTAAATAGCTATCGTTGCTTTAGCAGAGAGGTGACGTGTGTTAATTTGCATGATGCAACGTGTAAGATTTTGATTATTAATCATAATTTAAGTTATCCCAATTTATGACAAAATGTCCACTGAATTGTAAATTGTTATGTCTTACAATGTCATAGGCGTAGCCAGGAGAGGGTGCGATGGTGCGATCGCACCCCCCCATAACCAATGAAAATATGGCCATAACGATAGAGGAAGAAAAGTGCCTTTAAATATGCTTTTTATTTGAAGCTTCTAGCTCAATTTTGAATCATGTTACATACATTTTTGCAAATTCAAAACAAATCTTACACGTTTTCTCATAATCTAATTATGTTATATATTCGTATTTTTCGTTTTTTGGGTACCCGTTTTTTTTGACCGGGTACCGGGTACCAAGTTTGAACCCAGCATGGAGGATTTACTACCCGGTACCCGGTTTTTTATACAAACCCTTTCTAGATATCAGCGTACATTTATTGTAACTCGCGTTTGCTAACATTTGCTCAGTTCTGAGATGAAGGCCACACGGGTAGTAAAAAGGCCAACGTTGGAACTATTTGTGACCTACATCCCTATTTTCGTAATTAAAATGAAAGTTGAACCCTTCCCCTTTATTTTGATACCAAACAACAGCATGCTAGGTACTTAAAATTAGGTAAACTTTACTCCTCAAAAGTGCAAAAACTTAGCTTCTTATATAAGATAAGATAATCAAAATATAGGGGATTGCAACAATTTCGGAAATTCGCGGAGGTCAAAGCCACATTTTGCGGGACTTCGCGGGACAATGCGGGACACGCGAATTAGCCTAATTTTGATCAAATTCGCGGGATAATCCCGCCATTCGCGGGACACTTGACAGCTCTGAAATATAGTGGAATTTGTGTCCATAATGACAAATAAGAACTTAAAAAGTTGAAGTGGATATTCACATGTTATGCCGACTCTTCAAATGTTGAGGTGATTTTGTCGCCCGATTGCGCCGGAACGGAGGATTGGCTCCCAGAATGCAACATGACACGTGCCAGCTTTCAAAATGCTGTTCCGCCATTTTGAAACCTGTCACGAGTAAATACGGTTAACTGATGTTGCATTCTGGGAGTCAACCGTCCTTGGATAACAAACATGGCGATTCATGAAAACATTCGTTCGATTGGTAGGGATTTATCCATTATTTGCAGGTATGAAGCTTTGGAATCATTTATTGTGCTACTTTAGTGAACGGGAATTATTTTTCTACCGCTTGGGAGAGTTTGAGACACGAAACTTGGAAATAAGCTCATTGTGACAACTTGTGAACGTTGAGTTTTATTATTGTCCCCCAATGTAATAATTTTGGCAAGATGATTGAACACAGTTTTATTAAAAATTTAAGCTAGTGGGCGATAATACAGGATATTACAACACAAACAAAAATTTTGTGTAAAACAGGTATCGTTCATGTATGTAACCACCATATCATACTAAATTGAGTCTTAAATGACATACATACCACTTTAAAACGGAGTTGATACGGTCAAAGTTGTGTAATCATCCTAATTAGATTACATGTATTTACAAAATATTTCAGCGCCGTCTTAAACACTGCACGAAATGATTGTTCTTTGAAAATATCCCGGGATTATGTCCAAGGTGACGAATTGCGTAATGAAAGCATGATTGACATCTCTTGACACTTCTGAGATCTAGGGAATGTATTGTTATAGCTCTGGTACATGGCAATTATTATCAATACCCAGGGCCCACAGATTGACAATGTCAGTGCAATCTGGTTCCCGGTTACTCACTTCGAGAGCCATGTTAGATTTTGAAACTTATTCGCAGGAAGTAAGTTCCCGGCGGTGTGAAAGAAATTATGGTCCCAAGAAGGGATTATGGTACCCCCTTTTAAAGGCCCTCACTGGCCCTGATTGTGTATAAGATAATAAGGGAAAGAGCACAAAGAGGTCACCATATAAATCAATGGAGAGTAGGACCATAAATTAATAGGACCTTCTACCCTTTTACACAGGGTCCATTTTTCTGTCTTCGAATAGGTCATGGCCGGTGTGTACTAAAAGGGTAGGTGGTCCTATCAACTTTTGGTCCTACTCTCTATTGATTTACATGGTGACCTAATTACAATTATTTTCCTTATTATTTATACACAGTAAGGGCCAGTAAGGGCTGTAAGGAAAGGGGACCATAATCCCCAGGGGACCATAATTTCTTTTTCACCTGCCAGGCTTTCAATCTATTGAATGCCCATGAATAGGCAAAGCTTTTGAGTAAAAATAAATTGTTCGAAAATCTTGATCACGTGCAGTATGGCAAGTGATTTAAGACGGTCATATCTTTCACCATGAGTAATTTCTGGGCATAAATACCATGGTTTTTATTAAAACAATATGTTTTCTTTCAAGTGAAGTACCCATGATGATAAAAATATCAATCGAACAATTCGAAAAATTATGAATAGGGACCCCATGTCAACATTTTTTGAACCTATTTACTCAAAAGAGGATCTCCCTTTTCTGATTTTTATTGTATGAAAATATTATGCAACAAAGGGTCTAAAACATCTTCAAAAATATAATGGTATTGAAAGTCTAGTTTTGAAGATATCAATTTTCGATGACCAAAATGATGCTGAAAACAATGGATAGCACGAGTTTTTCCTATGGGAAAATAATATGGGATATGTGGTTTTTAACTTTAATGCATTTCAATACGCATCCCCTTTTTAGAAATTGTTAATCTAGTGGAGAAGAAACTTTCGATATGTTTAAATTGAGAAAAACAAGATCCTCTTTTTAGAAAATAAGCCTAACATTTTTGTGCCAAGGTGGGGCCCTAATCCGGATTGATAGTTTACCATCATGGGGACTTCACATGAAAGAAAACATATTGTTTAAATAAAAAAACATTGTATAAATGGCCAGGAGGTACTCATGGTGAAAGATATATGCATGACTGTCTAAAATCACTTGCTATACTGCACATGGACCTTTCATGTAAAAACAACCTGTTCCTAGACATTGACCAAATTCGGTGATGTCTCATGACATATATCTCGTATTAGTTTGTCAATCATTACCTTGTTCATGATGCACGTCGTCGACTTTTCCCATGGGTCATTCGCACAGTCAGCACTATCTATTTCCTATATCTGTAGCCTAATAAAAAGAGTTATTACTGTTTACAAGTATCGAAGATAGATAGCATCATAGCAATGCCAATGACTGTGATCATTCGCTAAGGAAATAGAGGACCAGTTCCATTCTTAATGTGGCTAAAGTAATTGATGGGATGTCCATCATTTTCTTTGTTATATCACTCTCCTGGGATACAATCCATACATGTAAGTCTTACTAACTTTGAAACAAATCATGGGCCGGAAAGGGGAGACCTTCTGTACACGTAAAACTTGTGAAAATAGGGAAATTGAGACTGTGGTCATTCGCCGAGGAAATAGATGACCAGTTCAATGCTTGGTGTGGTCAAGTTAATGATCTTTAATTCACATTTGTAAGTTTTGTTGTCTTTTTAAATTTTACGTCAAAATCAAATTACATTTCTTGGAAGTATATCGTACTATTAAAAACATATATTGATAGTTTTACAGTCACTTATGTAAATGTATTTTATCTTTTAATATATATGTAAATTATTTATTTACAGTTATGCATATCCATTTGCATAGGTGAGATTTGTTTACACAGGCCATCTGCAGTGGCGTAGCTACGTGTACGCCAAGTACGCCCAGGCGTACTCTCAAATTTTAAGGAAAAATAAAATTTACCTGATTAATTGTGATGAAAAATAAATATTTTACCAAGAGATAGAAATCGATAAGAGATCTATGAAGACTCGTGTTAATAAATAAAAAAGTTCTCGATTATTTCATTTTCTTTGTTTTGAATCAGTTAGCTACTGATAATTAGAGAATTTTATTTCGTTTCAGTTGAGTTTTTAGCAGTTTGAAACGCATTAAGTCATACTTGCGTTCCACAATGAACGAGGAAAGACTTTCTTCCTTGGCCATGATACATATCCATAGGGAACAGGATATAAACATTGATACTGTTATTGACATGTTCGCAAATGCAAAAAACAGAAAGATAGAATTTATTCTATAGAATCACGTACAGATTGTTAAGATCCGAAATGGAGTTGAGACGGTCGTGTAACTGTTCTTTTATTGTTAATCATCTTGTGAGCTAGATAAAAACAAACACAGAAAAAATAATAATATCTCCATGGAGAATGACCACAAAAGCTTAAAACAATGATCCTCATACATACAGTTTTAGGTAGCCTAAAAAATAAAATCGCCTTGATAGACGGCTTCGATCGCCGATGGCATGATTATATAGAATCTGTCTATTTTGTTTCCCGAATATTATCTGTTAATACAATTAATTCAATCCCTTTAAAAAGCTATGTCAAAATGATCAAACAATACATATTTCCTTCATTGAATTAAGAGTGTTTGGTGTGTCCCCTATCTTCTGAACACCCGGGATCTTCTTATTTTATGGAACCATCGTTTTGTTAATTTTGATAAAACCGGGAAATCATACGGGCGTACACTCGCAAAATGGGCTAGCTACGCCTCTGATCTGTATAAGTAGCCCTTATGTACATGTACGTATGATCATTAAGAATTCACCCCATGCAGACAGATCGACTAAAATTACATTCGTAGGCTATGATGTGAGACTCGACATTCACAAGGAAACTTGATTTTAATTTGTCACCCATGGAGCAAATTATTTGGTACTGCTTAATAAATGGTCAATGACAGCCAAATTAAGTTTTATAAGCATGAGAATAGCATGATGGCTTGATATTTCAAGGTAACGTCGTTTGAAAAGTGATAGCGGTGATTGAAAAAAACGATGTAAAGATAAAACCGCAACGAAATATTTGTAGATTTCTTTGAACTGAACTAAAAAACATACATCACATACCGAATTTTCCGAAACACAAAAAAACATGTATAAATTGTGAGGCCTGAAGGTCCAATTCCCCCTGGTTGCATTAAAGGCCCACTATACTTTATTTAGAAGAAAAATGAAATAAATCATTTAAACGTGTTACTCACACACTTGCTCACATATGACACAAAGTTTGATTTGCTTTAATATTGAACCAAAAAAAAATAACTCACATAGAAAAAAGCATTTGAAGATCATTAGACATGCATGCACATGTTAAAGTGTGCGCCTGACCCGGCTACGTATAGCACAGAGTTTATACTGGCGGATTAGACTAGTTCATTTTTTATATGTGTGTGAAAGCTTTCTCTTATTTGCGTTTTTTCGTTTAGTACGGATTTGTTATAATTGCCGAGGTCATATAACCGGGATAAAACAATGATTTTCGTTGACTGCCCACACACAAAACATACGTTGAGTGAACAGTGTTATTACAAACAACAGGCTTTAGAATACAAAGCGTAGTGTGATAATAAGCTGTACACTACCACTGCTGCATGTCCATATTACTAATTTACTAGGGCTCCCAAAGAGTGGATAGGGAGGTTGTGTTTGTCACTTTTAAATTTTACATTTCAAAATTGTCATTTTACATGTCATAATTTGTTGGTTTCATTCGTTTAGCCAATCAAAACATTGTAAAACAATAAATTGTCTGTTACGTACAATCAATTTTGTTCAGTTTTGATTAGTTGTCAGAATAAAGTTACGTTCATCTGAATCCATGTATCAAAACAAAAATCCTATTTTCACTTCAGAATACTTCAGTGAGATGAAGGCTCGGAATTGTCACATGCAATAACTTATTGTCGTATTCGTTATTTTATCTTCTCGATAGTAGCATTTAGTCGCACATTTGATGCCAGGTCACCTTGTCGCGTACCTCTTGGGGAACCCCACATTTATGTGTGTACTCATGGAAGTAAATTCCCCGGTGTAGCCGAGAGCCACAAACTTTTCAACAGGTTCGAAATGACCAATTTCTCTCATATATACTCTAAATATTTTATTATTTAGCACCTACAAAGTATTGCTAATAACCATATGTAATTTCAATAAGGAAACTTATCTGGCTACATATAAATTCAATATCAACACTAGCTGTTCTCTCAACACGTCCTGGCTTACCTTGTGGTGACAAACCCTGGATTTACGCTATTTATAGTTTATCAACACCTGGACGCATGCGCATTTTATAGTTTATCGGGCACTTTAAACGAAAACTTGATATATAAAGCTTGACAGATCGAAAATATTTTTTGACAATTTATTGTAAGCTTTGACGAGGTCCGTTTGAGCTGTTGTTGGCGTCAAATGAAAGATAAGGTTCTTATCAATACATTGGACATACTATGAAATTCAAATATAAGTCTTTATTTTGCCCCAAACCGTTGAAAATACGCAGAGTGGGCCTTTACCATTGGTCTCGTACATGTCACACAATTAATATTTGAAACGTGACTGTTATTCGAACTTATGATCGGATCGGATCGGATAACTTTGTAAGGTCAACGTTTTGACCTTTTGACCGGCATAAGGACCAACTTAGTTCCTCATTATGATACGATTAAATAGTTTTTCACTCAAAGGCAAACTTCAAATTATGAAATAGACGTGGATATGTCAATTTAACTAGATCTAAAAATGATCGTTCATCTATTGTAAAATGAAGAATGCATATCATGTCTATGTGTGAATTGGTCTTCATTCTCATGTATCTGTTCTTCTACACTTTACCAATACACCGAACCCTGTTGTTGGTTGCGGGTTATTACATCGCACAAAGTTATGCTGTGCGTCACTGCATTCACACGCTGCCTTAGCTTTCTGTCTCGCTGTCTCCATGTTCGAGCTATCAGCAAAATATAACCCCGAGCTTTTCCCAGCATGTATGGTTCCAGTGGGTAGTTTGAATAAAGCGAAATTTGGGTCATACTGATAGTTCTTTAGTGCATCTGTCATGTCTGCTACGCATTCTGTACCCACAGCCAAGACTCCAATTATAGTCTCATCGTCAGCGCCTTGGAGTCCTGAGGTTATGATGTCCCCACTTCCCTTGTATTCTAGACAAACTGTCCTATCTTTGGTCACATCCTCTCTATTACCAAACAGCTTGTACTTCGTTTCAATATGGTCACCCCCATAGCTAGATACAATGACCCTAGATTCATCTGGGTACAGCGTTCCTTCATTAATGCCATTACTCCAAACCTCCACCCTGACTTTGATATACCATGCCCAATATACAGCTGGGGCATTTGGAAACCAAATCAACGGATAAAGGGAGTCTGTATTAAAACATTCAGATATACTGGTACATGCCGTATATTCAATGAATGTGTTGGTTGGTCTATAGAATCTATAGTGTGGATTATTCCTTCCACTAGCCTTACAGTTTATATAAGCCCGTGTATAGGAATATTGACAAGCCATTCGGTCACAAAGCATGCATGTTGGTTCCTTCTCAACTAAGTTAGAGCAATACACGCAGAATGCACTGTCTTCATCATAACATGTTGATTTCTGGCTGTCATATAAAGGGCCTGACGTTGTCAATGGGCTGACTGTTGTGTTCAATACTGTGTATTGATGAGCCCCGGGTCGAATCTCTGCCCATGCGATTGTCACATTTGGGACTGATGATGGCACAAATGTAGTGGAGCCATGAAGTGGTCCGTCAATTGTGTCAAATGTTAGGTATCCATGGAAGTGGTCAGCCTCACACATGGTTAAAATACAGTCCCCATCAGAACCAATATTAGGCAAATTAACATGCACAAAGCTCTGTTTACCGGTTATATGCTGCCATCTCTCTTCCCTATCTCTCGCAATTACAGTTGGCTCATTGGTAGAAGCCTGTGGTATTCTTGTCGTCATTGTATCATCATCATATGCTTTAATGTTTACAAAACAGTAGTTGTCATTAATTCTGTCAAAGTTGAACCAATATCGTCCCACAATCTTGGTATCTCCTATGAAAAAGTCACTCTCAAATGCTGATTGACTTCGCTTCTTTCTTTTTGAGAAGCCTTTTCTCAATGACCCTTCTAGTTCCCATCTCCCTGAAGAGGGATTTAAAGACCAAAGCATAACGTTTGTGGTTTCATTTTGTCCTATGCGGTCAGCACTTATGGCCATTTCTACATCACCTTCAATGCTCAGTTCATTTCCTTCAGTGTCCTCAAAACTCATGTGAAACATACCAAAGCTCTGTAGGTTTGCTGCCTGTCCATTGCTATCCAAAAATGTCAGATCTCCAGGCATCGTGTCGACACTATCAATGTCTCTTGGATCAAGGAAGTTAATACTTGCCTGAACTTGTCCAGTGTATTGTGTGCCATTCTTGTTATAAAATGCACCATCAGGAATGATCACTTCAGCTAGGGATACATTTGAGCTTGTGTTTGCCAGGTTTAATGTATTGATATCAGAAGAAGATATTTCAACTATCGTATTTTTCCTCAGCATAGGAATATCTCTATAAAGAGTTCCTGTAAAATCATTTGGAACAACAATTATCTTTGTAGTTTCGATAAAGTTTTGCTTATGACCACCCTCTTTGATTGTAATAACAAGCCTCGATGCATCTTTTCGCACAAGAAGTGTAAACTCACCACTGACGCTTGTTTGGGTAACTAACTCATCAAAGAGGAAAATCTCACCAAATCTAAGGGGAACACCTTTGTCAAGTATATCATAGGCATACCCACTTAAATATACCTCTTGATCAGATATCAGAACATTTTCATTAACCTTAACTTGGTTACATATCTTACAACCACATTCGATAGTATCTGCAATATCAATAGTATATGTGCCACAGTTCAATGTCCTCAGTTCTTGTTTGATTGGACCACAGCAATATTCTTCCTCGTTTGTAATTGGTTGTTTTATACATGGGTTACCATGACATTTCCTGACGTCATAGGAATATGGTGTTTCACCAACTTGTGGACAGTCCTTGGGAAGTGATTTGAGATTCGATATTGGAACAGGGTCACAAAAACTGTCACCATCATCTACAATAGAATGTAATACAAAATGCAATCATTGTAAAGATATATGTGTGAACATTTATTTATTTGCGTGCCTTGTGTATAAACATATACAATATGTACATTAGTATAAAGATATAATGTGTGTACATCTATTTATTTACATGCCTCATAGACATATAATATGTTCATTTGTGAAATGATAAAATGTATGACAGCCATACACTCCCTCTATAAGATTTTCAAGTGGTTGTGTAGCAATAATATATGATTATGTAATATTAAAATAATAAACCCTACCTTTAACAATGAGTGTAGCTGCATTAGAATAAGCAACACTAAAGTCAGACTGTGCGAAACACATGTAGGAAGCACTGTCGTTGGTCTTCACATTTTGTATGATTAGTACGTTCATGTTACTCCCAGCTGATGTGATTTCTTTACCATTCTTGTACCTTTGTGGAACAAATACGACAACTGTTCATTAATAATAGATGGCGCTCATTTATTTCCCAAGTTTTCGAGATATTAACAGAACTATTGTACACCATTATTACTCCTCGCTGTTTGCTTAACAAACTTTAAAGTTTACAACGATTGCAGACTGATCTCTCATTGAAATTATTTTGAAACCAATGTGACAATAGAACGTAAATAAAAATATCTGAATGTTTTTTATAGTTCAGAAAAATAATGCAAATATGGATTCATATTGAAGTCAACAATCAAGCATTAACAATTTTTTATTTACTTATTTATTTACTTCTTTGTTTATCTATTTTTGATGTGTACTCACGTACCATGTGTATGTATCTGGAGGTGGTTTACCAATTGCTTGGCATGTAAAGTTAACATTGTCTCCTAGAAGAGCAACTTTACTCAAAGGATGGTGTGTTATTTCTATTCCCTCTGAAATATAAAATTTTAAGTTTTAAGAAGTATTAAAGAGCATACGTCTTCAAATTGAACATTTGGTAAACAAGTGGTGTAAAATCAGAATGTGTGTAAATGTATAATTGTTTTAATACTAGAATCATAAAAAAAGGTTTGACAATATAAGACAAGTTTGAAAATCTAGTCTTTGAATAATCAACAAAATAAATCTGTCGTTTTCTATGGGAGCCCTAGACCACTCGGCAAGTCTTATTTCATTAATAATGTCAAAAATCACACGAATGATAAAAATGTGATTAAATTGGCAAATTAAATTGGCACTCGTTCAAGAAGATTTGTATTTCTTCAATCCGTTTGTCTGGATCTTGAATACAGATAAAGGAAGACCATATACAATGTTGAAAATACGTGTATAAAGACTGTGTGTCGATTTATTGACAAGGAAGTTAAAATAGCAGTAATTGCAACATTTCATTGGATCTTGACTTCAATGAACATTTACAGGAACAATAAATTAAAGAAAGGTGAACTGCTAAGAATTATATATACTGCCTTTTAAATATTTTTTAAATGAACACCTTTTGCATCAACTCCAAGACCATTTGGATGTTCAAAGACACCGCAGGTTTAGGCTTATGCTCATTTAACACACACTCGTGGTCAGCCCTGCTTCCCTAGCAGTGACTACCACACACACACGGGCGCAAAGGATACAACCAATGCTCTGATCCCTCATCTGACACCAATGTAATGACCCCAGGGGAATGACTAACTAACGAGCATACTGTAACAAGCCAGATAAAGAAATTGCAAGAAAGTGTGCTAAATTTAATGCCCCTTGTGGGAATCGAACCTAGGACCCTTGGACCCAAAGTCTGATGCTCTACCGACTGAGCTATAAAGGTTTAAGCCACTACAGCTGGACTGAGGGTGCAACTTGCTATCAATGGTCATTACACTTTATACATTAAGTTCACACGTGTTGCTATAACTCACCGTCACTTTGCAAAATAAGTTCTTTTTGGTCAAAACTGGAAGAGGCGCTGGGCCATGACTCAAAGACATTACTGGCATGTCACGCTGGCCAGATCTGACAACACAGAGAATCTTCGTTCTTGTCTTGTATGCCGATTATAGTGTTGACGTAACAATGTGTAAAAGTTAGAAAATAATTACCCAACGTTTGCATAATGATCTCAAAGGATGATCCATCTTCATGTCCTATGGAAGTGACACTGGTCATGTATTTGTCTTTCTCGCTCACAAGTTCAGCATTATCACACAGTCCAGGCATTTCTAGAACCCCTGATATATTGGTATACCCAATAGTCTCATACTTCAGGTCTTTTAGGGCTATCCTGACCCCAGCTAGAGGGACATGTTTCGTATTGTACACATTGACGTACCTTGTTGTCATTGGGCATTTACATGCTGTGCAGTTCTGGCTCAATTCTTGGCCTGTCTGACAAACCCTGCTGCAGTCTGGAAAGTCACTTCAATTAATCTAAAAGAGCATACTTTAAACATAATACACAAGGTATGCATTTTAGTCAAAGAAATGTAAAGCCCTTTCCAATATTGTGCGACAATACACATTTCTTCCATTAAGTACAGGGGTAGCCAGGGTCTAGAATTTAGAGAAACTTTTGGCAAGGCAAAATTTGATTTAAAAGCAAAATGATACTACCATATGTCCAATTAAAAACCAAGTTCATTTGAAAAATGTTTGAATTTGTATTCGCTGTTAACTATCTCATGTTAAGCTAAGGCCGTGAAGTAAATACTTTTTTTGCTGTGTATAATCACCTGGACACCTGCCATTGTTGCATGCTCTAGTGACCTCCTCTGGACCATCACAGTCAATATCAGCTAGGGACGATTTCTGGCAAACACGTGTTCTTCTCTGTACCCCCTCTCCACAACTTACACTACATCCTACCCATGCTGACCAAGTGCTCCAGATACCATAAATAACTTGAAAAATATTTGTACAACTCAAAGTTTTTCATAATTTTCTCTTAGATTTAATGCTTGTTCTATTAAAAAAAGGAAAGAACCAAAGAGAATTAGAAACCCAGCAACCAAAATAAAATCTGAGAACAAAATCCCAAAGTTATATTATTACATACATGCCCTAATACCTGGATCAATAGTGCTATGATTCATTTTGATCCAAGACAATGAGACATTTCATCCATTCTTAGTATTTTCAAGTTTAAAGTAAAAACGTTAACTCCTACCGTTATTTTCATTCACGAATGGTTTCTCTCTGTGATAAAATAGATTTAAAACTGTAAACATTTTTATCACCCACCTATTCTGGCTTCTAGTCCATCGATTAATACCGTGGCAGTTGTTGCCAAAGGAGTTGTGGTGGATGTAGCTTGGGTGGTTGTTGTGGTTGACAATGGAGTGGTTGTGTTTGTAACCGGAGAGGTTGTGGTGGGTATTGTTGCAGGTTCCGTTGTGGGTTCAGTTGTGGGTTCAGTTGTGAGTATTGTAGTAGGCTCCGTTGTGGGTTCAGTTGTGGGGACTGTGGTGGGTATTGTTGTAGGTTCCGTTGTGGGTTCAGTTGTGGGTATTGTAGTAGGCTCCGTTGTGGGTTCAGTTGTGGGGACTGTGGTGGGTATTGTTGTAGGTTCCGTTGTGGGTACAGTAGTAGGTTCTGTTGTGGGTATTGTAGTATGCTCCGTTGTGGGTTCAGTTGTGGGTGTTGTAGTAGGCTCCTTTGTGGGTTCAGTTGTGGGAATTGTAGTAGGCTCCGTTGTAGGTTCTGTTGTGGGTATTGTTGTGGTTGTTACCGGAGTCGTTGTTGTGGTTGTTACTGGAATTTTTGTGGTTCTTATTGAAGTCTTTGTAGTTGTGGCTGAAGTCGTTGTGATTGTCCCTTGAGTCTTTGTGGTTCTCCCTTGAGTTTTAGTGGTAGCTGTTGTAATTGTTGTAGGAATTGATGGCGTTGATGTAGGGGTTGTTGTGGTTGTCAAATCAGTTGTTATATCATGAGTTGCTGAAATATATACAACATTACATTTCAGTAAATGAAGGGTTAAATGACCAACATGTGTTTGTATTGATACTTGGACAAATACATTACATAGAATGAAACAGAGCTATTGGTATTTGAAACACTCTATTACCTATCAATAGTCCAGCAAAGTGCATCGCTACCATTGCAATTCCTGCAGCAATGGCTAGACCTACAACTACCCATGGTAAGATCTTGGCACATTTTGCAAGCTTTGATGGTACTTTTATCTCAGCATATATGGGTTCTGATGTGTAACTATTATACCTGGAATACATCAAAGACATCAAATAATATATGGAAATGTGTTTTTTTCATTTTTCAATATGGCCACGCAAACTGTTTCCAAATACTCCTTCAATTTATTTCAACTTGTAACAATGGCTCTTGTATTTCTAGCTTTCTAGGATTATCAAGGTTTTTTGGAATACAAATATGCAAGACGCAAAGTTATTCCACTTTATCAACCTTAAATGTGATGTCTTACCTCGGTGTTGGAGGAGTATCTTCTTCAGGTCCATTTAGACCAGCGTGGACGAGTTCTTCATCGACCACGAGACCTATGTGTAAAGGTTCCTCTTTTTGCGCCGTAAGACCAACATTGACTGGTTCCTTGGTTGAGTTGGAAATGGAGGATATCTCATAAATATTCCTTCCTTTGTTGGAAGACATGCTTAAAATTTGATAAAACAATTAGGGATAAGTAAAATTCATAGTCAAAGTCAAAGTACGATGTAACCAGACAATGGTGTTCAAGGATATGATGTTAGATCCTATAGTTTAATTTAAAAATAGAATCATGTTATCATATTCATATTAACCTTTAAATGAATGTCCCTCATTTTTATACACACACCATCATTATACAGACTTGCATTATTTCATGATAAGCCTATCAATTAAAAAGATTCTGACTTTATTTCCAGACATCCTCCAATTGAAAAGAAGAATCAAAAAGTATGAATTTGGATTTTTCCGCATCTTAAATGTTCAGTAATTTCATGTTTGGACAAATAAATATTTTGATTTCTTTTTCTTTCATTTTAAAGGATCATCAATTAAACGTACTTATAAAATACATGTAAAGTTAGACAGAGATTGTTATATTCGATTCTATAAATCCTAATTTGTGATTTAGAAAATTTACTGCGTAAATAATAAATTGACATAAACACACTTTGTACTGTCTAGAATACAAATGACAATGGAAACGCATCCGGGATTCAGTCATGTTTACTTTTATGAGCATTTTCTTAAAAGTAATCTTAAATTAGATAATTTATATATTTACCTGAGTTTTTACTTTAAATGATCTTGGCCCTCAGCAAATAATCTTGTAAGAGTACATAATTATAGATCAAATCTTCCATAAGCTGTGCACGTCTGTGACCAGGAAGTTTCTGAGGAAGGTCTTCCTAGAATTCCCAGGTGTGACTCAAATCGTAGTTTGCAGACACAAAGCTTATATTGCCATTCACACATAAAACATGTTCCTGGTTTCAAATAACTCTTCAACATTTTCATTGTTGGTGTATTGAACATCAGGTATAGTATTTATTTATTCAGAATGTTCGTCATTTGTGGGTCACAAGTGATGTACCTATTACGGTAGTCTACTGAGTTGCTTAAAAAGTAAGTTCCCGCTCGCGAAAATGGTATTCACTATTCACCAGGAATTTTAGCCAAATAAAGCTTCCTATTTCGTTCAGTTTGGTCGATATAGCCTGCTGTTTTTATGTGTTGAAAAACGATATTTTCCAAACAAGCTTGTATGATATCTTCTGAGATAACAAAGAATATTTTGTGTCTGTACCCCATGATGACAAACATGGCACACATCATGACATGTGACTTTTAGGTCAATTGTATCCTCATGTTAAGTTAATACATCCTTGGTGAAATCTTCTTTTTGAATTTAAAAAGTCAAATTAATCAACTCTTCTGACCATTTAAAGGTCACTAAAGGCTGCGTTTTGTCATGTATGAATGTCTGGCTCCATTTGGATAGTTGTTCCATGACTTCGTTTCTGCATGTCATCCAGATCAACAAGTTCCACATCACTATCATCATCAGCGCCACCAACTGCACCATCATCCCTTCCATGTATCACTTCTCTGGTAGGTCCCTATGAATCCAAAGATTTTCATTCTTTCGCTTTCATCTTTCAATGGATGTTCGTTGAAGCACAAGGGAATGAAGTCAATTATATGATAGTCGATGGTGTATGAATATAGGTTATTTCATGGTTGATTTTTAATATGAATTTTATTCCAGGATAATATGATATTGACCGAACAAGTGTAACGAGTGAATGTCAACATGATATGTATCGAGGTCATCCTTGATACATGTAAAACGTGTTTGCTGCTCTACTTTTTTCACAGAATGGATTCTGGATTATTTATTAAATTTTTATTCTGAATTTAATATATCCATTGATTGTTGTTGTTGTTAGACTTAAACACTGCCATCTTTTTAAAGTCACAGCTACTCTTTCATGTTAAATGAGAATCCAAATAGTAATGTGTAGATATTTTCATTTATTGACTGAAAATTATAGACACTGGATTATCTATGCCACATGATGAAGGAACGCATCCGAAATATAGAGGGCAAATGTACTATAAAATCATTTTTGGGAAGACATAACACAGACTACTCTAGGGCGACGAGATGTTTCCAATAAGGTCAAACTTTGCACATTGTATTAAATTAATATAAGAGTGCTCTATGAGTCTTTTGGTGATCCGATCGAGTATTCGAGTATTTATTGATAACGATTATTGACAGTAACTTCGATGTGCTTGTTTGAGGGTTTTTGTTACCTACTGATAAAGTCCTAGGTACCTTATATGTGGGAATATATAGTGTATCTAGGTGCAGGATGGATATTTTTATATTTATCCACAACTGCATTCAACATTGTCCTCGGTCCCCGTGGTCCCCCAGGAGATACACATATTTCACTCCGGATAAACCCCGTATCCCAAACCTCTCAGACGTACCCTTAATAATAACATGTAATAATCACGTGTAGCATCTTAGATTCATAGCGTATCGTATGTTACGTCCATATATATGAATAAAGATGATAACAGTAATTGGTAAAATCATCTGATACCACCTTTGACTCGAGTACGTATTTATAAGAGAGAAGCCTTGGGCAAATCTGACCTCTGGGTTAGACGGACAGATCACATCTATCTTTCTGAAAACATTTATTCATTTTATATTATAACGGGCATCCACCTGATAGATTTTGGAGCTTCTGCTTTGTATCGTTGTCCACCAATGAAAAGAGCAATTTATGTGTTACAAGTGCCAGGGGAAATGGACAGAATGTTACAGAACACAGCATCACTGCAAGAAAAAGAACAAAGAGCACACCAACAAGGAAAACAAACCAAAACTATCCCAACCTACTATACTTCAAGTTATAGTTCGCTTACTTTTGAGTGTTACAGAATAAGAGTCGTTCTGCTGGCTTATGCCATTATGTATACAATTAATTTTTTAGATGCCCTTAAATTCTTTCCAATAGATGTTACGAAGAATACTGTATGATCAATATCAAATTATCAGACATAATCAAATCATCATTTTATTCATCGATTTCAGCATATCAGTTCATTATAGGGTATCCGTATATATTAATCAAGTTATTCATTCGGTTTACATACAGGTGTGGGAAGATGCCACGGGCTAGTCCGGTTAGATAACATGATAGAAGGTGGTACTTCTGCTGGCTGAAATTATTATCTGTAAGCTTACATACGGTAAAGTATGACTCGACGCCTTTGATTGGAAAATCGAAGTGGACCAAGCTCAATAAGGAAAAGAGACTCGGGCGTGGCCACGCCCAAACCAACCTGTCAAACGGCGGAGATAACCGCGAGTTCCCTCACATTCCTGAGTTGCCCGAGTTGGAACATCTTTCCCGTGGCGGTTACTTAAGATTTGAAATTTATACTTGATGGCGAAATAAATAAGTGGTTTAATGTGCAAATATATATATTATTTGTCATTTCAACACCTTTCATTTATTTTAAGTGTCTAACTGTTGAATGGGAGTTCATACGAGAAGTGAATCTTCGAGAAATAAATGATTTAATTATGGGGCAAGTTTTTTAACCCAAATTTGTGGTAATTTACCACAATCGTCAGTCTAAAAATATGTGGACTATAAATACATTTTACTACGTATTTACGTACACCATTGGATTCCATTTAAAGGTATCCTTGTTCTGATATTGTAAAACCTGAAAAAGCTTCCATATAAAACACTGTACTTTGTTATACCATTTCAGATGCAAGATGGATAAACTTAAGTTTCCTCGTTTTTCTCAAGTTTTCCATCGCATGCCCCGTAGAAAATAGGCGTACCCAAACCCAATACAACCCATCCAAAAGTCGAAGTAACATTTGTAAAATTAGAATCATCTAAGTAAATGACTAATAGTACAAAGTCACCCGGCTATTCATACAAAAATATATTTTGTAAATATCAAATATTTGCTTGCAGATTAAGGGGGCAATTCCGCATTTTTAAATGATGTTCGTGAAAGGAGGGTAATTTTCATTGAAATACGTCATACTCGGTGATATATCGTGCAAGATGTATTAATACATAAGAAAAATTAGTCAGTCACTCAACAACATATTTGGAAAATATAAACAGGTAATTATGGTTTATTATTGCTGTTAAATTATTCTAGATTGTCCATTTTAGCAGAAATAATAATAATTTGTAACTTGATTTGACCAAATTGGGACGGCATTCGTAAAAATATGCCTCTAATATGAATAATTACTTTGCTTCATTGCATTGGTCAGTATTTGATATGTCAACTCTCCCATTTGATTGTGAGTGATAGGGTATGTACCAGGTATATAATATTAATTCATTTTGTAGATTCCTGGTTACTTCGCTTAGCTGCCTAGAGTACATGTATAGACAAACTACTATCTAAGTTTCGCAATAGTTTTAAAGAACCGTTGCAAGTCATCAAGAGGTGAGTCAGAAAAGAAATCTCGTAACATGGATATTGCAACAATTTAATTATCATGTAATGAGTATAGTTTTTTGTTATACTTTTAGCGAAAGCTTTAAAATCAATGAAAGTTATAATATATTTGACTTGGAATCTCAATACCGGTATCCAGCAGTATCAGGTCATTTAAGGTAATAAAAAGAGCTATTGGTTCCTTTTTTCTTTGGCTCCTTTCCATGCCACGGCGGCTCTACAGATACTAAATCGCTGTTAATATCTATAGAAATATACAATAACGAGTAACATGCATGATGAAAACGTTCTTCTATTTGAGTTTAAGGAGCTTACTTATTTTGTTTTCACTTTGATCCTTAGTAAACAAAACACAAGTCAGTGCAGAAGATATTACGAGGGGTAGATAATAGATATACTTTACATACAGGGTGGGTGAAAACCAAACATAAGTAGATTTAATTTTTCACTTTTTAACGTTGAGACCCGTCAAATTCAGAAAATGTAGTCCGAGTTAGGATAAATATCTATAGCATCGCCATTATTAAATAGTAAACGTTTTTCATACGTCATCACACTACGCTGTTTAATCGGATAAGCATTTCTAAGAATTATGGTATCATGAAGGCGTGTCTCGGGAATGTATCTAAACGTAAATGTACCTGCTTCGATTGGACCAAGCAGGCGGGAAAACGTATTTGTTTCGATCGGCCCAGACAGGCGGGAAACGTACATATGCACTTGTTTCGATGGGCCAAGACAGGCGGGACACGCACGCATGAACTTGCTTCGATCGGCAAAGATAGCCGGAAGACGCACACACGTGCTTGCTTCAATCGGCCTAGTCAGGCGGGACGCGCACATGTGTTTGCCTTGATCGGCCCAGACAGGCGCGGTTTATTTAAACAAATCTTACACCGTAGTATCAATTGTGCAAGTCTCTGTCTCATCCGCTGTTTGAATGACATATCGCTACCAATGCTAAGAATGCAAGAAGGTAACCTTGGATTGAAACATTTCGACACAATCATCGTTATTGGAAGTACTCACAGGATTCTGAAATGAAAAACAAAATTAAAATGGTACCAGTTCTGAGTAAAATCAAACATGTTTAAAAAATTGAGATGAGCAAAATGGGGACCTCTTAAGATTTTCAATTTTGTATGAGGCTAAAAAGTTAAATTTAAAACCACAGACGACGAATTGAAGTCCGTATATACTAGTCCCTCTTGGTTGTACCATTAGTACCTACACACTAAAACATACGAAAACATGTTTTCATGCTTATCCTAGTTCTCATCTTGTGAAAATAAATTATTGTTTATGCAATTATTTATCCAATTGACACCTCATATGTAAGGTTGCCATGCCGACCTGGATTTTATAGCTCATAATGACTACTCGTTTTGTGACACCTCAAAAAAGTTTTGTTTTAGATGAACACGACTTTGTCTGCGGCAATATAAATTTATTTAAATTAATATGATGGAAATGATAAGTCATTTACTCCATTGGTTAAGAATGTTGTTTTTCTTTTGAGTCCTTTCTTTTCAAGTTACTACATTACAAGATTCGGATTAAAGAAGAGCCATATGTCTATTTGCGAAATGTATCTTTACATCATGTTTAAATATTTACGCCTCGAACAAAAATCTAAAAAATGTTATTCTTGGGTCTCGATTTATTTTTCATAAAAGGTATGATTAAAAATGATTTATAAAGTAAATTTAATTTATAAGTCATACATTCATGCTTAGTGGATATGGACACACATTTGATTATTAAACTATTAAATGATATTTTGGAATATTATTATGTTTATGAGTATGATGAATCATCTGCACAAACTTACTTATAAAATAGTATCACTTACACATAATGACACATTTCAGATTAGTGTCATGTATGTTTTTCGTAAGTGCACGTGAAAACGTTGACAGGGGTTAAACATAAGTTGACCCACATCAAAGAGCAATGACCCCACCGAGGCTATGCATGAGACGAATGATATTCTTGATGAAGCAGCTGAACATGTTTTGGAAGACCACTTAGGAGCAGTATGCCTATGTAATGAGACAACCAACCATTGTGCCCAACACCTTCGTTTTAAATTCTTTCTATTTATTATTCAAAGAATGTGGTACCTCGCGGGAAATGCACAGTCTATTCATTAGCGGTTTTATATGAAATATAGGTCTGAATACCATGTCCCTGATTCAGCCGAATGCGATCCAATGGCATCCATTTGGAAATGGGAGTTACCAGTGTTCAGTGGTCTAAAAATTGGAAAATAGAAAGACATTACAGGCAATTAACTACTTAACTATCAAAGAGGATTACCAAACACAAAATGGTATATTCCTTGGATTAACAGTTATCAAACACAAGACTAATCAGGTAAATAAAACGTAATGAATACAACCATGCTAATTATGCTATATTTCTCATGCGGTCAGCTGGTATCTTTTCTTAAAGGTATATTTCATATACATTTATATCATTTGTATCTGCTTTAAAATTTATATGATCATAATTAATATATTTTACATAAGTGACATGACTCAATTTCTTGTATGTAGTGAGATATTTATAATGTAACTAAAAATATTGTAATTAAAAGTAGGATGCTTAAAAACGCGTATAACATTACGATATGAAAAAATTGCGCTATGTAGACATAACTCGACGTCATGGTGACCGATGGAGAAAACATGAGGCCATATAGAAGGGGACGAACATTTCCTGGACCACAATACCTTGACTTTTGCATCAGCCGAGCATGTTATTTCTTCAAGTAGATACAGACAGCGTTTTAATATTTCTTTAAACATAAAAGGTGTGAAAATATCCCCAAATCTTATTTAATTTTTGTGTAAAGAAGACGGGTCAGTTCCACCTTTGTGGGGGGAAATGCAAGATCTAAACACCTGCATTATAATACAGCACACTAAGAGTAAAAATCAAATGTCAATTCGCATATACACAACTCCCTCTAGCCCTTAACTCTTTAAATTAGAATATGTTTGCCCAGGGGTACTTTCGACAAACACATTTTTTGGTATTTATTTGTTGATTTATGTGAATGAATTCAATAATTATCTATCACGAAAAACGTAAACTCCCATGATCCTCCGGGTAAATCAGATGACCCGAATTAACCAATCACCGTCCGTATCACCTTGAATACGGTCCAAAACATGTTCTCTGTCACGAACTACAGTGTACATACCCCAACGCGCTCGTACTTAATTAACGGACTCCCACCCGGGTATCGATTATGGGGGATTCACACTTTTTTGTTTTTCTCAGCCATTTGAGAAAGAATTCCACCGCGTGATAAGTCTTATGTGGAACGCCCCGTATATGATCAGTTAACTAAATAGAATAGTACGTTGCATGTATTTAAACAGAGAAGGAGCATAAACCTGAATTAAATATCATAGCACAATAAAATGCATGCATGAATTGCAATTTTAATTTTTCGGCTGAGAGGCACTCACTGTTTACAGACTTTTTTCAGTGAACCGACTGCAAATTAGAAAGGGAATACACAGCAGAACACAGATAATGTACAGATAAACTGGCCGAAGAAAAAAAAATTCCAGATTACGTCATATGTATCAACCATAAGGAAGATATTACTATATAAGAAATTAAAGATATCTGAAGGATATTAAACTTTTATGCAAAGATGACTTGTGGACAAACATGGAAAATACTGTTGCTGGTCTTGGTCGTTGTTATGGTGATTGTCTCAACAAATGCTCAATTATGTAAGTAATTCTCACCATTAGGTTACTCTTCATAACAAAAATCTTCCGGGGAAATTAATCATGAAAAATACCCTTCAATAAGGTTTTGTATGGCACAATAAATAGATACTATGCCCATTTTAGTTGAAGAATAAAGGAATTCTAGGATAAGGAAAAATGTCCCAGGAGGAGGAAAAAGGCTTGACCTGAGAAAAAGTTCATGTGATCTGTTTTAATTTTTGTTCTTATTTATACCATCTTGGACAATATCTTTTTGGTATTAACCAGAGACTAGTATATACTAGTTTAGCAATAACTAGACGAAGCTCTTTTTAAAGGGGTGATACCAGGCTCTTAAAAGCTCTTTGTAAAGAGGAAATATCAACTCTTTAAAAGGGTAAAAGTATGAAACTCTTTTTAAAAAGGCAATATCAAGCTCTTGAAAAGGGTATAGGTATGGAACTTTTTAAGAGATGATATCAAAGTCTTGAAAAGGATATAAGTATGGAGCTCTTTTAAAGAGGCAACATCAAACACTTGAAAAGGGTATAGGCATGATGCTCTTTTTAAATAGGTATTATTAAACACTCGAAAAGGGTATAGGTATGATGCTCTTTTTAAAGAGGTAATATTAAACACTTGAAAAGGGGTATAAGTATGAAGCTCTTTTTAAAGAGGTAATATTAAACACTCGAAAAAGGGTATAGGTATGATGCTCTTTTTAAAGAGGTAATATTAAACACTCGAAAAAGGGTATAAGTATGATGCTCTTTTTAAGAGGCAATATTAAACACTCGAAAAAGGGTATAGGTATGATGCTCTTTTTAAAGAGGTAATATTAAACACTCGAAAAAGGGTATAGGTATGATGCTCTTTTTAAAGAGGTAATATTAAACACTCGAAAAAGGGTATAGGTATGATGCTCTTTTTAAAGAGGTAATATTAAACACTTGAAGAGGGCACATGTAAGAATTGAAGCTCTTTTTCCAAAGGTAATATTAAACACTTGAAGAGGGCACATGTAAGAATTGAAGCTCTTTTTCCAGAGGTAATATCAAACTCTTGAACAGGGTATACAATGATCCACCCTCCCATTAAGGTGGATGAGCATAGAAAAGAAAATTGACAATATTCGATTATTCTTTCACCTGACAAGAGTAACTGATCAAATTCAAAATCATTGTTTTTTGAAATTCCTTAAATTAATGTTTTAAAATAAGATTGTAATTCACTGAAATAATCGATGGAGAAAAGTTTGTGACACGTGAACATACGAAAGGAAGTCAGAACCTCAAAGTTAAAACGTTCACCATGCAAATAGCTGGAGAACGATAGGAGAAAATATGCAACGAACGGATTGAAATTCTCGTTTTAATACCCATCCATACCTCGTATAATATTGCGACCATTGTGTTGTGATTAGAATTCATATTACATTTTAATCAAAGAATAAGGTGTCTTTGCATGCAATTCCAGCATAGAGCTATGCTTATATTTGCAATTGAGATACCCCACTATAAAATACACGCATGAATAATTCATCCATTGAAATAATTTATTGCCTGATTGCAAAATATCTAACCAATTTGAAAAAACTCTTAGCTTACATCAAGTCCTTATGTGTCTCTATTGACTCCAAACAAATGTACATAAATACTTCATAACTGGGCTTCTAAATTAAAGAGGAAGTAGAGGGAGGGGTAAAGACTTTTTTAAATAGATTTTATATGATTGCTGGAGGAGCACCTTTTCGGTCATCGTGCAAAACCCCACAACTTGAATATGTGAAAATATGGTCCTCTGAGGATTAGTCCTTCCCTTCGTAGAGTCCATTTCACTGCTTCAGTTCGTCAGTAGAACGGCAAAAATAAGAAATTGGGAGACCATTGTGCAATAATATATGGAAAAGTATATTCATTATGTACATGAATGACATTTGTATATCTTGGATTGCTTCTAGTTTGGCTTATAGAGTGTGTGGCCTCTTATATTTGGATGTTTCTCTGCCATGTTATTTTCAATAAGATTAACATGGCTGAAATTCTTCAAATTACAAGACGGCACAGGCTTATTGCACAAAAAACTAAAAAATCTGAAATATACAAATGTTATTCATGTACATTATGAATATACTTTTCCATATATTATTGCACAATAGTCTCCCAATTTCTTATTGTTGCCGTTCTACTGACGAACTGAAGCAGTGAAATGGACTTTAGCATTATCTTTCCGAATATAGTATAAAGGTAAATAGTTGAAATAGTTAAAATAGTTGAAATCAGGTCCTAGTGGGGGACAGCACAGCAACCCCCGGGGTCACAGATAACCTCACTGATATCTTCACAATTAAACGTAACATAACTTTTTTTCATTGCAGTATCTTGGACCTGCAATTTCGACCAGAATTACTGTGGGGCCGAGCAATCAACAGACGACCAGCAGGACTTCACAAGACGGTCTGGTCCAACTGGTACTAGCGGAACGGGGCCCGATAGGGACCACACCAGTGGCTCTGGTAGGTGTATACATATTGTTACTTTTGGAATATGCAATGTTCAGTAACCATAAACATATCGTTTGGACTAACTTCGATAATCTGCGTCATGACATCTTTGCATTGGAATAACGAACTGGATGAGTACGTCTGTAGGTACGAATATGACCAGCATGCTAATTACTGAATCACCACCAGAAATGGTGACATACTGTTATAGTGTCCAGCTTTTTGTTGACGTTGTTCGACGTTCGGCGGTCGGGGTTCGGGGTTCGGCGTCTGTAACAGATGGCAGATGGTGACATTTTGCATGTAATATCTTGTTACAGTAGGGCTGCTCGGCATAGCTATCATAAATGTCTGTGTTGGTGTACTCTGAACATTTTAATTTATCATATCCCCTCCAGCATCTTTACTCCTCATTTAATGCTTGCGAGGGATAGTACAAGTTGTGGATCCAACAATGTGCCCTGAGGGGGTGTACCGAGAGGTAGAACAAATAGATACATTACAGTAAAATGATGATCCCATCAGATATGTCGCATAGATCAGATATTGTGCATCACACATTCTAAGAATCTTAATTGGAAAGGCTAGATCGGAGAATTATTTCTCTTTGATGGAGTAAAGTCATGAATAGTCTATCGCAAACCCTTAAGGATGATTTATACAGTGCACAGGGACTTATAAGCCAAAAGGTATAAGTGAATTTGAATGACCAAGACTCAAGATCTAAGATCCCACCGAATCTTTTAAACCTAAGTAAATCACAGTTATCAAGCTGTGCGGTCATTTGTGGAGGCACTATCAATTGGGATTACCAAATTACTGAATGAGTGAATGAAAGAGTCCTAAATGATGGAGGAGAGGTTGTGTTCGACTTTGTTTCTTTGTGCATTAGATCTCATAACTTGGTGGGATATTGGGGTTCGCTTTTTCTTAATTACTCGCTTAATTAGTCCCCATGTAAAGTTTGACTACAATATAAAGTGGTTTAAACTTTATATCGGGACTTTAAAGATTGTTATTAGTTCTTTGTTTTCCCCATTTTAGCAGTTCTGCTTAAAGACTAAATGTTTTATTTCACAGGAAGCTACATATATCTGGAAGCCACTGACCAGGGTAGGGGGGATAGTGCCAAGCTTATCACTCCAGAGTTCGCTGGGGGCCGAGCGTACACTGTCTCGTACTATGCCCACATGAAAGGCCTTCATGTTGGTACACTCACATTGTTTCAAGTCACCAACACCTTGTCAAGAGAGCTCGTGAAAAGTGAAGGTAATGAATACATACATAATACACAAACAGTTTTCTCCCCATCGTGTCGTATTTGAAAAATAAACGTGCAAAATCATTGCATTTGAAGCCTGATGTTACTACAAATCTGTATTCAGGCCCACAGGGAGATGACTGGGTACAGTTGACAACAGAGGTCGAGCCAAATGGTCCATTCAAGTTGATGTTCGAGGCTAAACTGAAAAATGCCGATGCCGGGCAGAGGTGGTCTTCGGATATTGCTATTGATGACGTAACTGTCACCCCAAGGGCAAGTGAGTAGTTTTGCTTCCAAGAGCTGATACGTTTATTTTATGATTGAACTAACAAAATAATGTAATAATTTAAGAATATTTAGTGGAGTTATATAAAGTGGAGAAAGCGGAGTTATTAATTTTTTGTAGTACATTGTATACGTAACGACTCAGTGGCTTGTACTGCAGATATTTTGACAGTCCACTGAGCACTGACGCGCCAAATTTTTAGGGTGTCGTGTGTAAGTGTTTTGTATTGTTACATCATGGAATATTAGTATAAATAATCGAATTGGGTGAACTGATATTATTGACGCATCTGTGAATTGATATTTTGCCGTGTTAAATAGTTTGTAAGACATTTGCTATACATGGAATTCTTTCATGTCTTTTTCAGGTTTCCAAGGTCTGGTATTTTATTCATATATCACACTACTAGATGCTTGAATATATTTCATGTCTTTGATATACTTGTATGAGTGCATGATTCACTTAGTTTCACACTGACAGTGTTTCTTAATTTGACAATTCAAAACTTAACATCACTTACTGCATATGCACTTTTGCACCATTATATATAATGCTTTGGATAAAAACTAGATTAGTTTTATGTTTATTCCGATGTCGATATATCAAACCCTCTATTATTTGGTACCATAGCTAGTTCTGCACATAGACATATCGATAGCCATGTCATCTTATCACCTAAACGTTATAAGATAGTAATGCACAAATACGCTTATTCACCATTCAATAGTTATGCACATACAGAAAACACAGCAGGTACTATATTTAATTACGAGTTTGCCATGGAACAGCAATCAAACCGTCAGCCGACAGCCGGCGGTTTAATTCGTGAATGCTACCTTATTCAAATACGTACACATAAACTTTTACAGTTCTATAGTAATAGCTATATTTGCACATATACACTTACTTAAAAATATACGACAGCTACGCATTGGCTTATCGTATATGACATTCGAATATATAAGGGCTATGTACTGGGAGGTTTTGGATATGGGGTTTATCCAGAGGGAGATATGCATATCTACCTGAGGGACCGTAGGGACCGAAGGTAGATGTGCATATCTCACGAGGGATGAACCCAATATCCAAACCAACCGTACATAACTGCTTTATCCTATACCAAGTAGAGTTTTCAGGGGCATATGGCCATTTCAATAGTACAAGGACGTGTAAAAATAAACAAATCATTCATATGCAAAGTCATTTTCTTGCATTTCCACTTTTACATTTTAAATACATTGATAACTTTTTGAAATACAAAAGTGTTGTTTAACAATTTAACAAAAGGATAAATGTTTCCAAAAATTTGAAAAAAAGATTTTTTTTTAATTTATAAAGAAATTTGAAAAATAAATTTGAAAAAATAATTTTGAAAAAATAATTGTGAAGTGAAATTAACGGAAGCGGGAAGATATGCACCGAAGCGGGAGATATGGCGGGGGATATGGAGGTTCTGGATATGGAAACCTCAAAATCAAGATACGGGATATATCTTACCAACTTATCTCCCTAAAACTCTACTTGGTATAGAATAAACACTATAATGATTACTATGAAATAAGGACAATGACTTCATTTTTTGTTTTGGTTACAATTCAATGCAGGTGTTCCTTGTTTTGATGCTTTATTTTCCCAGTAATATGTTACTTCCGTTTCTCAATCTTAACTCATTCAAACGACATGGCTTCATGACACGACTATGAAAAATAGCAAATAAACATGTTTCATCCTGTGTGTAACTTTGTATTGGAGAAACATTTTACAACCATGTGTACAATACGTTTTATTTTGAAGATCAATAGAATAGTAATACAATAGTAATAGTATTTGAAAATGAAGTTGTTTGTGAATATGACAATTTGCAGAACTTCAGAACTGAAAGAGAAGCATGTCGATATTGTGAAGTAATACAGTAAAACATGTGTCAGTAGACGCATTTTAAACTCGATTCCCCTTACATACAGACCAGGTTCAATTTACAGAAGTATATTGCAAGTCGTTTCACTCAAATACGTGTCCAAATGAGTTGTTCCTTAACTTCCACTTAACAGTTTAGATTCTAACAGGGAATGAAAAGCTACACTCCATTTAACAATTTGGTAATCTTTTTCAGACCACGCGTTAACGTTTGTTCTAGAGGTCTTTATAAATATTTCGTATCCATTTAAGGAGCCAAATCAAGATCCAAGCAAGCATAAACTGCATCTTTTAATGCAATACGATTCCAGTTGCTAAAGAAATGGATATGGTGTATTTTCCGTCATTGTTTGTGTTCCTATGTTGTAGCCTGCACTGGTGCCGTTACCGATGTTGTGTTCATGCTCGATGACTCGCGAATTGTAAGTAATGACGACTTTGACAACATGAAAGAATTTGTTGAGATGACAGCCTCTACGCTCGATGTTTCCCGAGATAACGTCAGGATTGGATTGCTTACCTTCAGCAATGATGCCAGAGTTGTGTTCAATCTGGATAGGTAAGCTAGAAACAGTGTGTGTCATACATTCAGCATACTACGCTTGATTCGTTTGAAATGAAATTTGTGTATTAGTATTTGCACTAGTATTTTGACTATTTTGGCGAGAGAATAGTCATATGCAATTGTTTAGAGACACTACATACATGTCTAAAAATGGTGACCACTAACCACATAATCCGATGTTGCAAATAGAGGAATAGTTTTTTCTAACGAAAATTGAGAGTCCATGCTCTTGAAGGGTGGCTATAATTCAGAACTTTTTTATTGGTTTCGCTTTTTCATTGCAAGATTTACCAGTAAGGCTGACACCCTAAATGCGATCCTCAACGTTCAACGACGCAGTAGCCCAGAAAACACTAACACACCGAGTGCAATCAACGCCGTACTGAATGATATGTTACGTGAGGACAGAGGAGATCGACCCAATGCAGCTGATATTGGTAAGAGACCACACTGAAAATAATTTTGCCATGATTACGACAAGGGTAAACACACGAACTTTCATTCTTTAGATTGAGCTTTAGCATTGTTCCTTCATTAGTTTATATAATATAGATCCTGATCACAATATCAGATACGTATAGGATATCCTATGATTTTGAGAGATATCATTTTTATCCACGAGTTGATACTAGTATCAATATCCGGACGATTGAGCTTAGCGAGTGAGTGCAGATATTGATATCAACGATTAGATTGAAATGATATCACGAAAAAATCATATTCTACAGATTTGACCTCAACTATGGGATAAATCGATTTATGTCATTTCTATAGCCCGATAATCCTTTAATCAAAGGTACTAGTGGTTTATCTATTTACATCTTAATAAAAAGCTAAGGTATAAATAGACAGACAAATGCTGCCATCTTTCTGTCCTTATAAACCGACTTAACTGCCATCTGTATGTCGACCTAATACCTGTACCTTTCATGACTAGCTGTTATTTGTGCTGTTTTTCAGTTATCCTAATAACAGCGAGTTCGACTAATGACCAATACAAGGGAGGCCTAGAGAATGCCATATCGAGAGTACGAGAAAATGGCCTTTCATTCTATGTTGTATCGGTTGGTAACCAGACGGACATGGCCGAACTAAATAGGATAGCTTCGGATCCGGACGACACGTTCCTATTCACGGCACCTGATTTTGATTCGCTGACTCCACTTATGTCTTCAATTGCCAGAGGAACTTGTTACGATTTGTGTAAGTGTCTTTACTTTGTTTAGTTAGATTGATTCTTATTCATGATTTTTAAATATTTATTTGTCAAAATCAGCTAAATCAGAAAAAGTATGTGATTGATATGGTCTAAAATCAGGGTGAAATGATCGACCAGTTCTTAGTAGAGGATTTGATATTGTATTTCATCTCTAGCCGTTTATTCTTCAGCCTGTCAAGGTCGCGCAGCTGATATCATTTTCATCATTGAGGACAATAACAGGATCTCAACCAACGACTTTAACCGCATCAAAGACTTCGTTTCAAACGTCATCAGCAGACTCGACATCGGAGGAGACATGACTCGCATAGGTGCGCTTAAATTCAGCAACAATGCGCAGAAGTTGTTTGATCTAAACAGGCATTTCAACAAAGAGAACTTAATTCGGGAAATCCAGAGAATGGGCCAAACAGGAAGCAATACCCGTACTGCAGAGGCACTTGGACTGATGATAGATATGTTCCAGGAAGATCTGGGGGATAGAAATAACGTGGCAAATGTTGGGATTCTCATTAGTGTTGGGAAGTCTCGAGATTTCGATCCAATACCTGCTGCTGCACAGGCAAGGGCTATGGGCATATCACTTTTTACAATAGGTGAGTACAGGTAATGTCAAATTGAAAATAGCTATATTATATCCTTTAAAAAAACAAACACTAAGGGGAGGCATCAAAAGATCAATGTCTGATAGAAAACGAAATAAATCTAGTTTGGGGGGAGGGGGTCAAAGCTATTTCAGTTTGCTATCCGACAAAGGATGAGTCTGGGAATATGCCCTTTTGGTCCCTCGCTTAAATGTATTTGAAATATAGATTTTATTACTGTCTAAGATGTATTTGATTATAATATGCATCTTTTAGTGAGTATTGATGCTTAATTAACCCCCTGCTGTGAATCAAAAGAGATAACCTCATTATGTTAAAAAATCATTTTCATTATGTTTTTTTAATGCTTTTATTCATGGTGTACAACAATATATTAATACAGTATTAGTGTGTCAATCATATTTTCTCAATAGTTTGACGAAAATTCTTGTAAAAATTGCTTATTATTGTCAAAATGACAAAAATAAAACATGGTCAACTTTCAAGTATATCATTCCATGAGATAGTTAACGCAAACTAGCCTTTATCAAATACCATCATCAAAAATGGTTGAAAACAATTGAGGATTTGTTGCAATAGTAATTGAGACAGTGTTATTGAAGGTTCATAAAAATATCAGTCATCTTCAGCTTCTGACTCTGAAGAGGAGATGGGCATGTCTCTGGCATCATATATGTGATTCTCAGGATGGCTTCTCTTTTCCAAACTATACCCATTGTGCCTAGCATGTCCCATGAACCAGATTATAGATGCTACATGGGCACAGCAGCCAACAACCCTGGCACCTTGGGGGCATGTACAATACCAGCCAGTGATGGGCTCCAGAAGGTCATTGCCATGCTCCACCCAGACGTGATATTTCACACTGCCAGTGTGCCGTGATTGTATACGCACACGAACAAGACCTGGGGCATCTTGATGGGCCTGAAGAGTGTACTTTCCATCCTGCTGTAAGTGCTCATCAGTGTAGCGCTCAGCTTGTTTTAGCTGGTATACACCAAGGGTGAGACTTCGTAAAAACTCTTCATCCAGATGGGGGAATGTAATATCAGCATCATCGATATCCATCCACTTTCCTCGAGAGCTAAGTTTGCCATGATCAACCTTGGCTGCAAGTGGATTAGGTAACTTAGCTCTTTCTAACATCTTTGATGCAACGAGATCATCTCCTGGCTTTGATGTAATAAAGTCTGGTCTGAATCGATTGATGGTAGCACCAATAATTTTAAGGTAATCTCCCAAGTGTTGAATGTTTGTGTTCGGTACAACATTAGCAAAGAATAACCATCTCTTCAGTCTGCCATTAGCAGATTCAACAACCCAGCGAATCTTAGTGACAAACCTGGTGGCATTGGCTTCATCAACTGGAATCTGCTTCTTGCCATGGCCAAGAGCGGGCATAGCAACATTAATGCCTAAGTTTCCAAGAAACTCTTCGTTGTCACGGAAGCCACGATCCAGTACAAATGAATCATCTATCTGCAGCCATGATTTAATGTCATCCATATCAGACTTAATAAGGTTTTCTAAAATAAGAGCATCATTGTTCCTAGCAAGGTAAGGGCCAAGTATGGCAACAAAGTAACCAGTAGTTGTTGTGATGATCATTGGTTTCAGTAGAGGACGGCCTTTATGTAGACTATAGGTTAATCTTTGGAAGGAATAATTAGCACTCTTTTGGATGTATATGTATGTGCCATCGAGGACTATGATAATCCTATCATCATTGCCAAATAGAGTCTCCGCAACTTGAGATGTGTGATTCTTGCGAACTTCCTCTCTACTGATGTGGTTGAATCCGATGTAATTTGGAACAAATTGCTCCATTAATGCACATCGTGCAGACGCAACAATACTTGACACAATTTGTTTTGACTTGAATCCAAACAATGTTGCCAGAAATCGATGTGATAGGCCAGATCTCATTTTAACAAGGAACACTGCTAGAGCTGTTCGACGTCCTCGAACGGATGATTTTTTCAGAGTTGGGCAGTCTAGTAAAAGTTCATCAAATTGTTCTCTTGTAATACCTGTGACCACTTTGTACTCCTCAGAAGTTAGACTTAAGGGGTTTTCAAAGTCCATCCTTGTTCTGGCATTCTTCTTTGCAATACCACAAACTGTATTGAGCAGATCACACAATTCCTCCCCTGACATAGTTGCCTCCACAATTGTGCATTGGAGTTTTGTTGCAGGATGCAACCTTCCACTAGTAAGGTGCTTTGTACAACAGCGAACTCCATGAGGTACCAGGATCCTTTGCTCTACAAATATTGCAAGCCTGGAATCTTCTGGAATCAGCATTGTCTGAAATAAGATACAGATATTATTTATAATCATAATTAATCGTGAATTATTGAAAAGAGATGCCTGGAAACAATGCCTGTAAACAAAAACCATCACAGTAAACCATCATAAGAGTAAACAGTCATAATAGTTAACAGTCATCACAACAGCAAACAGTTACAATCACAGTAAACCATCATCTTTAGAGTAAACAGTCAGAATAGTTAATAGTGAACCAGTAAATAGTAACCATCACAGTCAACCATCATCATAAGAGTAAACAGTCGTAGTAGTAAACAATCATCACAACAGTAAACAGTAATCATAACAGTAAACAATCACAGTCTCTATAAGTTAACAATATAAGGTGCGTCATCTATCAAATTAAAAGAAATCTCATTCATGTTTTTCTTTTGCATTTTGAATAAAAATGGAGAATGCTTTGCAGTTACCTGAGATTTTATTGTCTTGCAACAGACAATACATCTCCCCTTACACCTGGAGGTTCTCATGAATGAAGTGGGAAAACTGTCGTATGGCATAGCCTGCATAGGCTCTGGTTGCACCTCTAATTCTGGTTCTAGAACTGGAGGGTTAGTTGGAGGTTTCTCAACTTTCTCCCTACATTTATGGCAAATACAAGATTTTTCTGGGAGAGGTTTCCTTGTTAGTGTTTCAATAGCTTTCCCAAGTATTGATCTACTAGTAACTGTCTTCCGCTGCTTTGGTGCAAGCCTTTTGGAACATACAGCACATGAGAAATGTCTTGCCATGATGAAAAAATCCAAGATGGCTACCAATTGATAACTCTTATATTTCCCTTTACTTTTGTTTTAAACATGGAGCACAAGTTTCCGGTTTGAATGTTTTGACTGATTCTGTTAGTCCAGCATATTAGTGACCTAAATGAATAATAAAATTCAAACCAAAACCTTGTGCTCACCTTCAATTCATAAGAAATAAATCCCCACTGTACAGCACAATTGAAATAGAAAATTTCGGAACCCTGCAGTTTTTTTATCCTAATCCTCTAAATACCCATTGACACAAGTCACCAATGATCAACAACTTACACTCAAATACCCTTTTGTTCAATTAAACAATAGTTGGAGAGTTTACTCACTTATTTCTAGAAAAATCACTAAAAATAATTTGGCATTGTTATTTTTAGAAATAATGGTGCAGAATTAGGTATAGTCTTTGATGCCAATTATCTTCTTAATCTGACTCTCTAAATGGCAAAATATGGCATTCATAAGAAAGGTAACATATCAAGGTAAAATAATATATATAATATCTGAGGTTTTTGAGATTGTGAAATTCTTCAATTTTTCAAACTCGAAACCCTGACTCATCCCCAGACTCATCCTTTCAACATTTAATTTTTTTGCAATTTCGAGTCGAAATGCCTTGGAATGGTTTAAAAATAAAGACTTTAACATATGCCTTCTTCACCAAGATCCATGCAACATGGAATATTATGCCCATTGTTGTTGGCACATGTTTAAGAACCATGAATAAGTTATAGTACTGGCCCCATGAAAGTCCAAATTGAGTCGCTAAAACATGTGAAAAGTCCACGATCAACTTTCATTGTATTTAGTTTTGAGGGGGAGGGGGGGGGGAGTCCAACTCAAAACTAGATTTATTTAGTTTCCTATCAGACATTGAACTTTTGATGTCTCCCCTAACAGTAATGCACATCGTGTCTCTTAACCTGTCCTATGTGGGACGGTACAGGAATATAGAAAATGGCATAAATAGGGACTATAGTACCATCTATACGATCCTACCTTCGCATGAGAACGTACTATTGCAAGTCATTGCATTGCAATCCTTTAGGGTTAGGTGTATGAGCTGAATATTTATTTCAAATGAATTTGTGTGTTTAGGCATTGGGCCGGACATCGATCAGTCTGAACTTGAGGACATAGCAACGGATCCTGACGATACTCATGCTTTCACCCTTGATAACTACAACCAACTGGGAAGTCTGGTTGGTGAACTCACCCAGGTGGCTTGTAAGCCGACTGTCTGTAGCGCTAAGATTGACTTAGCTTTCGTACTTGATCGTTCCGGTAGTATACTCGACCAGTTCGGTCTTATGAAGGATTTCCTTACGAGTATTGTCAGCGATCTGGAGATCGGAGCCACACGTACCAAGGTTGGCGTCGTTAGTTACAGCAGCCAAGCACAGGTGGAGTTCAATCTGAACTCATACACTACACAAGCTGACCTTCTAGCCGCTATTGATGGACTCTCAGAGAACACTGTGGGGGCTACTAACACAGCGGTAAGACATAACTTCACATTAAATACTACACTCTAGTGGGGGCAGACTAGCGTATCGTTGATAATTTTTATTCCAGGATTTTGTCTCTTTTAAGCAAACCTTGGCAGCCATTGCCAGAATTGGCATTATTTTGAAGCTGTGCATGAAAACTGTACTCAACTTCGTCTAGAAGTCTGGTACTTAAGCTGTACGGGTTACTTCCATTGAGTCGCTTTAATTAATTATCTCATATATTTTAGGCTGCCCTAAGTCTAATGCGGAACAACATCTTCAGTGCCGGAGGGGGAGATCGCAAAAGTGCCAAGGATATAGCTATTGTTATGACGGATGGGAAATCTACTGTGAACTACAATAAGGTTGCCGGGGAAGCACGCACGTAAGTGTAGCTGTCACAACTGAAGCTCATGACCCGCCCTGCGTCATTTTGTATCATTTTATTTGTGGTGTGTCATACCAATATCTATACAATGACTCCAAAGAACTACTGTTAATTGGATTTTACATATTGATATGGGACTTGATAAATGAAATGTACAATATAGTCCATGGGGCGGGGAAGGGTTAAGATCTTTTTGAGCGTAAAATCACTTTTGTGATATGGAATTCGTTTTCATTAGGACTGGTTGAACGATCATGTTTTGGTTTATTGTTTTTTTCTTTTTCTCGTATAACTTCTCAGTGTATTCAACGAGATGCCTCGATCCGGACACGTAAACATTTATTGCGACCGATGGGATCAAATGGCTCTGCTTATCCTAGTGACCTCTATTTGAAGAAATATAGTTTATACACATATAAGAAGGAAATATAGATCCCATATTAGAGAGCTTTTTGATATAAGTTTTCAGCCAAACTTGTATTGCAACTTAAACTTTGAAATGACGTAAACATTAATTTCTAATTGTAATCATATTTTGAAACCGTAACTCACGAACTACATACTGACCTACAAGTACAAGTTTGCGTATCCCAAATATATTATATCGAAAGCTCGCTATTGTTCACTCTAAACTTCACTCATTAAAACAATAGTGCAAATGCAACCAAGTTTGAAAATGTGCTCACTTGCAGAGTAAGAATTTGTCGCATCTTAAAGTTGCGACAATTAGTGCAGAGGGGCCATTCAACGATCGTGGACCAGTGTCAAAATATATTTAAGTTTGGATTTTTCATCAAGACACTTATTTTTATTATCTCCAAAGAAACCCCCTGGATGAACATTGTTTCAGCTGATATTCCTCTTGAAACCTGGTGGATCTTCAAAATCTATAAGTGGGACTGTCTTTATAGAAGCTTTGAACTGAATTTACACTTCTTAATGCTTAAATTGATAATTTATCCATATATTTTATAAAAGAGGTTTGACAATGAAGATGATAAGGCAAATGTTGCCCTGATAGCTCAGAAAAAGTAAAAAAAACGAATTTTCTTTCTACAGGCCTTGTTGTCCCTTTAAGAAACTCCCAGAAGCTGTACGCATAGTTCTAATCATTTCGAAACAATACAAGTACTAAAACAAACGAGAATCTGAGAATTAGAGGAGTGGAGGCAGCATGTTTATTAGTCTACCTGATCGATATATTGCAATGTCCTGGGAAAATATGTCTAAACAATAGAATTTTAAATGACGAATTGGAAGAAATTAGTAGAACTTGAAGAATGCTTCTCCAAAAGTATTACCGAATTTGGCTATTGTTTTTCAGGACACACAATCAAGGAATCACCGTATTTGTTATTGGTATAGGTTCGGAGGTTGATAGAGCCGAACTTAAGCAGATAGCATCGGACCCGGATTCTCAACACGTCTTCAATGTCACTGGGTTCACAGCGCTTTCGGCAATTAGAAACGAAGTATTTGTCACTGCGTGTGATGTTGGAACATGTGAGTAGAATTTATATGCGTTGATTTGTGTAATGGATTGAAATTGAGTCTAAGAAGTTACTTTTTTTCTTTTTTTGAATAATATAAACAATGCACCTTCCTCGACACATTGCCATATAGCCCAATGAAGGATTAAATAAAAAGTGGTTTACAAAAAATATTAGGAGAAATGATAGAAGAAATGATTATAATTTTGCGAATATTCCATGTGGGACATTAATTCCAGAAATTAAGTTGATGGATATGTACATTCCAAGTCTAATTGGATGACTTTCGTGGAATCAAACATATCAGGTGGTACTGAAAGCTTTTATTTGCATTCTTGTCAGTGAGTTATCAAAGTAACACATCCTCATGATACATACTTTATCTGATAGGCCCAGACATTGTATTGTTATTACATTATATTGTGAAGTAACTTCTGGATCTCTATCAAAACTGGAATTTGAGTACACCCTTGCTGCCAAATTGGCAAAAGCTTTTTGATTTATATTTTTAAGTTTGACATACTTTATGAGCAGTGAGTTATAAGATAGTGGGATGAGTAAAATTTGAGAATAACCTTTCCCTTATCCCTTTTGAGGCATGCTAATATTTAAGGATCTACGTACAAGTGTAATAAAATAAGTTGCAAATTATGATAATGATTATTAAATAATCTTCATTTTCTCATTCATCGTCGATGTGTTCACTTTTGTTCGGAGAAGGTTAAACAAAAACGTGATTTCTATTTTGTTACATAATTCGCCATTAATGTACTGTTATATCAAGTAACTATAGCGTGTGTGTCTACCACATCATGCGAAGAGTTCAGATTAAGTTTAACCATTGTATTAATGAATTGTGTAATTTGTGTTATGTCAATTAGTTGAACAGAGGTTTTGCAAACGAAAATTATCACCAAAGGATTTTTATCCCTTTGTTATATAGCTTTAATCGTATCTACGATTCTCATGAGTGAATTGTGTAAACAATAAAGAAAAACACTAACTAAAATGTATAATCAGTAATTGTTTTTCAGCCTGTCAGGGCCCAGCCGATATTGTGTTTGCCGTCGATGCCTCTGGCAGTATCAGAGCTGAAGACTTCGCTACGATGAAATCCTTCCTTTCAAATACGATCTCAGAGTTTCAGATAGGTCCTGATAATATTCAAGTTGGTCTGGTGTCGTTTTCTGACGATGGAACAATCGAGTTCCATATGAATCGGTACCACGATAAAGACCAGCTATTAACTGCCGTAGATAATTTTGAATGGCGAGGAAGGGCGACACACACAGCACAGGCATTAATGCTAGCTAGGTAAGTTTTTATTCAATTTTATTTAAACAATAGTAACATTTATAAATACATTTTTGTGATTAAAACATAGTAGCCTGGACAGAATTGTTCAATGGTCACTTTTTCTTTAATAACTTTTTTAATTTTCAGTATTATCATAGTCTGATTACATATTTGAACACTAGAGTAAAATTCTGACATACAAAAAAATATTTAAGGAACATCTCTTAATTTATTGATATTATAGGCATTCAAAGTATGACTGACGCAAATTCATATTTCATCATTTTGCCTCATATTTGTTCAAAATGGCGGCATATTTTGTGAATTTGAATGTTCAGTTGAAAGTTAATATAGTCTATAGTCCTAATATAGTCATAGGACTATAGGGCCATGCTGCCACTGTTACAAATCTGATGTAATGCAGCAACTGACCAGTCATCAAAACAAAAAGTCAAATCCCTCCAAGGGTATATGAAATCAACTCTATTGAAATGTTCGGGGTTGTGTTCAAGAGGATGTGAAAAGGTGGCGCCCCAATGTGCGGGATGTGATGAGAGTAGGTCTTAATCTGTAATCTTTTCAAGAGCTCCAAACAGCCATCTCAGAGGCCATTGAAAAGCTGAAGAACATGCATGCCAAGGATGGGTTAGAGGCGTGTGACTGGGAAAGATATTACAAACTGTGGCAGTATGACCCTATAGTTGCACAGGTTCAATGAACTAGGGTTGCTAATCCACTACGAGTAACAATCACTGGCATGTAGCGATTATAGCGGTCCTGTCTTGGCTTATTGAATTGTTACGAAGTTACGTATGCGGTGCGGAAGTTAGAGAGCAAATGACCATCATTTCAATGTAATAGTTTATGCAGGAAAATTGAGATTAGGCCATTGGAGTATTTGTTTCATGCATTTGTAAAACATTACCCACTCATAGGTCATACTTATCGTTAAACCAATAACTCAAATATATGCCCTTGTACACCGATCACCTGTTGAAATTAATACAGGCCGATTTCAACAAATGTAAACGGCGATATATTCAAAATCGTATTCAAGCATGACCACGTCCCAACTTCTTTTGTTTTCTTTAAAACTAAGCTATGACTGCAGTCTATTCAGTGTTGCGTATCGAACCTTGTTTATTATAAAAATAGTGCAACAACAAGCAGAATTCACACATTTACCTTATACTTATTCTCAACTGAAGACATTGAATTTATCTCTTAGGTTTTACATTATAAATATCTTAACATGCAGAATACGAAAATAGAGGCTTAGGCCCAACTTTGTATGAATTTTATGAGAATAATCTGATTTTAGAGAAATGAAAAGAAAAATGTCCACACCCTACACAAAATATTTATGGTTCCCCGGGAATACGTATGTGCTGCTTGTTTATTAGAATCGTATTCCAGTTACAGAAAGAAGTACATACCATGCTAAACTATATACAACAGTTATGCACTTGGAGGTTTTGGATACAGGGAATATCCCGAGGGATATAAAATATATCTTCCCTTGGTCCTTCGGGAAGATACTAGTATATTGTATATCCTTCGGGATATTCCCTGTATCCAAAACCTCCAATTGCATAACCCCTATATATTGGCCAAGGGATAATCCCAATATCCTGAACCGACTATAGGATAATATGTTTATCCCATACCAATATTGGTCATCTGGTTCACATTGTTAAATCGTGGAAACATTTTAGAATATTCATGTCCAGTTTGGTTTTCTTGGCCGTGGGCGGATTTTCATGTTCTCTCAAATATTCCCATATTTATTTTCTCGAATTTTTTATTGATTGAGTGGATGCTCTTTCCTTTTTTTAACTATCAAACAGACCCTGATTGTCTGTGTTTTCTCCATTGCCGTTTACAGTCATTCCGCGAACGTTACAAATTATGAACAAATATGCAAGCGGCGATTATGACGTAGCGGGCAGATATACTATATCTGCCCGCTTGGAGAGGGACGTAAAGCTTTATCCCATGGTTGTAAGGAGGATATAGATCGAATATCACATGATGATATATTTGATATGTGGATCAAGATATCATATTTTAGCAAACAATTTACAAACCATCGAATATCACTTTTAAACTATCGAATATCACATCTTAAATAGAGGATATCCTATGATTTATGAGTGATATGATTTTTATCCACGAATGGATATGATATCTGCATGAGTGAGCGTAGCGAGAGAGTGCAGATATCAACATCCATGAGTGGATTAAAATCATATCACGAGTAAATCATAGGATGTTCTTTATATTCCATAGTTAAAGTCATCATCAGAATCGTCGGGAATTAAGTGATTTAAAACGAATTTTCCAAACGATACGGCGATATTGACACTTAGCCTCGTTTTGAGTCTGAAGTAGCAAAAATCCATAAACCATGGCATACGACGCCGTATTCCATACCTGATGAGGTTTCAAGGACATATCAACCGGGAATATATTCCATCTCCGGGCAAATATTTTTCGTATGTCCCGCTCCAACGGAGCTCCGGGACATATAAATCGTATGTCCCGCTCAAAAAAAATGTTGAAAAAAAAAATTCGGGAAAAAAAATTGGAAAATAAAAATTTGAAAAAAAATTGTGTAAAAAGATTTTGAAAAAATGTTGATAATTCTGAAAAAAATTATGCAAAAAATGTGAAAAAAATTTTGGGATTTTTTTTTCATTTTTGAAAAAAATTGAAAACAAATATGGAAACAATTTGAATTTTTTTGAAAATGATAACATATTTTGCAAGTAAACACACCAGAGCATATGGGATACATGCTTATTATTTCAAAACCTCTTCAGGTATGGAATACCTACAGTTATGCACGGTCGGTTTGGATACAGGAAATAACCCTTGGGATATACAATATATCTTCCCTTGGTCCCTTCGGTCCCTCGGGAAGATATATTGTATATCCCTCGGGATATTCCCTGTATCCAAAACCTCCCAGTGCATAACCCCTATGTATGTCATGGCTAAAACACCGTATGCTATGGTTAAGTGAAAATTTGCCAAAAATATCATATTTTACCACTGATTTAAAAAATACCGTTTTTATTTTGACATGTTATCCTATGGATATCATGCTAACTATGGAATAATATAGGAATATCCTATGGCTCTGAAAAAATATCACTTATATCCATGAGTGGATATTGATATCTTCGCGAGTGAGCGCAGCGAATGAGTGAAGATATTGATATCCATGAAACCATCGAATATCACCTTTCAAAAAGTGATATTCGATGGTTTCAAAAGTGATATTCGATGATTTGTGAATTGTTTGCTAAAATATGATATCTTCATCCACGTATCAATTATATCTTCACGTGATATTCGATCTATATCCTTGTAACCATGGGATAAATAAGGGTTATGTTCTGGGAGGTTTTGGATATGGGGTTTTTCCAGAGGGAGATATGCATATCTACCTGAGGGACCGTAGGGACAGAAAGTAGATGTGCATATCTCACGAGGGATGAACCCAATATCCAAACCGACCGTACATAACTGCTTTATCCTATACCAAGTAGAGTTTTCAGTAGTACAAGGTGTAAAAAATAAACAAATCATTCATATGCAAAGTCATTTTATTGCATTTCCACTTTTTTGGAAGCGGGAAGATACGCCCCGAAGCGGGAAGATATGCACCGAAGCGGGAGATATGACGGGAGATATGGAGGTTCTTGATATGGAAACCTCAAAATCAGGATACGGGATATATCTTACCAACTTATCTCCCTAAAACCCTACTTGGCATAGGATAAATCAAGATAATTTCTACTCGCATCTAGTCTATTCCACATGTTTGGGAAAAGTGTACAGGAAAATCTCCATGTTCAATATATACGAATCGAATGTTTTCTCGTGTGCATTACAATATCCACATTGAAACATTTTTGGCCTGCAATGGACGTATAATGAATTAGAATATGAGGCCGTGTTATCATTCTAATGTAAAGTCATTGTATTTACTGTGGTATTGGGTTGCAAGTTAATATCAGATTCAATGCAAATTAATCATCTAATATCAGATGCGCGATCAGTCCAATAATCTAATTTCAGGTCATCAGTTCGATATCTAGCACTTGTTCTAACGACACGGTATTACTAGGCTATCATATTATAAATACACACACATATAAAACAATCAAACTGGTACACGATATAAGCACGACTGCTCTTTCAATTGAGTATAAATGTTGATAAACTTACCCGGAAGCCAAGACATACACGTTTAGACGATGCTATTTTCAGTTCAGTGTAAGAGTAAATGCCCGGATATCGAGGCTTTTTCGTGTAAAGTTTTAACCAAGCATCTAAAATCGGGTTATATTGCGTGTAGAATTTATCGATATCAGGGCCGCTACATGCCAGTGAACAATGGAATGGCCAAAAGACGTTAAGTGCTGCGACCTTACCAATATACTGTACATACAATATACAAACCTTTTTAAGTGCTGGTATACATACAAGTCAATTTAAAACAAAAGGTTATAAATGCAGTCATTAGTTCATACCAAGGCAGCAGTCTACATGATTTCGTAGGCCTATGACATTTCTAAAATATTAACTTTAATTTCAACTGAACATTCAAACCACAAAATATGCCGCCGTTTTTGAACAAATATGAGACAAAATGGTGAATGATGTATTTGCATCACTCATACTATGAACGCCTATAATATCAGTAAATTAAGAGATGTTCCTTAAATATTTTTTTGTATGTCAGAATTTTACTCTTGTTTTCAAATATGTAATCAGATTTTGATAATACTGAAAATTAAAAAAGTTATTAAAGAAAAAGTGACCATTGAACAATTCTGTCCGGGCTACTATGTATTTTGAAATTTATACAACTGGGCAGATACGTTAGCACTATTCTAGGAACGCGAACACAGTCACATACGCTTATAATTCTGGGCACATGCCACCTTCCTGGCCTTTACTTGCCCGGCGATATAAAAAAAGTAGTGGTAAACCTGTTGAAAAGCAGACAGAAACACTGTCATATTATGTAACAAGCTTATGTTCAAATTCTCCCAATCAACTGTAATCCAACCTCTCTTTCACGTGATCCATATATCTATTATCAGCTTATATATATGTGAGTATATTTATTTAAAAGGTCTCCCAACCCAGCTGCAAATGGGTCAGGTTTGATCGTTTACACATAGAGGGCGTTTAAAACACCCTATATATGGTTTCACTTTCAAATGATATAATCAATTTTATAGAACTCAGATGTTCCGTCAAGAAAATGGTGACAGGCGCATTGCTCCCAACGTTCTGGTTCTCGTAACTGATGGTGTATCAACCGTGAACCCCGATGAGGTCAACCCAGAGGCCCTTGAGTTACGTATTTCAGGGACAGACATATTTACAGTCGCTATAGGGAACTTGGTAATTATTTTCATGCAAGTTGGCTCATTCAAAAGATTACTATTTCATAATAGATCATATATGTGAAATAAACTATATACGTATAATACCTCTTTGGAACATGTCCAATGTGAACAAAAATATACCATATGCCGTGAATATTCCTCTTTTGGGTGGCCGGCAAGAGCGTTGTTAAAGTGTATGCGGTACATGTAGTCATTAAAAACATAATATATTCCATTTTGCTACTAAAATGCAAGATGGAAGAATCGAGATAGCCCAAGAGTGTTCATCTCATTTGAAAAAAGGATTCTTTACCGGAGTTGTGAACAAAATTTCGACAACTTACAAAATTGGCAAACAGTATATGATCAAATATGAAACCAGTTTTTCAAATTCCATTGCCATGTTTCCATTGGAAGCTACTTCATTTTTCCATTACTTGTGAGAAGTCACAGCAGCATTGTTGGGCTTATTCTAAATATAAAGAAGCGTGTGTTAAAGTTTACAAAAAACAACAACTTTAAAACACGTTATTGGGAGTTAATCAAAAACATTGATTATCATGAAAACTACATGTTAAAAATAAAATGCTGATCTTGAAAATAACCTCGTAGATCGAGAATGGAAAAACATTAATAAAATGAACGAAATGGGTAATTATGTACCAAATAAGCATCTTTGAATTATACATAAAAATCCTACCGACAAACAAATACCTAAAATTGTGGTATTAAGGATAATATTCACGGACGCTTTTCGTTCGTTCGACTTAGCTTCTCAAAAGAGAGCTTTGTCGTCGTAGTTTGTAATATGTACTCTGCGCGCATGGTAATATTCAGGTCAATATTTGCTCTGTAAATATATACATATAGGTACGCATGGCCGCGAAATATTAATATCATCAGCCATGAAAAATCCAGTTTAATGATAAAAGTACGTAGACTATGTATGAACTTGACATTATCCGTTTTATGTGAAGCTAAAACATATTACATAACATGTATTACAGTATGCTTTGATCGAGAAAATATGTGGTCGATACTAGCTTTTAAAATATAAATCATCCAGACCGTGAATAAAGTTGTAATCCACAGATTAATCCGAGATTACCAACTTACTTTTAACGGTACAACATTGCCACTAATGCGATCAAGAAAGGAAAGTTTGCTGTGTAAAAAGTAGGGATGAGTTTAAGGATTTAAGCCCTGGATTCAGTGCAATGTCGCATGATCATTCATTGAAGGTGTTGCTTTCTAAAATTTGCACGAGATGCGGAGCATTGAGAGTTAATACTAGGAAACAACGCCTGAAAAACACAATGCATCGAGTCTTGGGCAATTGTTCCACAACATACTGGCTGTCTCTGTCATACAAATGTATTATTTTCATATGACACGATAACGTATAAATCGTCCTATTATCTCAATGTACTTTTTACTTCTCGTGATACTATTAAAATGTAGTCCGATGTGTCGTAAATTATAATCCCTCGTTTATATGGTCTTTGCTGAGATCGGTATTTTCCCGTGAGGTGTTTTAGCACTTATCGGACACTTCATGTTCTTAACTTTAACCGCTGAAGCCCCTGAAAATGATAAAAGCAATGCAAAATGTAAAAAACAATAGTACTCTTCACATCTGAATTAACATTTCACAAAGTAGGTCAAATGAGGTTGTAAGATATGGTCGACTCGAGCTAAAGGTTATTTTAGCTTTTTTCACTATGAATGCTCAAAAATAATATCAATGGATATGCAATGAGATATTTTTGATAAATTGATGAATTGCTAACTTCTTCTTGTGCAGTTGCCTATTATCCCATAGTTCAACGGAAAGATAACGATATTTCCCTCGAGATCAATTCAATATCCAAAATCTCATGTAGCTGTAGATTACTGGTTTGAATTTTCCAGATTGACGAAGGGGAGCTTAAGAAGATAGCGTCAGATCCTGATGAGGAACACATGTACGGTGTTGATAACTTTGATAGTTTGGGATCCATCCTCAATTCTCTCAGAGATGCTACGTGCAATCGTGAGTACAGGTCTAAATTAGACCGAGTATTGAAGTCTACCTTAACCAACGGGATGCCACCGGCAAGGAATTAAGCAAGAATTATTCAATTAAGACTACCAACCAGTTTGGGCTTTATCCAAATCCAAAGAGGGGAGGACCCCAGGGTTCAGATATAACATATGTCTTTCGATGTAAAAGTGTATTGAGGTGATATCGTCGCTGATTGGTCAAATCGGCAGACAACTGACGTCATTCAATGGGTTTCAAAATCTTCTAAAAACGCTTCGAGTAATATACTATAGTAGTTAATATCTGGCGTTTTAATCAATATCATAGATTATTACCACCCTCGGTCCAATATATAGAGGTTATTTAATGGGAGGTTTTTGATACAGGGTATATCTGAGGGAAATACATTATATCTACCCGAGGGACCGTAGGGACCGAGGGTTGATATATTGTATTTACCGAGGGATATGCCCTGTATTAAAAATCGAGCATTTAATAACTGATTTGTCCTATACTTAGTAGATTATGAGGATAAGTATATGATTTAAATGTTATTGAACCGAGTGATGGGAAGAGAAATGAATCATTGCACACGCTGTTCATTACTTAGGCGCACTACTCAATTGACGTGCTTAAATTATATGATTAAGTGTACTGTGATGTTGTGACACCTTAATTGACAAACAAATTAGTATGTTAACTTGAAGTTATATGAATCTCCTAACCAAGTCACTCGTGAATTTTGTCAGTCAGTTATGACTTAGAAAAAAAGAAAAGGGTAATTTCAATAAATTTCAATTTCTACTGGTTGATAGTTATAAGAGGGGACTTGTCAGACCAACCAGTAATTGTATAGTTTCATTTATTTATTCACTTAGTTTTCATTCAGAACGTTAAATAAGAGTGAATTTCAATCACTACAGGTTGTCACAATAGTAGTTTTAATAATTTTCAAATGACGGGTTGGAAATTCATAATTAGAAAACTGCCCCCTAAAAGTAGCTATAGATTATAATACAAGTGCAGGAAATTATTTGGAACAATTTTGAAAAAAATTCATGGACCCCTACTTTAAATTTCAACAAATGTTGAATTATCCATTTTGTTCCTCAGGCATCATAGAATGTGCTAGCAGGCCCTGTCTTAATGGTGCCACGTGTTTGGATGGACTCGGGACGTACACGTGCGTTTGTCGCCCTGGATACTCGGGTGTCAACTGCCAAAGGGGTAAGAAAATATCACTGAATGACAAACTGTTATTACTGCACAAAAAGTAACATTTATGTTGAATAAGAGAAAAAATCTCACCGTTTTTGAGAGATCAATTTAAAACGTGTCAAGACTACATGTAGCTAATGGGTGAAGTACACGTTCATAAACCACAGACACTAGTGCTGTAAAAAACTAATTGCGGACACATGCGCCTTGTAATTATATTGTAATTTGAATATTTTAGAATGTGATGTGAATGCTGACCTCGTGTTTGTCGTTGATAGCAGTGGCAGTATCCCAGAGGAAGATTTCCAAAAAGTTCTTGACTTTTTGAAATACGTCGTAGTGGAGCTAGATGTTGGAATCAGTAAAACTAGAATAGGCGTTATAACTTTCTTCACAAATGCAATTATTCGATTCCATTTGAACGAGTATAACAATCGAGCAGATGTCTATGGTGCTATTGATAGAATACCTTACACAGGTGGCGCTACGAACACACCAGAAGCGCTACAACTCATGCGTCTGTCTATGTTCACGTCACAAAATGGCGACAGGCCCGATGTCCCAAATGTTGCGCTGGTATTAACAGATGGCAATTCGAACGTTAATGAGCTGGAAACTTTACCACAAGCCCGCGAAGCTAGAAACGCCGGAATACACTTATTCGCTGCAGCTGTCGGAAAGGAAATCAACATGGGTGAACTTCGCGGAATCGCCACTGACCCGGATGTAAAAAATGTATTCCAAGTAGCTGATTTGAGTGATTTGGTGGACATAGTTTCGGCCATAGCAGATCCAATCTGTAAAGGTAATATAATGCTAACTCTAAATATTTTGTACCTCATTACTTTTTCAATCGATTTCAAAAAATATCACACGTTTTCACGACCTACAGTTTATTAATCGAGTTAACTTATTTTAGGCAGGATTGAGTCCTCAATCTCATTCATTCAATTTCACGGATATTTAACAAAAAGAATAAACACAATTAATCACATTTCTTTTCAGACTTTTTAAAATTATGATTCATTATTCAGTCTATATTGAATCTTAAATCATTATTTATATAACCATTCATTGATGCATCATGATGTCATACTGAGTAAATTATACTGTACGTCTGCTTGTATGTTATGAATCAAGACATAACAACTAATCATACTGGAAAGCCTGTAAAAGTACATGTATTTCACCTTCCAAATATTAACTCCACATTCACACTGATCAGTGCTTTCAAGGACGCGTCCCTATAATTGAAAAGACCCAGGGCGCAAAAATTAAAATAACGTCTCAAGGACGCGATTCGACTTTGACAAAAATAAGCATAATCATGAATGTAATCATCAACAAGTTTTAATAACTCATTCATCTAGCATGGGTTTTAAGTCATATTTTGCAAAACTGAACCTTGTTCAATGTTCTTTCACTCTATTAATAAAGTCATTGGTCTAATCCCAATGATCACACGTTTATGGTCATTTTACAAAACATGCTCCAAATGCTGAAACATGTCAAACTCACCAGATATGAGCCCCCGGCAGGGCTTATATCTTTGGAACTATTTCAAAGTAAAAGATAATGTCTACATGTACACTAACAAAACAAACCTAGAAACATCAGCGAGTTGAAACAAGTGATTAGAAAGAAAATGAGGGCCATTACACAAGATATCTGTGAGCATGTTGTCAGAACAGCTTCACCCGACGCGTTCAAGTTTGCCTCCAGACACCAGACTGGCATTTGATGAGCCTGTTTTGTAAAAATGGAAGAACATTGAATAAGGTTTCAATGTGCCAAATGTGATCTTAAACCCATGCTAAAATGACTATGAGTTATTCACATTTGTTTGTGTTACCTTTTTGACTCCATGTACACAGAGTAACGCATATCAGATACTTGCAGTTTATGGTGTAGTTTTTCAAATAGAAATTAATCTAAATAGTTAGATAAAGAAAGGTTTATCATTTAAGTTTCAACCATAGGCGTTCAAGATATGAGCTCCATGGGCCAAAATATTAGAAATATTTTCTTCTCGTACTTTAGGCTAAGTGCCAAGAGACACCCATCGACCCTCAATAGTGGTCAGTACCCTCTGGCAGGGGATTAACATGATTATCATGGGACTCCTTTTTTTAAATGGAAACAATTATTTCCCGGAATTATTTCTGAACTGTTGCCAATAAGGGATTGCGATTGAAAGCATTGTAAGTAAAACTGTTAATCATAACCAGAAAATGTACTTCAAAATCATTCAATACGCCGATGTACTATGTTTTCAGATGGACGCGAGTGCAGCAGCAACCCATGTCAGGCTGGTGCCCGATGTATAGATGGTCTAAATTCCTTCACTTGTATTTGCCCCAGTGGAAGATCGGGCGTTTTTTGTGAAAGGAGTAAGTATTCCGATAATTGCTTGACTAATCAGAAACCAAAAAACGTCAATGTTTGTGTTAATTCCATTTTCGAAAATCGAATAAAGATTGATTCAGAGTGAATGAGAACACGAAAACTTATGTCTTGTTTTAAATACCCTGTCCAATGGTATACTTTGATTTTGCTTCTTTAAAAGAAAGTTTCATCTACATACGAATATACTGGGTATGTGAGTATCATTTTCATTTGTTTTTCAGGCTGCCCGGCGTCATCTGACGTTGTTTTCGCCATAGACTCATCCGGAAGTATTGGGGAGGCCAACTTCCGGCAAATGATGTCATTCGTAATTGACATCGTAGAGAACTTAGAATATAATGGAAACACGCGAATTGGAGCACTTTCATTTGCTGATGATATTAACCGTCATTTCGATCTCAATACATACACTTCGAAATCTAACGTCATGAACTCACTCGGCGCCATTAGTTACAGCAAGGGCGCGACTAACACTGCAGGGGCGTTAGAATTAATGCGCGGTATGTTCTCGCCACAACGCGGTGATAGGGCCGGAGTGAAGAATTACGGGATCATAATCACAGATGGTAAACCAACTGTACGGAAATTGGAATGGAAGGAGCAAGCGCGTCAAGCTAGGGACAGAAACATTCAACTTATAGCTATTGGAATAGGTTCAGGGATTGACATTGAGGTGCTTAATGAAATAGCTAGCGATCCCGATGAACAAAACGTATTTTCAGTTGCCGATTTTGATGCTCTTGAAACAATTTCAAATACTCTACAAACACAATTGTGCTCATAGTTAACTTACAATCTCTATTCAGTATTATAATAACGCCTATTGTATAATAATGCCCTATATTTGTATATACACTATCCATACATTTAAATACTTTATCTAGTTAACTTCCCACTTGAGCAGTTTTGAAAGCTCAAACTGTACTTGATATTTCACTCAACACTTTTGAAGTTTTACGTCAAGTGAACTGCATGTTATGCATTTGATTATTTTGGTAAACACATTAATATACGAAATATACATTGCAGTTATATAAGAAATGTAACGATACAATCTACAGCGTCTAAATTGTAAATAATATATTGTGCCATATTCAGGCGTTTGTAATTGTCTGAAGCATTTTTTTATTACATGTTGGTTTCTTACACGAGCCATTGCTCATTTCTACATTTAGATGTATCTTATTAAAATGCCCGGTTTTCAATGGCAACATAGCCATGTGAAAAACATAGCATGTATTTAACGGGGAGTAATTTTTACCCTTTACAAAGTTTGTTGTAGCCATAATATAAACATTATGAAATAAAGTTAACATAATTACATATAAACGAGTAACACTAGACGTATATAGATGGTTGTTAAGTTTGCTTGAATTAAAGGTGCAGACCCGCTATGAAAAAAAATACCGAAAGGAATAGGGCTCTATTGCTCCTGGATCCATTCTGGCTACTCGATAATTTCGATCAATCCATTTCTTTCCACTGACTCAATTGATAGAATAAGATGCGAGGAGAAATAATTTGATAACTTGATTTACGTCATTATATATTCAAACTTCAGTCAAAGTGATGTCATATTTGAAATCTACATGTAAAAATACATCTAGTAATGTGTTTCGAAAATTGTTTATCAACTTTGGACAGATAACATTTTATTTTACTGGACATGTTTTTATTTGCGTAACTATTAGATACATAAGGGTTATATAAAAATTGAACCACTAAAACAGATGTAATTTAAGTTAAAGGGAACTTTCTACTATACCCGCCATGCTATCTGACCTGAACGAGCCACCTGGTGGTGAAACTGGTAACTACCTATTCACACCTGCGTTATTGGAATTAACATTATATTTAACATTATACTAAACCAGAGCAACGATACAATCTGGAAATAACTCTGGAAATAGTAATAGTAAAATTCAGTATAACTTCATTTGTAGCTTTAATGTAGTTTAAATATAAGATATTAGAAATACTATTTCGAACCCATGAAAATTATTGTATGTGATATGAGATGTGTAATAAAGTAAACATACTTTCAAATCGGATCAAAGACCAACCTTTTGAATGTTGCGTAGCTTTGCCATTATGAAAGGTAATGAAACGTAATGTCTCGCATTGTATTCATTTCTCAAATATAAACCGATTGCATAGGTTATCGTGCATTTTCTTTAAGATGCTGACATTGAACAGTTCCAACATGTCGTTGATAATTGAACTTCTCTCAAAACTTACATCTTGAATCACAAGGTTTCGGTTGCTCCAACTTCACGTTATAACCACATGGATAAAACACAAGTAATTTATGAAAGCTGAAGCTACAGAGAACAGATATTCCAAAGATGCCCTGCAGAAGAACAGCTTCAAAAAGTAATGAGATGGGTTGAGGAAGACACCGCTCTTTCCAATGCCCTTTAACTTCATATCCGGCAAGACTGCAGCTAAAGGCTGCCCAATGTGGTCATACATGTACTCACTTTTAAAATTAATTTAGGAATATATCTTATTTTCTATCATGTATCTTCATCTTTTCACGCTCTAACAACTAAATACTCTTTCCAATGGTTTATAGTATGTGTCTGTACGTGTTCTGCTTTATGCTGTAGATGGGGGCACAATGCTATTTGACACCCTGTGCATATTACAATGTTGGTTTTCGTGCATCGGAAATCTATACTGGCGTTCGTGTCTTGTGGTCATTTGTTGTATGTGTGATTATTCAAAACTGTCAGAACTGTGTGCAACGACCATTTATCACAATAATGGAGAGTTTAAGCTTGCAATATTTTTCACAACCTAAACGTGAACGGAAAATATTTAAGCGATGCAATTGTATGGGCGATTGGTCATAAGTATAGGCTGGCGTTTCGATTTTATATGCAACCTTAAACTCCATATTGAGTAATCAAATCACGAGTGTACGCGTCAAATCATTTGTTACAGGTATGAGTACACCCATGGGGACCTTTCTATACACAGTCCACTATTACCCAGTTGATAGATATAATTATCATATTTCACAATGTTGTGTGATTTATGTGATTATGCGTCATCAGTGGGTACCCCCGTATCCTTTACCTTTCACCAGTTGAATAGAAATATACTGAAGTGAGCATGCTTTGTTGAAAACTAAAACTCAATGAACCTCGCAATTTATTCAGTTTTAAAACTGCAGATACCCTTAATTGCCATTTTGTTTTGTGTACACTCAGTTGTATCTGTAGAACTGTTTCACTTATGCCTTGGTCAGATTTGCTCCGATTTTCACTACGGCGCCCGGCCGATTGAGTATTTTGTTCAGAATGTTGAACAAAATACTCAATCGGCCGGGCGCCGGCCGATGAATCGCAGCAAATGTGACCCAGGCAATATACGGGTGTTCATTCAATGATCACACTCGGTTTCCCCATTTTGTCTGTTTTAGTTAAGCTTGCTATGACATTTTTATATTGTAAAAGTGGACATGCAATATGCATGTTTTAAAGCCTTATGACTGGGTCACATTTGCTCCGATCCATCGGCCGGCGCCCGGCCGATTGATTGTTTTGTTCAATATTGTATTCAATTTTGAACGAAATACTCAATCGGCCGGGCGCCGTAGTGGAAATCGGAGCAAATGTGACCAAGGCATTAGCTCTCATCAGAGAAAAATGTTTTTCAAGCTTAATTTCAATCTTATTTGTTCTAGAATATAATTTTCAAGTTGATTTAATATTTTTATTTAACTTTATCATTTTGAATTGTTTATCATCTCTTGCACTATTGCCAAGTCGAGACTGTTTTTGGTTGAATCAAAGTTCATTGAAAACATGATAACTGTAGTTGGCTTTTTTGAATTTGTTATTTTATCATAAAATGACGATTTCAATCATTTGTTTCATTTTACATTCATGTCGACCCATCCCATTGACTATTATGACACGAACCAGTCAAGGTCAGGATAACTTTACTCGTGCCCTGTTTAAGTTCTTCTTGACGATTGCTGGCAGCCATATGTTGATAATTGTTAAATATACCGATGGGCCTCTTGTCAATCAACAAACATGTCATGATTTCTTGATAAAATAAAATATTTCTTTAAACTATGAAAGTGATAAAACTAAGGTACATATACCATATAAAAGGTATAAAATGCCGTTGAATGTACTTTGCGAATGTGTGTTGACATTTCCGAAACTATTAAGTTAGATCAATTTATGTGAAATATCACATGAACTTGAGCTCGGATCCAAAATAAATAATACCATGAATCAATTAAAAATAAAATGAATGCATGATCATATATACATTGCGTACACTGTTTATATTGAGACAATTCAAATTGGATAAAGAGTACAGAGAGACTTAACATGCTAAACCGCTTAAAAAGTGTATATCTGAAATACCGAAAGCAGACTTCCACCTTCCAAAATCAAAATTTTGTATTTTTCATAAATAACCAATGGCGTTTTTGGATTAGAATTTCTTGAAACAAAAATGGCGGTCATAAAAAGGAAATAGATTACTTTTAAATTACTTTTAACTTTTTTTGATTTCTTTTAATTGTGAAGAATGAATTCAAATTTCCAAAAAGCTCCTATTTTCATGAGGTCTTAACAACGAAATAACTCTATGTACAACTTCATTTTCAAAGTTTCAATTGGAAAACGTCTGACTTTTAATGTATTTCTGTATTTGTTTTTCCCTGGCTACACTTATTTACTGTAAGAAACATGTTTTGAATAAAAAGTTAACACACCTGTGATTAATTTATGATTAAGCTGTGATTAATCTGCAGCCAAAAGGGTGTACACATACACTTCCTTAATTGGGACCGATGTACACAATATTACAAACAAAAATATGTGTAACTGCGTCAAACGGGTAGTGAGTAGTTAATTGTACTTAAAACTTTTACCGCCCAGTTCCAATATCATACTTCGAATGTCATGACATTTATAAACCGTTTAAAGTGAATCATACAATTATTGTTTCTGCGAACGCTTTTGGACATAATTGCTTTACAACACTCCTCCACATGCTTCCATTATTGTGCACGCATTCATTAAATCCCTTTAACTCCAGCGAGCAGTCGGTCACTTTACGTGAAAACTGGTTTGACTGGTCAGAGCATTAAACTTACCTATTGTTGTGACCAAAATCAATTCTCATCTGATGTAACCGCTTATTGGCCAATCCTGGAACATTTCATTCATACATATATTGGATTGAGTACATATAAAACAAGGGAAAGACCACGTTCCTAGTTTTCCGGATTTATACTTACTTGTGGACCCACGTGTTGGCAGTGCATCATAGGCAAGGGGTGGATACTATCTTACAGTTACCAAGGTAAGAACGCTTTCATTATTCAACTTTTACACATTATGAAGTTTACTTGCAGTGAATTAATTGAAAAGTTTTGAACACATGGTTTTACAGTTTGGAACATAAATAAATGACGGGTGTATTTGCTGAAGTGAGGATTTCCCATGTTAAAAATAAGAGGATTTTCAAGAGGCCATACATCCGTGGATGAGATTATACAAAATGTAAAATATACAAATTTTAGGGGATATGTATCTACAGCCCATTTCATTGTTTTATTTTGTCAGTAAAATCTAAAAAATAAGAAATCAAAAGATCATTGTGCAATAATATATGGAAAAATATATTCCTATCGTACATAAATGACATTTGTATATATTGGATTGCTTCTAGTTTGGCTAATAACGTATGTGGCCACTTATATTTTGGTGCTTCTCTGCCATAGTATTTTCATAAAGATTAACATGGCTGAAATTCTTTAAATTACAAGAGGGTATAGGCTTATCGCACAAAAAACTAAATAATCTGAAATATACAAATGTCCTTCATGTACAATATGAATATACTTTTCTATATAGTATTGCACAATGGTCTTATTTTGGGGGTTCTACTGACGAAATAAAACAGTGAAATGGGCTGTAGACAATGTTGGAAACTATGGGCTTTCAGACGACTATGGTTAGGAAATGGTGATAGAAAATCAGCCTGTCATTTATTTATGTTTCAAACTATAATGAGGAATCTCCTAGCCTCGTGGAAATGGTGCCATTGAGATACGGAATACACAAGTTTCAGAATTTCTCAAAAACCAGTAATTTTTCGTTGACATTTTCCTCTACCAATATTTATTTACGTTGACTTCAGGGGAGAAGGTGATACTATCTTAAATAGCAATGAAAATGTTCAAACCAACGTAATTTTTTTATATTCGGCCAGAGTGCACTTTGGAATTATTTTTTTGCAATTTTGAAAAGTAAACCACTGAATATTCTAGTTAAGGTCAGGATGCATGTAGTTCAACAAGTTAAACCTAGTCTGGGCCTTATTTCTTATCTGACATTTCTTGTGGCCCGCCCGAGGTTTAACATCCGTGCCTATTCGGCCCTTGATGCAAAATATTTTAATGATGGCCTATGGCAGCGCATAGAATTCAATGCGCGTTTTATTAAGGTCAGGGTGCATGATGGGAAATTTTCTGCAGTCCTCAATTGAGTCACATGTTATTTTTCAAACAAGAATCACTCCTTCCCCACATTGTCTATATCTTCCAGTTTTGCACAAAGAGTACACTTATGTACCTAGAAAAGATTTGTGAGAAGAATGTTTTGATAAATTGTATAAAAAACAAGAAAATTCAATGAAAAAATTTAGAAAATTTTCAGAATTTTTTTTCACTGAATTTTCTCGTTTTTTATACATTTTACATAACAAATCTTCTCACAATGCTTTTCTAGGCACATAAGTGCACTATTTGTGAAAACCTGCAAGATGTAGACAATTTGGGGAAGGAGTTATTCTTGTTTGAAAAATAACATGTGACTCAATTGGGGAATGCAAAAAATTTCCCAACATGCACCCTGGCCTTAATATCTGATAGTGATAATTTGCATCCAATGAAAGCATAGCACGGAAGTTAAACCCAACCACGGCAACAAGAACACTCAGATTATAAATGAAAGCCGTGGTATTGGGTTTAACTTGTTGAACTAGGTGCATGATGGGAAATTTTCTGCATTCCTGAATTGAGTCACATGTTATTTTTCAAGCAAGAATCGCTCCTTCCCTTCATTGTCTATATCTTCCAGTTTTGCACTAAGAGTGCACTTGTGTGCCTAGAAAGGACTTGTGAGAAGAATGTTTTGATAACGTGTATAAAAAACAAGAAAATTCAGTGAAAAAAATCAGAACATTTTCAGAAATTCTTTTCACTGAATTTTCTCATTTTTTATACATTTTACAAAACAAACCTTCTCACAAGGCTTTTCTAGGCACAGAAGTGCACTCTTTGTGCAAATTTGGAAGATGTAGACAATGTGGGGAAGGAGTTATTCATGTTTGAAAAATAATATGCGACTCAATTGAGGAATGCAGAAAATTTCCCAACATGCACCCTGTCCTTAATCAAACATTCTGAAGAATTATCAAACCTCAATAATGGTCTAGGTTCACTAATGCATCTTTTGTGCAAGAATGAAAGATGTAGATGATGTGTGGAATGAGTTATGTTTTTTATAAGAATATGTTACGCATGTACAGACATTTCAGTTCAATCGAAAAATGTGTAATATCCAGATAAAATGTGAAGTTACTAACCATTTAATAATAATTGGTGATTATGAAAATGAAAATTACTGAAATATTCTCATGCTGGTCTACCTTTATGGTAAACGTCTTAGAAAGAGAATTTCGTATTAATGACCGAATTCTAACCCTTTGTGAGATATTTATATGGGTGTGAAAGTCTTAAAGTGGAAATTTATGGACGTACTTCACTTTTATCCTGTAATAAAAACAGAAACTCGTCAAACTTTGACTATTCATGAATTTTATTCACAATTTTTATTCATAACAAATTCATTCTTGAGGTGACCGAAATAAACCCAATCCTAAAGTAGAAATGGTTCATTCAAAATCACCAGACCGACACTCAATGTCGCATAGTTATTTAGACCGTGATATTACGACGATTTAAAATGCCAAATGTATTCATATACATTTTACAAAATGGGAGTTCAGATTTGGCAGGTTCCTCCCACAGCATGCGTCCCGGCTTCACATTTCCCTGATATTAGTCACGGCGCTTCGATAAATCTGAATACACTGCCTATGTTTAACAATAAGCTTTGCCGCCTGGCATATTTTAAAATATTTATGTGCACGGCAGTCGATGTTAAACATGTAGCATTTGCAATACTATTTGCCCTGTTGTGCAAATACTCCTCGAGATGCAATCTGTACATTCCAGATTATAACTAATCCTGCAATATAATATCAAAACTGGTAAGAACAGTTTAAGGTGTTGCATGTTTTCAAATATGAAACTCCTCATTCCCCACATAGTCCACAAAGAGTGCACTAATGCATCTAGAAAAGAGTGAAGAGAATATCTTGTATTATTAACCTACTTTTTGTACTTTTAAAAAGTAGGTCACTGAATTTTCTCGGTTTTTACGAAATTTGTAAAAAAGATATTCTCAACATTATTTTCTAGGTGAATTAGTGCACTCCTTGTGCAAAACTGCACACAAAAGATGCACATAATGTTGGGAAAGAGGGGTTCCCATCTGAAAAGGAACATAATACTCTAGGAGAATCGAATCAAAATATGAATGTAGACAATGTGTGGTATAAGTTAGGTGTACTTGGAAATAAAACAGGAATTCAGAAGGAAAACTTCAAAATTTCTGACCATACGGATGCACCAAATAAGGCCAGCAAAACTGACAACTAAGATATGTTCAACATAAATGTACACTATAAAGCCCGGAGATATTTAACGTAGCTTTATAATTAGAAAGTGGAAAGGCAATGTAAAATTAACACAATGCTAATTTGTTTGAATTAATTACTCAAGATTCCAATTGTTGTGATTGAATACATTCAATAAAAACATTATGCATTTTCATAAAATGTAAACGGACATTGTACAATGCATGCCGTAAGTAGAGTCCTCGTTGCTTGCGACGGATGTTTAGGAAATACATACAAGTATGTACAGAATGCAAATCCCCCTGGGCTCAAGTCAAATTTGACCAATAGAGATTTTAAAACAAAATCAGGTTCGAAATCTCTTGACTCTTTTAAGCATATTACTATTACCTATTGTCATTCATATATTTAAAGGTCATTATTGAAGCCTAAAGCCCATTTCACTGTTTTATTGCGTCAGTAGAACCCCAAAAATAAGAAAATTAGGAGACAATAATACTATTGAAAAGTATATTCATATTGTACTCTACATGAATGACATTTGTATATTTCAGATAATTGAGCTTTTTGCGTAATAAGCCTGTGCCCTCTTGTAATTTAAAGAATTTCAGCCATGTTAATCTTAGTGAAAATAATATGGCAGAGAACCATCCAAATATAAGAGGCCACATACTTTATCAGCCAAACTACAGTTTGGAACAAAATAAATTACAGATGGATTTTCTATCACCATATCCAAACCATGGTGTTATGAAAGCCCTACATGTATAGTCTCAAATATTGTCTAGATACATATCCCTTAAAAGTTGTATAAATTACATTTTTTATTCTCTCATCCACTGATGTATGACCTGAAAATTCTCTTATTTTTATCATTTTGTTAATAGTTACATTTGACCCAGTGTCATGTATTATAATACAGCTCATCTTGTAAACCCGTGTCGCTATCATCCCAAATTTCTCAAAAGATCCTCAAACATAGTTTCAATTACGTTTTCTGGAACATGGTTATTGGTGAAGGGGGTTATTTTTTATAATTTTTTTATGTCAAAGAATAAGCATGTTAAAGCAATTGCAAAAAACAACAGTTACATGGTAAACATACATTTTACAATTTTACAATACAGTGTTGGTTAAGCGTTATTCTTTAAGAAATGTTGTAACATTGGCAATCTTTTTTATTTAAAGGGAAAATAATCAGTATCATGAAGCGGTTATTTTTGGAAGGAATTGGTCTGGCACATTTTCATATTTAAACAATTACATAAGCCATGTAGGATATATTGTGTTAACTAAAATGGGCGGTGAAGGGGAAAGTGATCAAGGTCATCATGTCGACGTCTCTCGGTGAATTAAACTTGCGAAACATACTTTTTATATAAATCTGTTTGCAATGACATGATTGGGATTGTAGGAGATCTTGGTTTTAGAAAGACTCGCATAGTTAAACATCCATCAAGAATATGTTTGCCCGTTTGTCATTCAGACCACTGCACAATACGCTAATTACTAGGAGTCGATTGCCAAGCCCCGATCATAATGGGTTTCATATATTAGCATATACATATATTTTGATGATGTTCTTTATAGTTAGTGTAGCCTCCTAAGCAACGTTTATTGCGTCAAAATGAGAAGGATATGACCTCAGAAATATGTCAAAAAGTTAACCTTTTTCGCATTCCACTTTATACAAAAAGGTTTTCACCACTTTCCTTGTACTTCTATTTTCTACACATCTAAACCTATCCAGAAATTGGTTTAATTCATTACCATATACATATGTTGTCATCTTTAGGTCCTTTGACTTTTCTCATACCCGAGTCTTAAAATCCTGCCAAACACGCCAAATTGCCATGTTTCTAGACCCATGGTCATCTCAATTGATACAATATAAAAATTTGTGAGATTGATTGACATGTGTCAGATATATGCCAATCAACGTAACTTTGGAAGACCTTTCCAATGATATAACACACTTGGTACCATATATCTTGGGTTAGGCTGTTGAGGGGGACGGGACTTATTTGACACCCTGTATCTCAGAGAACCTGATACTATGCGTCATTGACTGGAGAAATGTTTTTTAATCCAAAAACAGTACCGACCAATTACAAAGCATGATTACATAAGTACGCAACTGTTGTAGAACCTTGTAGAAAACCCAGAACATATTTGGGGCTGGTCTTTTCAACATGAAATACGTATGGCATTGAGACTCTGTGTGTGGGACAAATCGCCGGAGCAAACCTGGCAAGTAATAGCACAAATATGTGATATGGTACAATAAAAATAAGTACACATGGACCACTGCTGGGAGGTTATATTGACCTCTTGCCAACGAAAGTGAAAAGGCAGTCTGTGATAAAGCAAGTTGAACTAAGAATGCAACCTAACAACTCAATAATTTGTTAAATTGTTGGTAACCAATAGTTCCTTTACTAATAATTATTAAGAAAATGTTTTCAGATTTAATAGGACCTATTCAACGCGAGAAACAACTAAAACCTATACACTGTGTTTATTTTGTGGAAATGATAAGCTATATTCGCTTTAAATAAAAAATATAAAAATGTCTGTTATCTATATTTGTTTTACTTATCTTGTATTTTCAAATGGATTATGCAAATTAATTACCACGAAGTACATGACAATATCTTTCACTTTTGATTTCAGGATGCTGGGGACAATTTTCCTGATATCCGGGCTTATTGCCTCAACTTACGCCCAGGGAGTTTGTCGTAGCCAGGCGGACATTGTTTTTGTCTTGGATTCGTCGGGCTCGGTGGGTCAAGAAAATTTCGACATTGTCTTGACTTTCGTCAACGAGATCATCGATGTAAGTTAATTAAATGTATAGAAATACAAATAGGCCCCACCCTGTCACACAAAATGGGAAAAATCTATTAGTCATTGCAATCATGACCATAGCTTGCCATGACGCAGACGGGTCTCTCCAAAATATACATAGAAATATTACTAAAATGGATTATCGATCAAACTTAAAGTATATCCTCTTTGGCTTAAATGACTTTTTTTAATATCGTTTTTCTCATATATGCACTTTTTGTGAGTTTTGATGCATGATTTCCTGCTGAGAGTCAAAATAGATACCCTGACAAAAAACAAAAATCGTTATTATGAAAAAGCACAAATGACAACATGTACGAAATACGAAGTAGAAAATAATTCCAATTTATTTATATTTTAAAAGAAAATCATATTTTTGAAATATATTTTGAATTTTTATATTCATTTTCTAATATAAACATGAATTCTCCGCAATTTTAATTTGAAGGGGAAAACAAGATGGCTGCCACTTGTTTTAAGAAACGTCAGAGTAAAATTTGCTTCACTTTTAGTTTTCACTTGATATTAAGCAATTGTTTTACTATTCAGTTTTGAATGATTCTGACTGTTCATCATTTGAATAGTTTTAAGAAATTATAAAATCGTTACCGTAAAGCTGTGTTCAGCATGAAATCAGGTGAAATTTATACAACTTCACTAGCACAATAACGCAGATGCGAGTAGGTAGTTACCAGATTCACCACCAGGTGGCTCGTTCGGGTAAGATAGCATGGCGGGTATAGAAGAAAGTTACCTTTAACTTAAATCACATCTACTTGCGTGGTTCAATTTTCATATAACCCTTATGTATCTAATAGTTCTGCAAATTAAAATATGTCCAGTAAAAGAAAATGTTATCTGTCCAATACAAGAAAAGATATTTCACTTTTTGTGATTTTGTAATATGGGGTCTATGGTGAATCAACCCGAACAAGAAGTCACATTTTCCCAAAAATTTTAATTTTCAAAGTTGATAGACAATTTTCGAAACCATATTTCTGGATGTACTTTTACATGCAAATTTCAAATATGAGATCACTTTTACTGAATTTTGAATATTTAATGAGGTAAATCAAGATTATTTCTACTCGCATCTAGTCTATTGAAGTGTCAAAATAAGATGCTCAGCAACTTTGAGTCAATTATAACCCCTTGATTACCCTATAAACACCAATCCAATAATCCAAGAAATGCCATTCAACGTCTAGCATAAAAAGAAAGTAAACGAATGTTTTGGAGGGTGTGTTTCAATATCATGTAATTGTATATATTATTCATTTAATATTTGGACTAGTGGAGTGTTTTTCAAACTTTACAACTTTTCATATTTTCGAAGTCGATATCCTGACCAGTGTCTTGACTTGTGCTTTTGCTACGCCCATTTAAGAAGGTCTCATCCACTTTTTGGATCCTAGCTCCTGCTCTGGCAAAGTTCATTTAAATCCGGTTTCTCTTCAAAATAGAATCTGTAGTGATCATAGTTCTGAAGGCTTGGAGTATAATCTAACAGTTTACCCCTATAGGCCCATGAATGGAGAACACGTTAGGTCCAGTATGTTGAATGTACAGAGTATTAGGTATGAGAATTTGTGATCGAATTTCATACATTTCTTAATTGTCTCTTTTAGGCTCTCGACATTGGCTCAGATGGTACTAGGGTCGGCGTCAACACATTTGAGAGTCAAGCCGTACTCCGGTTTGATCTGAATAGATATACAGATAAAACAGAAATGAAAGCTGCTGTGTCCGCCATACCTTTTCTATTTGGATCAACTGCTACAAAGGAAGGCTTGGAGATGATGTTGGCTATGTTCTCTCCAGAACGGGGAGATAGAGCGGATGTCCCAAATATAGGTATCTTATTTTCTACAATCTGTGCGATTTATAGGGTAATTTCCCAGAATGTACGAATCATTGCAATTCACTTCAATCACTTGTAGTTGGCACGTATTTTGTATGTTTTCTACAAACTTTACCTTTTTAAAGATTCTGGCATGTAAAATCATAAGAGATCATCAACAGTTCCGAAATATGTGTTAACTGAATCAGCATTACCCAACATCCATGGAATATCGATGCCGGTTCTTGATAGTCCCATTTCTTTTTCTTTTTTATTAAGGTATCGTTATTACTGACGGCAACGCCAAAACTGGTGATCCCATCGTAGTAGCACAGCAGGCCATGGCCCAAGGAATCCTGATGTTTGCTATAGCAATCGCAGAGTCTGACGAGTTTGACGTCAACCAGATCAGACCCTTGGCCACGGACCCAGTGGACAACTTTTTTGAAGTAACAGATTTTGCAAAACTTAGCGAGATTACAGATGCCGTTGTCCAAGGAGCGTGCGTGTTTGAGCCAAGTAAGAAATTGTATTTACTTATCAAAATTAATATGATAGTATATACTCCTACTCTATTTTCTAAGCTATAAGTTATAGACAAGTTAGCAAATTCAATTGTCTATTTAAATTCCATTTTTGAGAGCGGTTGGATTGATGTATATTTTCTCATAGGACTTTTGACAACCAAACCATTTTCCATTGGTTGACAAGAGTTCTACCATTTTTTAAAATTCATCTTTGACATCAATCTTTCACCAATTGTAACGGAGAGACTAAAATTGAAATTATTCATTTATATTATCAGTTTTTCTTTCACTTCGAGTTTAGAGAATATAGTTCAAACATACATGGTGTTTAACATGTAAACATATGAGGAAAAAGACCTCAACATTTTCGAGGAGTATTCAGTATATAAAACTGGGCGTCATTAGCAGAGACCACAAAAAGTTAACATTTCTAAACCAGAAGTTGAATTAACAATATGTATGTTTGGTATTATCATTAAAGAATTGTCTATTTCAATCGATTCAACATGGCCAGCCAAACGTTGGGAAATACTGATTTGTGCATTTATGGATAAAAATCATCACTCATAAACCATATCTTCTATTACTACATTGTTTTGAAATTCCTATCATTTCAGCAAAGGGTATGTATGTGTATTCATATATGCATGCTATTTTTATTATTTTATGTTATGAAAAATATGCATCTTGAGTAGCGCAGATTGAGTGGGCCTTCGCATACGTAATAATATTAAAGTATGCATTTAATTGAAAAGCAACAAAAATTGACATCAGTTATTTTGCACAATTTTTGGTTATAACGAATTTTTGAAATATATTAATATTCATTTAAATGTTTCATGGGAATACTTCTAAAAAAGGATTCCTCTTTTTAATACTCATAAAATTGAACATTTCCTCAAACAAACTCTAAAGACCTAGCATCCACATGTACTACTACAACTTCATATTCAGATACTATATATTTAAGGTAGTATACGTTTTATACCCTGTATAATCTTTGAAAATAGTACATGTAGTAAAAGAGTAAGTAAGTATCCACAGTAAGAATTAATGGAAAAAATAATCTTTAGAAAAAATCGGTATCACAAAATAAATATTTGCTATAATACTTAAGGAAGTATAAGTTTATAAGTAGTAAGAATTTATGGGAAAGTAATCTTTAAAAACAATAATTGATATCTTTAGAAAAATAATACTAGCTATAGTATATATATAGGGGTTATGCACTGGGAGGTTTTGGATACAGGGAATATCCCGAGATACAGGGATATTCCATGTATCTAAACCCACCGTGCATAACTGGTGTATCTCATACTTGAGTGGGTTTAGGGTAGATATAACCTTTTCCACCTTTTTCAAATGACAAGATATTTATATTTAACATTTTCGTAATATTCTTTTTGTTCAATACAATGAAATTGTAGCATTTAAACTTAAAAGAATTAAATTTTAAAATTAAAAAATTAAAACTTTTGATATTTAAACTTTTTTAAACTTTTGAAAAATTCCCGGGAGCGAGATGGATATATTATATCTGCCCGCATTTGGCCTGGAGCGGGACATATACAATATATCCTGCCCGCTCCTCAGATACGATATATATTCCCGGGTGATATCTACCCCAAACCCACTCAAGTATGAGATACATATACTTAAGGGAGTATACGTTTTGTATATACAGGATGTCGCAAAAGTATGGGCCCTCCCCTAGGCAGACATATACAAGGTGTTGTCATAGTAAGTGTCATATATCGTTTTAAAGCCCATCCAAAATTAAATTGATTCCCCAAGTATCATGGTTCAACTCTCAAATGTGAAAAATACAGGCATTTCAAAATTTAGTGTTTGGGTCAAAATTAAGTTCAATTTTACACCAAATCACTAGTCAATGTGTCCTCCCGGGCCATCTTAACAGCAGCAATTCTTTTCGGGTCGGAGAGATATTGAGTTGGGAGAAGAGAACGGTGCAGAGGGTAGAAACTCTTAGGAAACTCTTCTAAAGTCCTGTAACAGGTTTTAAGAGGGTTATAAAATTCCACACCCGGGCTTTTAAGGTCATATGTGAAAATAATTGCTGCTGTTAACATGGCCAAGTTGGGAAACATTAACTAGTAATGTGGTGTAAAGTTGAACTTTATTTTGACAAAACACCATCTTTTAAAATGACTGTAACTTTTTTCGCATTTGGGAGTTAAACCATGATACTTGGCAAATTAATGTAACATTGGAGAAGCTTTAAAGTGATATATGACACATACTAGGAGGAGTATGTCTGCCTAGGGGGGGGGGGGGTAAACTTTCGAGACACCCTGTAAGTAGTAAGAATTTATGGAAAAAATAATCTAGAAAAATGGATAACTCTAGAGAAATAATACTTGCTATAGTATACATACTACCACTCCATTGAGGCCGCCGGTGTGTACATCGTTTTACAATGAACGATAAAATAATCAGTTCACGTAAACGTTTTTTTTTTCATTCTTGTAAACGAGTATTTTTGTTCGAAAATAGGGAGGTGTAATTTAATTTGGTAGTCTGTGAACGTTTTTTCGTATTTGCTTAACTGGAGTTACGTTCATCACGTTGAGCCCTTCATCCTATTTTCCCAGAAATAATTTGAGAGAAATATGTTCCGAGAAATCAACGTAAGTATCCATAACAAGCACAGGTTAATAGAGAGATTTCGCACATACGTAAAATACAACTTATAACGTATACTTATACTTATAAGAAGACGTACAAGGTGTTTCATAATGTGGGTATTTCGTCAGGAAAGATCTTCTCGGACTGTAATAGATAAAGGTCAAAGGGATGCCTTTTGTACTTTCTTGAATTGTAGCATGTTTAGTTGATCCAAATGTGTTTGTCTAGAATAAAATAGGCTCTTATATAGTACATACATATAGACCCATCTCTTCTCAAATTGACTTTTTGGAGATGCTCGTTATGAAACACCCTGTATGTCATTTGTTGAGCTACTGAATGGGTAGTTTCCAAGAATTGCTAAAACCTACTGGTTTGATTGGTGTTTCAAATCGATGGTTAAAGTATTTGATTGGATACTGTTCCTACTCAGCTGATTAATTTAGAAAATGCTTGCGGTCAATTGTTCCACACACATGTAGGTAAAACTTTATACGTAGATCCAACTGTATACGTTTATAATCTACGTATTTTTACCGTTTTGTAAGTTCATTGAACTTATACTGATCATGAAAACTTTGAAATAATCAACTTGTTTATGTAATGACTCACTTGAATGGATCATGACTCACTTTAAAGGATCGTGTTTAGAATACACTACAACTACTAGGACACGGAAGCAAGCATTTAATTATAATGTGCATAATCTACACGTGCAGATGACAGTGCATTCACAGTCTCTGGTTGATGGAGCTTTTCTGTATCGGGAATAGTTATGTTCCATTAAGTACAATTTAAAATTGATTTTAGTAAATATAATAGTTCGACATGACCCTTTAAACTATACGTATACGTATAAGTTGTACTTTCACTTATGTGCGAAATCTCTCTAATAATAAGAGATGGTAATGGTTTTAGAATATTGTGCTCTGAAACTTAACTGCTCAGAATGCACGAATCAATGATGTTCAATTTTCGAAATTGTCTGTCTGATTAATTTTATCAATATTAATCCGATAAATCGTATAAACATCGATTTAGTTTTAATCGAAAATAACTATTTATAGTCCTTGAAACGCTCAGATTGCACCAAATAACGTCTTCGAAACAAATTTTCAGGAGCATGCCCCGGACCCCCAAGATGCGCGGCCTTCGGCCACGCACCTATTTCCCTAGCCACTCATATTTTCTGGAAAACGCAGTCCCTTTTCAAATATGATCCGACGCCCCTGTTCCCCAATTGTTGCTTCGGAATATTCTTCCACGCGAATCATAACCGTATGCAATTTAATAGAGCTCTTATAACAATGATGAGGATTTGATCAAGAAACTTTGTGGAATAATCAAAATAATATCTATAATATCTAGCTATATCTACATGTACATCTAGATCCATCAATGAAACCTACCTTTAACCTGTTTTGGATCGGAACAACCGATCTGAAGGGCACTATCGCTCGTCAGCCGTCAATATTATTACTCCTTGTTCACCTGCGAAGTCTTTACAGTAGAAAGTTAAGTTAACGGGAGGTTCGCCTATGAGTGTACCATACTAAGATCCCGGACTAAGATCACCCTAGTATTTTCTAAATTATATCATTTGATTTCAGTTTGCCCTGGTACTCAAGCCGATGTTGCATTCGTTATCGACTCCAGTGGTAGCATCACAGCAGATAACTTTATAAAGGTGAAAGAGTTCGTCAACTCTGTTGTCGCCTACCTCGACATTGGGTCAGAAACCATTCACGTCGGAGTCATATCATTCAGTGATATCGCCCGGGTAGAGTTCAATCTCAATGCGTTTAGCACTGCAGAAGATGTGGTCAACGCCATCAATGGCATTACACAATTGAACGATGGAACAAAGACCAACTTGGGACTTGATCTTCTAACCACAGAGCTCTTCACTGTCTCCAATGGAGATAGATTGGGCGTACCAAATCTTGCCGTTGTCGTCACCGATGGTCAATCTAACGACCTTGCCTTAACAACGGATTCTGCTGCATCAGTACAGGCTGCCGGTATCCAAGTCTTTGCAATCGGAATTGGTGACATGAATAGCCTTAACACCGATGAGCTGAACATTATTGCATCGGACCCAGACTATGCTCATATGTACATCATCGAGAACTTTGACCTTCTGGCCAATATAAGCAAGGATGTTGCTTCCAGTACCTGCTACGACCCTGGTAATTTCTTTATTAACACTAAATGTATTAAGTTGGCGTCAGAAATCCTAATTAGCCCAATTAAATGATATTTAGTTTACACAATTAAATCGATCGCTTTCACTTCTTGCAGATAAACACATTTTAATTGGCTTAATCAGTGAAATATTTACATGCGGGATATGTGGGATATACGATCACGACCTTTGTGGAGCTACTTTCTTTGAAAACCAATACTTTGAATATTAGATTTAAAACAACACCAACATTATTGAAATGTGACAAGTAGATTCCAATCACCAGGGGATCTAAATGACCCTCCTTCGACTTCGTGTTATAAAAAAGGTTGCAGACCTGAGGTCTATCAACAAAACTCTTAATTTACGAATATTAGCTATACGTATAGTATGTAGTACAGTATTCCACATATTCCGATAATTTGAGCTAATTCAATTAATATTAGATTCAATATTCAAGTCACTTTAATCTTTCATCAAATAAAGATGCTTAATCTTGAAATTGTATTTTACTATTCCAGTTTGTCAGGACCGTCAAGCAGATATCGTGTTTATTCTTGATGCCTCTGGCAGCATTACTGACGAAAACTTCGTATTGCTGAAGGAATTCGTGAAGACTGTTATCAACAGATTGGACGTGTCGGACACAAATGCCAGAGTTGGGGTTCTCACCTTTTCCAACAGCGCAGATGTTGAATGGGATCTTAATAGTTACAATACAAAAGCTGAACTATTGTCAAAAGTGGATAACATAACACAAACAAGTAAATAAGCTATATTATTTAAACTAGAAATTGGGATCGGAGGATATTATAGGAACTAGTGAACAGCCATCTATACGAGTTCTGTAACTCCCATAAGATATTTTAACCCATATAATATTTCAATAAATGGCCAAGATAGACCGCAGTGCGCGGCCAATGGTGCCAAGGTCGTAGCTGCGGTTATCTACTGTACTCCTAATTCAAGGTCGCTAACGAATATAGTCTCGTCAACAACTTGGAAGTTCAAACATTTTTTGATAGCCCTCGATTAATGTTATTCAAATTCACTTGGAGTGGTGGAAATATCGAGTATTGTAGTTTAACAGTACGTCTTATATTTTTATTTGCATTTCAGAGGGTTCCACTAATACCGCAGACGCCATTGCTGTTACCCGAGATCAGATGTTTGTATCTGCCAAAGGAGATCGGACCAATGTTGCAAATACAATTATCCTAATAACAGATGGGATCGCCAAGGGTAATGACCCAATCCCAGAAGCTAACCTCGCTAAGGAAGCCGGTATCGCTATTTTCTGTGTTGGTATCGGACAAGACTTTGGCGTAGAAGGAAGAAATGAGTTGCTTGCAATTGCTACGGATCCAGATGATACCCATATGTTTGAAGTAACGGAGTTTGCAGATTTGACTGGGATTGCTGGACAGATAGCCCAAGTTGCCTGTTACCCCAATGGTAAGTATTAGATTAAATATATAGCTTGAAGATTCATAACCTACACACGTGTTCATACAGACACGATTGACCAATTTGTATTTTGACTATATTTAAATGCATTCGAGCAGTAGTGAAACAATTCGGTTATACAAGGGGCGATCCATATATTCTGATAAAAATGCTCTCATTTTGTGATTTTTTCACATATCCCTCTCATTTTTTCAGAACTTGAAGATTATGTAATTACACATACAATGCTAAAATATTATAGCTATATCTTAAATTATTTTTGAGATAAGGTTGCCATGGTAACTTGTTTTTAGGGTAGGCAGGTCAGTTAAATTATAACGTATGAAATAGATAAATTTGTTAATTTAATCATTCCTCGGTACCTATTTCAAGCAGATCAAACGCATATCCAGGTCATTGCCAACTGTTCGTTGAACTGCTCCATACCCCTGTTGCCCTCGTTTGCTATTTCCACAGTGGAATAGTTCTTTTTTCATAAATTGCATCTCAAATTATCGTAGTGTTATTCTCTGTCCGCAAGCTCTTCTTACAACCAGATTGGGAATGATATTCAACAGTGACTAGCCCTCAAATTTACAATACTATCTAGAGATCCTTAGAGCAGATATAACACCTTGTTCATACACTATACGAGTCCATGTATGGCTCTGGCAGTGTCCTCTTACTTATTCTTGATAGTACATAAAATCTAATGGTACTCCTGATGTATCTGTTAATGTCACACTCTGCAACAGCCGCACTAACCTCATCTGATCTGTCATTTTGATATTTGGTGTGTCTCATGGCATGTAATTCCAATTTGCCCATCCTGTCAGTGTCATACATTGCTATTGTGAGTTGTTGTGATGTTATAGTGATCACAAATAAACATTTGTTTAGCAACAAACAACAAGAAACAAAACCAATTTTTTTTTAAATGTATGATTTTCGCATGCTTTAAAATAATTAAAATAACAAGTTATTATGATATTTTATACGTTATAATTTAATTGACCTGCCTACCCTTAATACAGGTTACCATGGTAACCCTATCTCTTAATTAATTTAAGATGTAGCTATAATATTTGAGCATTGTATGTGTAATTACATAATCTACATTTTCTGAAAATATGAGATGGATATGTGAAAAAATAGCAAAATTAGAGCATTTTTATCAGAATATATGGATCGCCCCTTGTATAGCGGAGTATAGATTTTATCTATTTATTTGGAAACTACGCTTTTACAACAGCGACACATAAAATGTGTGCGACCATTTGATATAATATATACAATATACAGGGTATAAAAGAAGTCCCGACGCCCCCCCCCCCTCGCCACAGCTGATATTCTAATAGATGGTACCTAGTGTGATATTTCATTGGAAAGATCATCCAAAGTTACGTTGATTCACCAACCTCTCAAGTACTTTGGATAAAATTTACCTATGATGTCCTTAATACCTTCCTCCAGCATTTTTAGTTGCGTCAATGGGGAAGGATGAGACCTCAGTAATACCTCACGTTGAAAGTTCTCGCTTTCTACTTCTTATAAAAAGTCTTTACCATTATCAGCTGCATTACTATTTGCTACACATCAAACACTTTCCACAAATTGGTTTCACTTCAACATACTTATCATTTTCAAAATCCTGCCAAATATATCAAGTTGTCATGTTTCTAGGTCGACGGTTACCTAGATTTATACAATGTAGCAATTTATGACATTGATTGACAGGTAACTCATATATGCCAACGTAACTTTGAATGATCTTTCCAATGATATATCACATTAGGTACCATGTATCAAGGTTTTGACTGTAGCATTTAAGACTTACTCTCATAAAACTTGACTAGAATCTTGATTAAAATCATATCTATTGTTGAGGATATTTAAAATGATTTCAATGCACATTGGTTACTTAGGGAGCATCTCAAAAGTTCAATGTTGGATTCCTAACAGTATTTGAACAGTTAATCTGTGACTCCCTCCCTCCCCCTCATAACTGTGTTTGAGAAATCTTGAATTCATTGGTCAACTTTTAAGGTCATTAGCCCACTCGCCCCTTAACTGTTCAAATACAGTAATTTTCTGACATTGATATTATGATATACTCCCTTATATTCAATTAATTCATTCGTTTTAGTTTGTGGAGACTTAAAGTATGATATCGCCGTACTCCTGGATCGTTCTGGAAGTGTGCCCGAAGACGATTATATTCTCATGTTAGACTTTGTTGCATCTGTCGTCAATGACCTCGATATCTCTCCCACCGATGTGCAGGTTGCCATAGTAACCTTCAGCAGTGAAGTACAGATAGAGTTCAACCTGAACAGGTAAGTAGATCATCATGGAGGTCTCATTTGTCAATACTGTTTGATGGTACCTTTCATTTAATTTACTAATGCATGTTAACAGTGAATTGTAGATCCATCCATAATCCATCGTAAAATTAAACAAATGATTTGTCAAAAGGCTTCGAATTCCTAAATATTTTGAAAGTTACATCAATGAAAAGGTAATCATTAGTTCTTATGACTATTTCATAAATGCAGTAGTGAAAATGTTATAGTGAGTGCCTTCTTGCTCTTTATAAAACCTCATTCATATCTTGATGACTCCAGATACCAGTCAAGATCCTCTCTACGCACCGCCATCTTGAACTTGCCATCTACAACTGAAGGTGCAACAAATCACGCAGATGCTCTTGCCGCTGCTGCTGATGTCATCTTTGTCGAAGGAAATGGTGACCGTCTCGATGTCCCCAACTTGGTTATGGTCATTACAGATGGTAAATCATCTGTCAATGAGGACAGAACCGAATCGGAAGCGACCAGGGTAAAAGCTATGCCAGATACAGTTATCGTAACAATTGGAATTGGACCAGAACTGAGCGCAAATGACTTAAACATCATAGCGTCTGATCCCGATGAAGCTTACGTTTTCAGAGTTAATAGTTTCCTTGACTTAGCTGGTATCAAGACTACTCTGTTGACCCGTGCGTGTACTCCACTTGATACCACATGTACCGGAAAGGGAGACATTGTCATTGGCGTGGACACCTCTGGCAGTATTGGACAGGAAAATTTCGACCGTATGGTCAGTTTCCTCGAGCTTTTATTGAACGAGATGACCATCAGCGATTCCACCAACCGAGTCGGTGTGTTAACCTTTGCAGACAATGCTGAAGTTAGAGCCCAACTGAATCAATTCAATGATCGAGCCAGCCTGATTAATGAGGTCAAGAGCATACCGTACACTACTGGTGCTACATATACCGCAGATGCCTTAAGGACCGCTCGAACAGCAATGTTCACAGAAGCAAACGGAGATAGAGCTGACGTTCCTAACATTATGCTGGTCATTACAGATGGTGTTTCGACAGTCAACAAACTTACCACAGTACCTGAAGCAGTTACGTCGAGACAATCGGACATCCTTATTTCAACAGTAGCCATCGGCCCAAATACCGATGACGTAGAGCTCTCTGCAGTCGCATCAGAAGTTGCAATGATGTTTGCATCTGCAACCTTTCAGGAACTTCCTAATATAGTGACCAACATCAAAGGCGCCATCTGTAATGGTGAGCAACGTGTCACAATAGTCTAATATAATATATCTGTCACAATATTAGCTTACATAATTTGCTTTATTTATTGCAAACTTGTTACAATATATTTTTAAGCAATGGAAAATTCTGTTTGTAGATGTTGATGAATGTCTTTCCAATCCTTGTCAAAATGGTGGAGTATGCAGGGACAGATTCAACGGATACGTCTGTGAATGTCCCTCTGGGTTCTCGGGTCTCCTTTGCGAACGTAATTGCAACGTCCAGGTTGATTTAGTGATCGCAATCGACAGCTCCGGATCAATCTTCGCAGATAACTTTGAACTGGTCAAGAATTTCGTCAAGAACGTCATTGTGGATCTTCCCATCTCTAGCTCAGGAGCTAGAGTCGGTGTGATTACCGTCTCCTCCGATGCTATTATACGCTTTCATCTGAACGAATACACCGATCGCAAATCTGCAATGGACGCCGTTGAAAGAATCCCTTATTCTGGTAAATTCCTTAGCTGTTAAATGACACACCTCGTATGCCATTTCCAAATTGGACTTCCATCCAAAAACTTATTCCAATGTCTCGTCTTCCTATTGGGAGATTACCTCATCAAATATGCGAGTCATTTGTATAATATGCATTTAAAATCCATTATAATCCAAATATATTGGCCAGACCAGGCATCAATCAATCTTATTACAATTCGACTATGGTAGGTTGGGAGTTTTTAAACTGTACATGGATGTCAACTACCTTCACTTCACTAACAATATATTTTATTTTCTACCCTTATTGAGAGATGAATGTGGATTTACAATAGGGTTTCATTTTTCTTCATAGCTGGAGCCACCAACATTGCCAGCGCCCTCCAGTTGATAAGACTTTCCATGTTCACCGCTGGTAATGGAGATAGATCAACAGCCCAGAACGCAGTTCTTTTGATCACAGATGGGGCTTCTAACGTAAACGCGGCCGACACATTGCCACAGGCTCGACAATTGAGAATCACTGGCACAACCATAATGGCTGTTGGAGTAGGAAATGAACTTGATCCTAAGGAACTTCGTGGCATTGCCTCCGATCCTGACAGTGTGAACGTGAGAACAGCTGCGAGCTTTGCCGATTTGGAAGCCCTTAGCAGAGACCCAGAACAAAACTCTCCACTTTGCTATGGTTAGTATGGATATGATACTCAACTCTTTCCCATTCAAAGTATTCACTTATTCACTGTCCATCGTTCATTATTTTAAAGATGAGTTGGACGAAATTTTATTGGCCTACATAGAATTTCATAATGTAATGTAATTAGTTTTATGTATACCATACTCTTATTGGATAACCTAAATTGTTCAATTCGTTTATATTGTTATCGTCTCATTTTTTTGTGGACGGCTGTTGGTGTTTGTTAATGCTTTGTTCATCCTTATAATTGGAACGCTTAACTCATGCAACCTGAGAACATACTTCGAAGTACAGCATTTTTATTTTACTACAATTTGAAGAATCCATCATACATTTCAGACGCTAATGAATGTTCAAGCAACCCTTGCCAGGGTGGTGCCCCATGTATTGACGGCCTGAACTCATTCGAGTGTGTGTGTCCCAGTGGGCTGGCTGGCCCAACATGTGCAGTGACCTGCAATGGACAGATGGACATTGTTTTTGTTGTGGATAGCTCTGGCAGTATTGGGGAAGCAGACTTCGAGAAGGTGACCAACTTTATCCAAGGACTTGTGGACAACTTGGAGATCACTAATGGATTATACCGTATTGGTCTTCTCACTTTTGCCGACGAGGGACAAGTGGTTTTCCATTTGAACGATTACAACACAAGATCAGAGATCTTGAACGCAATCAGCTCTGTTCAATACACTAAAGGTAATTGTCCCAGATGGATATGAGCACTTACAACATCTTGTGAAAGTATTGTGTACATAATCTATTCTCAGAATAGTCAGTTATTATATCTGTTGAATTGTGATTAAACATTTACAATTCAATGGAGATTGGCATACATCTGCGAAATATTTTTGATGTCTTGTAGTGAGAATTGACCGAGCACAATTTGGAGCTCAAATGCTGGATTACATAAATATCTAAGCACAAGTACCAAAGGAAGAGGACCAAGAGTGTAAACCTGTTGTAAGAAAAATAAAGATGTTTTAAGATGTTTAACTGAAAAACACGATACATTTCACATGATCAATTTATTCTTTTTCAGGCGCTACCAACACTGCTCGCGGATTGGAGCTTATGAGGACCATGTTCAGTCCTGTCAACGGAGACCGCAGTAGCCCAAATAATATGGCCATCCTCATTACGGACGGCAAACCAACAGTACGTAAGGGAGAGGAACAAGGACAGTCTGACATCGCTCGAAACAATGGAATTACAATCAAGACAATTGGAGTTGGACCCAATATTGATGCTGATATACTTACTGCTTTAGCCAGCGCCCCCGCTGCTGAAAATAATATTAATGTTGATAACTTTGACGATCTTGCAACTATTAGAACAACTCTCAGGGAAGCGATATGCTCATAGTTTAGGTAACTTTTGTGTTTATTTGAATAGTAAGTCATTCTAGTTCAGGAAATCAAGATGGCCCTCACCCGGAGTAAACGTTCATTTTGTATTATTAGTACTATATTCATTTCCCCTCCATTTTTGGAGATAATTAATGAAAGTGACACAAACGATGGATCAGTTAACACAACTTTCCATATTTTATCGACTGTGTCTAAAATTGAATCGTGCAACACAAGATACAGTTAAAAAGATTTATGACTTTATTAAATCAATGAAATGGGCCAAGCCTGAATCTCTGATCGAAATAACAATCCAAAATAAATCACAACAGCCTGCAAAAAGCACGATCAACCGACTTTGATAAAATATTTTTTTATTGCAGTAAATATAAAAGCTTGAATATCATTCCGAATTTATTCGGGTCATATTGCTGCTATGCCGTTTTTCACAAACCATGCTTCAAATGAACCCTCCATGTCTTATCAAATTCCTCATTTTGCTTGCTTTCAGGTAGACCTATTGATGTATATCGATTATAAACTGTAAGGATAGTTTTAGCTGTAAATATGAAGTATGTAGGAGGGCTCAGGAACTAGTTACATTGATACACATGCCTATGTGCAAGGACTTCAGTCTGTTAACCGATTCGACATACCACAAAGATATTCAATTATATTTACACTATTGCAATCATTCACAGATCTATATTTCTTTATCAGCATTTTAAAATTGTATAAAAACAAATTTAATTAGATTGTTAGTTTTCATGAGTTAATACCTTTTTAAGCCTACAAAATGCCTTGCTTGTGTTATCTTGTTATCATTGAGTAGAATGTTTGTCATGCTACCCTACTATAAAGCCCACATTTTATCATAAGCGAGTACATTTTGGACTAAAAATTGAGAATGTAGAATTGTAACCGCTTACTGTTTCTTAGTGCTTCATCATCTTGTTTGTTACTGTATATGGGCCAAACTGTTATACTGTGTATTAACAATAAATTGTTGACTTTGTTAGGAAACTGTAAATATTTTATGAAACAGTACTTGTACTGTCTGTATTCAATTGTATTAAATATAACATTTTAACTAAATCAACTCTTCCGTTTTATGTTATGATTTTGAACATTACAATATATAGACATTATGACATTATAATCAAGGCGGTGTATGCTATATAACATCGACAATCTTCATCAAAGGTATGAACAATTTGTAATCTTTCCACTTCCACTAAAACGGCCCGAAATTGATCACCAATTAATGCCTTGGTCACAAATGCTCCGACCCATCGGCTGGCGCCCGGCCGATTGAGTTTTCTTCAATATTGTATTCAATTATGAACAAAATACTCAATCGGCCGGGCGGCGTAGTGAAAATCTGAGCAAATGTGACCAAGGCATAAGCTGGAAAGGGGGGCGAGTTGTTTGTAGAATGAATCGGGGGATTTTTTTCATGAATTTCGCTTATGTTTTTCATCCAAAAAACATCAATACACTTTAAAACATTTTGTTTACTTTAAGATGTGTAATCCAAAAATATATTTCTCATTTTCAAAGATAATCCATGGATAAACGCCCAGGTATTTTTATTTTTCAAACTTCAGAGGGCTGGGAATCATTGATGCTCCACGCTTTTGAATACGATAAATGCTGTTTTAAATAGGTTTTACGTATGCCAATAATTTCTCAAATTATGTAAGCTGAATGCATTCCTTAATCCCTAGAATGCCTATCATATAACATTCTTTTGTCTTGGCCACTTAATGTTTTGTTGCCGTCTGCTCATCAAATTGTTGTTATTTAAAGATGTCGGTCAAATCTGGTGAAACAGCACAACATTAAATAAATAGCACAAGTACATATTATGTAACTCATCCATAATATTTCATGCATCAGGTATTAAGGCTTAGGGGATTAACTTTTACACATAAACTGAACTGACAGATGTGTATGCTTACATGTTAGCGAGATCAATAGTGCAAAAATAGTTCATTCAGGGAACGAAGCGTGAAACTTTCCACATATCATCAGAATACCATTCCCTTTGATTTAAGAGCCAGAGCCATTTTTGTGGTCTACTAGAATGATCAAAAAATAGTAAGAACCCCCTCCCACCAAATCCCATGGGGGTGGGGAGATATCGAAATATTTTTTTCATAAAAAAATTCTTTGAATATGGTCATACTACAGTTTTAGAGTGCTATTTTCATGGTAAAGAAATTTTGCAAACATAACAAGATGATTTATCATCGATTTTCATCATTGTTAAAGACTAATCATGGGCGACGCCCACTTTTCATACCTTGAACATTTAGGTTATTAAATCTCTATCATGGGTTGAACAAATGAATGAAATTCAGTTTTCTGGATAACACCAGATACCTTTTTGATGTAAGGTGCTATAATTAATCCTAGCATTTGACTTCTTAAAGGCTTAGACCATATCACACCCCTGTTTAGAAGAAGAAAGCAAGCAACAAATGTCCCAGATCTACAACATGTATCCACTATTCTATGTACATGTATGAGTCTCTATTTTCTCCTGAAGAGAACCTATGCTACAGACACAACTGTCCAGAATTTAGATGATAATGTGCTTAAACAGTTTGATGAATGGTGTGCTGACCAAGTGCCTAAACAGTTTGATGAACGCCGTGCTGACCAACAGAATGTACCAGTCTTCAAGCTTTGGTTTCTGCTTATTCAAATTGAAATACTGCGCCTTGACTATGTGAGGGCTATAGGACAGGAGAATTTCCCTCTTTATTTCCAGATGGTTTCTCTTTGATTTTCATAGTTGTTAAAGACTAGTCATGGGCGACGCCCACTTTTCATATGCTGAACATTTAGGCTATTAAACCTCTTTCATGGTTTGAACCGGAACCAGAAGGGCCGCCACAGTCACAGCCTGCAGTCTCTAAATTCTCAAGAGAGCCTATACTACATACACAGCTGTCCAGAATCTAGATAATGAAGTGATAAACAGTTTGATGAAAGGTGTGCTGACCAACAGAATGTACCAGTCTTTAAGTTTTGGTTTCAGATTATTTAAAATCGAAATACTGTGCCTTAACTAAGTGAAGGCTATTAGAGAGGGAAATTTCCCTCTTTATCTCCAGTCAATTAGCAAGCTTGTCACCTGGTTTTTCGTTTTTTGACCTCATCAATATGCTTGCTGAGTACCAGTTCGGTATATCATCAGAACTCAAAGTTAAAAAATGGATAGCTATTATTATATCTTTATATCTAAAAGGGATGTGGCCTTTTAATTGACTTACTTAAAGAATTTATCATCTTAACATAAATAACTGACTTAATCTTATCAATTTTATTCAGCCTTATTAGGTAATTTTCCTATTCATAATAGAAGACTCATTAACTTGTATATTAACATGTTGATAAAGTGGGCGTCGCCCTTGGTCAGGCTTTAATAATGAATATCCATGAGAAATAGTGAGTTTTTATACACTGAAAATAACATACTAAAAATGAAAAATACTCTCCCCCTCATTTGCAATTTTTCAGATATCATCAGGGGGTCATTAACAGAACTTTCGCAAAGTTACGAATTCGCAAATCAATTGTTTATTTTACAAATTTGGTAAATGTGCATTAACAGAACTTTCGTAAAGTTACGAACGATTCGCAAAGTTACGAAAAAATGACGTCACATTTGCTTTCGTTCGTAACTTTAATAGCACCTCAGAGCCTTTCATAACTTTGCGAATGGCATATTTCTCATCCAGTTCTTATGTAAGGGATACAGGTTGGCAAAAAGAAATTGTTCTTTATATGCATGCTAAGTTTCAAGCTAAAATATCCACCTATTCGCACATGATAAGCAAATATGTTCCTGAGCTGGGAATCTTTGAAATCACGGAGACAGGTTTAATCACAGCGCGCAATGATATCAAATGACATCATATTTTTATTTGTGCTAAATAATGATATAAGATGACGTAACAATTTGAAATTCGCTTACAAACGATAAAACTTATGAATGACTTACGAAAGTGTTCTGTTAATGGCCGATTCGTAACTTTACGAATTCGTTAGTCATTCGTAACTTTTTAAATAATTACGAATTTCATAAAGTTGCGAATTACGAATTCGTAACTTTGCGAAAGTTCTGTTAATGACCCCCTGGACACCATTCCCTTTGATTTAAGAGCCAGAGCCATTTTTGTGGTTCACTAGAATGACAAAAAAGCACTTGCATCTTTTTGTTGAACACTGTTGTTTGCAGCTGCATTTTACTAGCATTTGGCATGCATCTGGAGCTTGGACAATGTTTTCCACACTGGCACCCAAATTATTTTCCCAGCCTTTGTAGTAATGGATTCCCAACTCAATTGTGAGGGTGAAGCGAGGACTGACATAGGTATAATTGTCTGGAACCAACTTATGCAACTTATGGTGGGATGTTCTTATGGTGGAATGAGACACATAGTCCTACCATGTCAAAGGGCAGCTGCAATTTCATGGGAAGTGAGATATCTCTAATTTTTTACTTTTCCAAAAGCTATCCATTTTTGAACTTTGAGTTCTGATGATATACTGAACTGTTACTCAGCAAACATATTGTCAAGGTCAAAAAACAAAAACCAGGTGATAAGATTGCTCATTGACTGGAGATAAAGAGGGAAATTTCCCTCTCTGATAGCCCACACTTAGTTAAGGCACAGTATTTCAATTCAAATAATCTGAAACCAAAACTTAAAGACTGGTACATTCTGTTGGTCAGCACACCATTCATCAAACTGTTTCTCACTTCATTATCAAGATTCTGGACAGCTGTGTATGTAGTATAGGCTCTCTTTAGAATTTAGAGACTGCAGGCAGTGACTGTGGCGGCCCTTCTGGTTCCGGTTCAAACCATGAAAGAGGTTAAATAGCTAAAATGTTCACTGGTACTGGTACATTCTGTTGGTCAGCACACCATTCATCAAACTGTTTAGGCACTGGGTCAGCACACCATTCATCAAACTGTTTAAGCACATCATCATCTAAATTCTGGAAATTTGTATCTGTAGCATAGGTTCTCTTCAGGAGAAAATAGAGACTCGACATACATGTACATAGAATAGTGGATACAAGTTGTAGATCTGGGACATTTGTTGCTTGCTTTCTTCTTCTAAACAGGGTTGTGATATGGTGTAAGCCTTTAACAAGTCAAATGCTACGATTAATTATAGCACCTAACATCAAAAAGGTATCTGGTGTTATCCAGAAAACTGAATTACATTCATTTGTTCAACCCATGATAGAGATTTAATAACCTAAATGTTCAAGGTATGAAAAGTGGGCGTTGCCCATGATTAGTCTTTAACAATGATGAAAATCGATGATAAATCATCTTGTTATGTTTGCAAAATTTCTTTACCATGAAAATAGCTCACTAAAACTGTAGTATGACCATATTCAAAGAAATTTTTTTATGAAAAAAATATTCCTATATCTCCCACCCCCATGGGATTTGGTGGGAGGGGGTTCTTACTATTTTTTTACCATTCTAGTGGACCACAAAAATGGTTCTGGCTCTTAAATCAAAGGGAATGGTATTCTGATGATATGTGGAAAGTTTCACGCTTCGTTCCATGAATGAACTGTTTGCCTGTTTTCTTGCACTATTGATCTCGCTATGTACAACTTCCAGGATTGTAAGAATTCAAAACTTGTTGATAGCCATATTTTCCTGAATGTGACATCGAGACATTATGGCATTTATGAGTGGTAAACATGAAAAAAAGCATTTTCATTTAAAATTAGCATATGATTTGAATTGATGCCAAGAAATGAATTAGTTAACTGTATCCGTTTTACATCCATTGCAGTTGGCTACATTATAAGACGAGGCATTCACATGCAAAATGTCAACACCTGCCATTTGTTACAGACGCCAACTGCCAAACACCAACTGCCAAACACCAACTGCCAAATGATAAACACCAACCACTGAACACCGTCCACAAAAAAGTTTGAGACCATAACAATATGTCGCCACTTGTGGTGGTGACATAAAAATGATCATGGAAAATTGTATTTTTTTTAAAAGTAGGAACTTCTGAGATTATTAGAAAATTGGAAGACAAGGAAGGATTCTGGCTTTAAGATATAAGGGTTATAAATTGCAATGAAACTAAAACAAAACATTCTTTTTCTCAAATATCACGGTGTATATTCAAATCACAAATACGATATCATACAATTACAATAAGGGTCTAGTGCACTTTCCATTATGATATCCCCATGAACAAAATGAATCATTTTTAGGTGTAACATAAAGGATACAATGTCACATAATACTGTGGAAAATATTTGAGCGTTTGGACCCACATGGGCTGAGGTTGAGGTCATTTAGTTCAGCAAGGGTGTATTGACTTGCCATTGAATGGGCTCCATTGACTTAAAATGTGGATATCATCAATTCCAATAGAGGCCATTGGTTTCTACTGATTTTCACAAAAATACCTAAAATACACTATGACCTGAATCGATTGCAAATTAAATAATTTTTCACAGTATGACACAAATGGTATATCACATCAGATGTGCAAATATAAAGTTTGCAATCGATTCAGGTCATACTTCAAATTAAAAGATTATACATTTTTCCATCATTTTTTTCATACAAAATGGCTATAGAAAAATGCTTCAAAAGCAACTTTTACACTAATGAAATCCCATACAACTTTGTAAATCCAAAGATTATACTGATATGTTTCATTAATTAATAACATATTTGGATAATGTGTTGGGATGTGTAGGATGCAAATGGATTTTGACAGACACAAAAAGACTTCTTGGTTTGGCATCTCTACCCCTGTACACTTTATGATTGAATATTGGCCCTAATAAGTGGCCCATTCATCAATACAGTGCTGAATATAGGTCAACAAGATACTAGTGTACATATAAATGTAATAATAAAAGCAGTATATTTATTTTGAAAAATCAGATGAATTTATTTTTTTCATGGGGAGATCATAATGGAGGGTGCACTAGATCCTTTATGTCTTATAAATAAGTACTGCCTTTCCATCCATAATTGATGTTGATGAATATCGTGTTTCCAGTTTGATTTATGAACAACATTCATGGTTTTATTTATTATGTTCACAATGTGATTGATAATCAATTCACACATAGCTAGGTCTGAATATTAAACTCCAGCCAAATAGAGCCAGCACAATATTTCAACCTTTGTAACCCTTGCAAAAAGATTTTCTTGCAATAAAAATGTGAAAATAGCTTAGGGTACTTGTAAGCCAATCTGATTTTAAGGTAGATATGTCTCGATATTTTTCACTAATTTTCATGATTATAAATACCGATAATCAATGAAAGGGACAATATTTTCACATTTGTAACTGTATGTGTATGCATGGTCCATGGTGTATGTTACCATAATTCTTTATATCCACTTAAAATGTCAAAAATATTGCCCAATTTATAATTATCAGATAATTTATTCATCACCAAAATTAGTAAAAATTATCAACATGCAGAACTACCTTAAAGAGACTCTATTGAGACTTCTCTGTGGCATTTTTTCTTTATTCCTTTTTGTTTTGAATTTTTAACACCATAACATTAACTAACTACTCAATGTGCAACTTTTCACCACGTAGAATTTTAAAATATTAAGTTTGAAAATTCCATTTTTATAATGGAGCTCAATGGGAAAAACTACATAATTTGAATTATTTTCAAATGTAGCGGCGCGATTTTGATAAAATTGACAGATATAATAAATATTGGTAAGACAAAATGTTTGATGAAAAATGAAGAAAATTCACCGTCCTGGTTACGCAAACTATAGAAAAATCTGAAATAATCATAAAAACCTGTAAAAATAGATTGAAGGGGGTGATATTCATTTCTAATGTGCCTTTCACAACTACCACTGGCATGTAGCGGCCCTGATATCGATAAATTCTACACGCAATATAACCCGATACTACATGCTTGGTTAAAACTTTACACGAAAAAGCTTCGATATCCGGGCATTTACTCTTACACTGAACTGAAAATAGCATCGTCTAAACGTGTATGTGTTGGCTTCCGGGTAAGTTTATCAACATTTATACTCAATTGAAAGAGCAGTCGTGCTTAAATCGTGTACCAGTTTGATTTATTTATATGTGTGTGTATTTATAACACGATAGCCTAGTAATACCGTGTCGTTAGAACAACTGCTAGATATCGAACTAATGACCCGAAATTACATTATTGGACTGATCGCGCATCTGATATTAAATTATTACTTTGCATTGAATCTGATATTAACTTGCAACCCAATACCATGACTTTACATTTGAATGATAACACGGCCTCAAATTCTAATCCATTATACGTCCATTGCAGGCCAAAAATGTTTCAATGTGGATATTGTAATGCACACGAGAATACATTCGATTTGTATATTGATCATACATCAATTGAACATGGAGATTTTCCTGTAAACTTTTCCCAAACCTGTGGAATAGACAAGATGCGAGTAGAAATTATCTTGATTTACGTCATCAAATATTCAAAATTCATTTTTTGAAAAAATTCGAAACCATCGAATATCACTTTTTAAGACGTGATATTCGATAGTTTAAAAGTGATATTCGATGGTTCGTAAATTGTTTACTAAAATATGATATCTTGGTCACATATCAAATATATCATCATGTGATATTCGATCTATATCATTGCAACCATGGGATATAGAGGATATCCTATGATTTATGAGAGATATGATTTTTATCCACGAATGAATATGATATCTTAAGTATGTTTCCCACATGCTCTGGTGTGTTACTTGCAAAATATGTTATCATTTTCAAAAAAAATTCAAAATTTTTCCAAATTTGTTTTCAATTTTTTTCAAAAATTAAAAAGAAAATTTCCAAAATTTTTTTTCCCAATTTTTTTTAAAATTTTTTGTCCTAAATTTTTTTCAAGATTTTTTTCACATTTTTTTGCATAATTTTTTGCACAATTTTTTCAAATTTTTATTTTCAGATTTTTTTCAAAAATCAAAAAAAATCCAAATTTTTTTTTCAAATTTTTTTTCCCAAATTTTTTCCCATATTTTTTTCACCTTTTTTTTGGCATACATTTTTTCAGAATATTTTCAAAACTTTTCCAAACTTTTTTTTCAAATTTTTTTCAAATTTTTTTTTTCCGAATTTATTTTTAACATTTTTTTGAGCGGGACATACGATTTATATGTCCCGGAGCTCCGTCGGAGCGGGACATACGAAAAATATTTGCCGGATATGGAATATATTCCCGGTTGATATGCCCCTGAAACCTCATCAGGTATGGAATACATAGAGATTATCCTATATGAGGTTCAGGATATTGGGATTATCCCGAGGCCAATAAAATATATCTGCCCGAGGGCCGTAGGTCCCGAGGGAAGATATAATATATTGGCCAAGGGATAATCCAAATATCCTGAACCGACTATAGGATGATCTGTTTATCCCATACCAATCACAGATCGCGATTGTCTGCGTTTTTCTCCATTGTCGTTTACAGTATGCGAACGTTACAAAAATAACCAATACGGGAACAGCGATTATGACGTAGCGGGCAGATATACTATATCTGCCCGCTCGGAGCGGGACGTAAAGCTATGTATGCGATGGTTTATGGATTTTTGCTACTTCAGACTCAAAACGAGGCTAAGTGTCAACATCGCCGGATCGTTTGGAAATTCGAAATAAATAACTTAATTTCCGACGATTCTGATGATGACTTTAACTATGGAATAAAAAGAACATCCTATGATTTACTCGTGATATGATTTTAATCCACTCATGGATATTGATATCTGCACTCTCTCGCTACGCTCGCTCGTGCAGATATCATATCCATTCGTGGATAAAAATCATTTCACTCATAAATCATAGGATATCCTCTATATCTGCCCGCTGATGAAAATATAAGTTTTTACAAACCGGCTTTATGTACCCGTAACACGTCCAAGTATGGGATAAATATAGGTTATTTACTGGCAGGGATTGAATATGGGTTTTATTCCAAGGGACAATATGATATTGACTGAAGGGTAATATAATATTGACCGAGAGCGCAGCGACCGAGTGTCAATATGATATTGCCCAAGGTCAATATCATATTTTCCGAGGAATAAAACCCATATTTAATCCTGACCAGAAATAACCTATTTATTCCATAATACACTCTAGAATGTTACATTTGGATAATGCAAGCGTTATATTAATAAATGCACATTGTTTGAAAAATAAAATAAATAAATAAAATAACCGGGAAACTAAAAAATAGGTCAATACGCTCCAATACGATTTTTCACGGGGACAATACGATTTTTTCATGTAATACGCTCCAATACGATTTTTTCACGGGGACAATACGATTTTTTTCATGTAATACGCTCCAATACGATTTTTTTCCCGGGGACAATACGATTTTTTCATGTAATACGATTCAATACGATTTTAATTCCTTCATATTTCCCTGGGAAAACAGTTAGTATTATGGAATAAAATATATTTTCCCTCGGGACCTGCGGCCCTCGGACAGATATATTATATTTGCCTCGGGGTAATCCCAATATCCTGAACCTCATATAGGATAATCTCTATATCTACCTGATGGACCATAGGGACCGAAGGTAGACGTGCATATCTCACGAGGGATAAACCCCATATCCAAACCGACCGCACATATCTGCTTTATCATTTACCAAGTAGTTTTCTAAAAAATTAATCTTATTTCCTTTTTTGAATTTTTTAAATTTTTTATTTTTATTCTCTACTCTACTTGTCAAAGGATAATAGACGATAAATATATATATATATAGTTTAGCATGATATGTACTTCTTTCTGTAACTGGAATACGATTCTAATATACAAGCAACACATACGTATTCCCGGGGAACCATAAATATTTTGTGTAGGGTGTGGACATTTTTCTTTTCATTTATCTAAAATCAGATTATTTTCATAAAATCCATACAAAGTTGGGCCTAAGCCTCTATTTTCGTATTCTGCATGTTAAGATATTTATAATGTAAAACCTAAGAGATAAATTCAATGTCTTCAGTTGAGAATAAGTATAGGTAAATGTGTGAATTCTGCTTGTTGTTGCACTATTTTTATAATAAACAAGGTTCGATACGCAACACTGAATAGACTACAGTCATAGCTTAGTTGTAAAGAAAACAAAAGAAGTCGGGACGTGGTCATGCTTGATTATGTTTCTTTTATATATCACCGTTTGCATTCGTTGAAATCGGTCTGCATTGATTTCAAGAGGTGGTCGGTGTAAAAGGTCATATGTTTGAGTTATTGGTTTAATGATAAATGTGACCCTTGAATGCGTTAGGCTTTATGTATGCGTGAAACAAATACTCCAATGGCCTAATCTCAATTTGCCTACAAACAATATAACATTGAAATGATAGTCATCTGCATATTAACTTCCGCACCACACGTCTAACTTCGACACAATTCAGTAAAGTATCCAGTATCGCTTAAATCGCTACATGCCAGTGAACTACAGGGTAACCAAAATTTTGGTACTGATTTGATTTTTCAATGAAAATCATTTCTATAGTGTATAGGCAGTTTAAATAATACAATTGCTATATTTCTTTACTGAACAGTGCAATCATTTATTTATTTATCAACAGTAATGCAAACTACATATTATACAGTTAGTAAAATATTAAAATAATTATATTAAAATTAAAGCATTGAGATGATACTTAAATAATTACATATTATATTGATAGGCATATTATATTATAGGATTTAAGCCAATGACTCAATGCATTGTAGATGATTAAATTTAACATATGTCCTGATTCTAGACTATGAACGAGGGTGGTAGTCCGAATTCAAAGCCTAGACTAGAAGACATAAGTGAATTGAAGCATCCACTATTCATTGAATCATGTGCTTTAATTCAATTTCACACATTGCAAAATATTTTTTACAATTTCACTTAACAGAATGATATTTTTTCAAAGATATGTTGTACTTTCAGAATCATTTGCTTCAAAGAATTGAACTATGGCGGCCTTTACTCATTATTTTACGATTTTTGCTGTAACTCGAAAAGTAGTCGAGCGATTTTGTTCATATTTGGTATATGAATACTATAAGCATGGCACACTGTCTAATGACTCTTCTGGTAGAAGGCGGCCATTTTAACGTATTTTACTATAACACGAAAAGAAGTGGAGCGATTTTGTTCATATTTGGTATGTGTATACTATAAGCATGGCACACTGTCTATTGTCTAATGACACTTTTGGTAGAAGGCAGCCATTTTGGAAAATGGCCGTCATTTTAACGTATTTTACTATACCTCGAAAAGTAGTAGAGCGATTTTGTTCATATTTGATGCGTGAATACTATAAGCGTGGCACACTGTCTAATGACACTTTTGGTAGAAGGTGGCCATTTTGAAAAATGGCTGCCATTTTTGCTGTATACTTTGTTTGTAAAAAAATGCCAGCCATGGCTGTTCGATGGGATTTGCTACACTTTGGTGTTGCTGTTGTCTAGTTGAAGGATGGATGGACGGACAAATGGAGGGGTCTCTATAGCTTATCCCCTAATCTTCGTTGGATTGAACAATTGTGAATATGGGTTGTTGGACAAATAAAGCTGATTGAATGTCTAAAAGCAAATAATGAAGTGGTAATTTATTTAAAATCATTAAATCTCAAACATGCTTGCTTTGGTCTAGTCACTTAATTCCTAAATGTCCCGTAATTAGTATCTATATACCTTAATAGATGCAGTGAAGGAGTTAAATCATTGGGATATGAATAAATCATGCAAAACATATTTTGTACATATTTCTCATCATTTAGGGTTACCCAGTAGTTTACAAGCTGACCTTTGCAAAATATGTTTCACTTATTATCCTCATTCGCTATCACGCTATCTAGTTTCTTTCCAAATTGGCCTGAATTGCCTGGTTTATTGGTTTTAGCGAACCGTCCATTTCGTCGAACCATCATTTTGCTAAGGTTGTTTGTGATGAATATACAATATTCAGTTACATATAACTGTACAGCAACTTTATGCAAGGGAAGGTAATTGTGTGAGAGCACATAAAGTACACGAAGTATTGACCCACTTGTCTCAGTGAATCTTATAAACAGTGCATAAAGTTTTTTCTATGCAATGATTGGCTCACAGTTACTTATAGTGTAAGTTATTTTATTTCTATACAGTGTGGAATAGAGTGTATAAATTTTTACAGTTTCAAGCAGGTTTTAGTGTTTTCTGACCAATGATATATTCAGACTTATTCATTTCACGATTATGTAATACTGACCTACATATCTGTATAGCATATCTTTAAAGAGTTTAATCTCTCACTCAGTCACAATCATGTCAACCAAAACTGTACTTGTGTTACGTAATATAGGATTATACAGCTTACCATACGTGTGCAATCTATATAGCATCCACACTGACATCTTTACAGAATCATATATAATTTTTGAATATAAACTAACTCAACCCAATAAGGTGAGTACTAAAGAATTTACTTACCTGCCATCTAAAAATCTGCTTGGAACTACCATTGGATTACCATGCCAAGAGAACCGAGAGAATATTCTAGGGATTATGAAATGCATTCAGCTTACATAATTTGAGAAATTATTGGCATACGTAAAACCTATTTAAAACAGCATTTATCGTATTCAAAAGCGTTGAGCATCAATGATTCCCAGCCCTCTGAAGTTTGAAAAATAAAAATTCCTGGGTGTTAATCCATGGATTATCTTTGAAAACGAGAAATATATTTTTGGATTACATGGTGTAATCTTAAAGTAAACAAAATGTTTTAAAGTGTATCGATGTTTTTTGGATGAAAAACATAAGCGAAATTCATGAAAATAATCCCCCGATTCATTCTACAAACAACTCGCCCTTCTTTGTGAGCTCTAAACTTTTCCAAATGCAATCTCTGTAGCTTGCTGAAATATGGATCCAAGACGAATTGATGAGTGTCTGTTACAAAGCTCTTAACTAAAACGTTGTCCTTTACCAGCAGGGATAATTTCACAGGGAGATACTCCAATAAATTTCAATTTGGAAATATAGATCCGGATTTATTATCAAAAAAGAAATAAGACCGTCGGCATGCACCTTGGCCCATACACCATGCGATAACCCGATATATCGCATTAGAAACTAGAAATTTATAATAAAAAAAGCCACTGAAATCAAGATAAGACCATAGTCTTGAATCTTAAACAGGTTTCCAACATATTTCAAACTCTAAGGCCACTTAATTATAACATTATTTTTATAAAATCATACATATAACATAAAAATAGATTGTAGAGTATTTTCATTTTCACTCACGCAAATCCAGACAATACAAAACAAAGTAAGCGCATTGGAAAAGTCCTCTTCTCGCAGTGCAGCTATCACAATGAATCAAGAGCAACTTCCAAGCTCAAACAACGATAATGTGCAAGATAGGACCAGGTCTTTAAGTGGCTCCCCAAATACCAGCGGCAGCTTGAATGACACATCAGCTGTACCCACAAGTGTGTGGGGAATACCCTTAAATCCTCCCACTGTACCCACTGGAGCCAACAAATGTTCTGCTTCAAGTACAAAGGATATTTCGAATGTTCCCGCTACGCCCATTACGCTTAGTGCTTCTAGCACATGCAGCGCACCAACTGCTACCTGTACTTCTGCAGTTAAAACCAAAAGTGGGACAGTCACCTGTAGCGCATCCGATGTTTCTATTGAATGCAGTGCATCTCATACACCCACCATGTCCCAAGCAGTTACTAGCAAGAATACAAGCATCGCACGCAATATTCCTGTAAGGTGTAGCGCACCAAAATCTACTTCTTTAAGCAACGCACGTGACACAGCTACGCGCACTACATCGTCCGCTGGTACCGACAGGGCAAGTACCGATATTCGACAATCCCAGGTGTGGCCCCATCGCCAAGCCATAACAAAAGCTAACTTGGATGCTGATAATGCCAGTTGCAATAGTGATGATGACTTTGTCGGAGTACGTGTGCATAGAACACGAACAAAAAAGATTGTTCTTGCTCATGTCAAATCACAACCATACAACACGCTTCGAAAGCACCTTGTCAATTAAGGTTATAAGGTTTTAAGGTTATGTCAAGGAAAACATCATTCAATGGAGAATGGCTACTAATACGAGTAAATGTTTTAGCCAGTCATTACGCAAAAGCACTGAATGAACATTTCTGGCCGACCTTAATCGAATCCAGACCGTATGTTTCTCATTTTGAATATGAGCAAAAGAGAACACAAAATGCTCAGGAAGGTGATTCTCAGTATTACAATAAAGGCAACATCAGTCAGTCTGACGAGGATTGGGACAACGACCAATACCAAGATGACTTGTACCAAGGATCTATGTATTGCCTATGAACCTGTCCTTATATCTGATACTGCATATTTTTATCTACATTACTATGTCACTAAATGACAAGTCACTCAGCGTCATGACTTGGAATTGTAACAAAGGGTATAATGTATGGTAGTCCTTTTCTTACGAACATTCTGCCCAACTATCATATTGTTACCTTAACTGAGCATTGGTTGTACCCAGCCAATTTAAGTTTCCTAAACACTCTTGATTTGAATTATGATTCACATGGTATATTACACAAAAAGACCTTTCTGTCGATGACGCTGTGCGAAGAGGTCATGGTGGCATAGCAATACTGTACAATAAATCTCTCATTGTGCGAAACAAAATTAGCATTGAAGACAGAATATGTGGCATAGAAATTGTAACAGAGGGTAACTGCAGTTTGTTCATATTTGCTGTATACATGACTTCGGCAAATCATCCAATAAATGAATATATTGACTGGATAGATCATCTGTATAGTCTCTATTGCACTTATTCGTCTTTGGGAACAATCATGTTTACCGGTGATTTCAACGGTCACCTCGGTTCGAAAAGTGGACCTAGATGTGATTTGGCAAATGACCGGGGATTATTGCTAGAAAAATGGGTCTTTGATTCAAACCTTTTAGCCGTTAATGCTCAAAATCTTACAACGGGCCCCAAACACACATTTTTTCGCATGCCTCGTCATGCGTCGATTATTTATTTGTACCTACAAACAAGTTCGATATCATAGAACAATGTAGAGTTATTGATGATCATCCACACAATGTGTCTGATCACCACCCAGTTATAATGAATGTTAATATGTCACTACCACTAAGTCTAATCGACTATTCTTGCGTGGCTAGGAATATACCTAGATGGCGCAAAGCCACTTTTACACAGAAACAATTATTCTCCAATGATGTTAAAACTCAATTGTCACAAATAACAAGTTCTGCCGATTTCACCACAATTGGTGGCCTAGATTCAGCTGTTCGTGCTCTTGCTGATACTCTTGTCAATGCCAGCAGCAAACACATTCCGAGATCCCGGTTCCGGTAATACTTAAAGCCCTTTTGGAATAAAGGAGATTTAAAAATCCTTCATACAGAAATGCGGACTGCGCGTTTTGCTTGGATACAAGCCGGAAGACCACGTGGTCTCGATCTTAAGTATAAACTTAAAAATAGACATTTTAGAAGACATATGAGAAAGCTCAAATTAGAATACGAAAATGAGCAAATTTTACAGTTTCAAACTGCTGCTGAATGTGACAGCGCCCTTTTTTATAAGATGTTAAACAGTCATAAGGCTAAAGGTAGGAAACCGTGTGGTCATGAACTCAGAGTTGGCACTGAAATTATACGCGATCCAGATCAAATTCGGGAATTATGGGCTTGCCATTTTGAAACACTTGGTACAGAATTATCTATGCCACATTTCGATGACAATTTCAAGAATCTTATTGATCACGAGCATCCTAATTTAATGACACAGTCGCTCTCTAAAAATGACGGCATATTCGAAAATCCAATTACCATTGGATGTGCAAAGTTCCACAAAGCTTCAAAATAGGTATTATGATCTCCTTGTTTAAGGGAAAGGGCAAAGATCCTATGGATAGAGACAACTTTAGGGGTCTTACTTTGACGTCTTGTATTTTTAAGGTCTGGGAAAAATTTTTCACAAACAGAACTATACCAATATTGAAGCTTCAAGGGTGTCCACACAATCTGCAATTTGCATACCAAGAAGGCGCGTGTAGCCAATTCGCAGTGTTTGTCCTTAAAGAACTTATTCAATTTTACTCTGAGAGAGAGAGAGCTAACTGTACATTGCTTTTTTAGATAACCAAAAGGCCTATGATTTGTTGTGGCGGAAGGGTCTGTTTCACAAACTATTTAATTTGGGGCTAAATGGTAAAAGTTGGCGTTTAATTGTCGATAGTTATGAAAATACAACTTCCAGAGTACTTTATAATGGAAAGTACTCTAGAGAATTTCAAATTACACAGGGAGTAGGTCAAGGTCGAGTCAGTAGTGTACTCTGGTTCCTGGTGTATATTAATGCTCTTATTGAAGAACTATGCGATACAGGCTTGGGTGCAATAATAGGTGATATGCGCATCCCTGCAGTACTGGTGGCTGATGACACCACAATTATTGGCACAACTCCAGATGAGCTCCAAAAATTATTAAATAGTGTATCAAAATATAGCTCAAAATGGAGAATGTCATATCATTCTGGACAGAACAGCAAAAGTAAAATCATCACTTTTAATGAAAGTACTAAACATTTCAGAGACAGTCAATGAATGCGCATGTGGCACTTGCAAAATGATATTGTACCTGAAACCAGAACGCAGTGCTACGCTGGAAACACACTTGATGCTCAATTAACTGATATTGACGCAATGCAACAAGCTAAGCGTAAAATGCTCAACATTTTTTACTCCATCAAACCTATTGGTATTGGCAAAGGTGGCATTAACCCCCTTGTTGCCGTTAAGCTATTAAAAACGATTGTGTTTCCCGCTGCCATGTTCGGCTGCGAGTTATGGACAACATCCAATGTAGAACTACACGCACTTAACGTTACCATTCGAAAAATTGCAAAAATAATACAAGGATTTGAGCAAAACGTCTCATCGGAAGTTGTCCTCTCTACGCTCGGTTTACTGTCAATTGAGAGTTACATAGATAGAGCAAAAGTGTTGTTTTTTGATAGACTATGCAGAGCCACTCATGTTTTCACAAAACAATTGTTTCTATATAGACTCTCTTCATTTTTAGTTCAGAAAAATGAAATTTGTAATGGTCTTATTAAAGACGTCATGTCAATGGAGTATGATTATGTACAGGAGTCAATTCAAGACTTTCTCAGATCTGGCCAACTTATGACCAAAGTAAAATTTAAAATGATGTGTACTAATCAAATAAAATTAAATGAAGAAACAAAATGGCGTGCCCGAGTAAATGCGGATGATTCATTATCATTATTTTCGAATGTACAATTGTCAATAGAACCTTCGGTTTTATGGACACTTGGTCAATAGGCTACCGAGCAACTTTGGGAATTAGCCCACATATTGTATTTGACCACACCTGCAAGATTTAGGTTATATCAATGTAAACGTTGCAAAGATTTTACTGTCTCGATAGTCACACATTTCATGAAATATGGTGAACTTATAAATAAAAAGAATGATTTCATTGAAAACTATATTTTCAACTCCCTGTCCGTAGAGAATTGTGTCAAATTAATCGACATGGAGGAAAATATAGTCTTATAAACAATACTTGGCAGCAGAGTTGACTTTCAACTCGATGATACTCAATTTACCGAGTTCATTCTTTCGTATGAAACTATGCGATAATTGCAGAACTACTTTGTAATATGTAAATTTTAAGGTTGTTTTTGTTCTATAAATTTGTAAATCTTCTTATAAAGAGGAAATAAAGATACAATACAATACAATACAATACAATACCCAAATGCTCGGAGATGACCAGGATCTCAATGGGAATTTATACAGATGACCACCATCGCGGATTGTTCAATTGACAGGAACGGACGAAAACAAAATGGTGGATTCAAAATTTTGTAAAAACGCTTCGGATGATGGTGTTAATTTCTGCTGTTTACCAATAGGCTATTATGCCATGTTCTTTCACGTCAAGATAAAGATGTGACTAATGCCTTGGTCGCATTTGCTCCGATCCATCGGTCGGCGCTCGCCCGATTGAGTGTTCTGTCCAATATTGTATATAATTTTGAACAAAATACTCAATCGGCCGGGCGCCGTAGTGAAAATCGGAGCAAATGTGACCGAGGCATAAAGAATATAAAGATGTGACTGAGGAATATGTTTACATCGATTGGAAAACCACATCGACGTGTGGTATTCAGAAACTAGATTGTGGGAATGAATGTTTGAGATACTCTTTAAGCTCTTGGGGTTTCCGCGTCCTATTGGGGAGTATTGACACAGTTAATCAAAAGTGGAAACAACCACGGACGAGTTTTCACAACTTTGTCAATCATGTTTGAGTAATGCCGGGAAGTGGCCACTATCTGATCGTATCGCTCCATTAATCAGTTATAAGTATTCACAACTGTCCCATTTTCATCTTTTTTTGCTTGGAGTGGCTCCAGCGCTATATAGTTTTGATTTGTAGATCCGGAACCATTTTTGAATGGTCTAGAGTTAGTTGAACGTCCGTTCATATCTGTTGAATGTTGAACTTGTGTTGACATTGACATTACGCTTTTTGCCTTGGCTTCTCTCATGGCGTCTGTGTAGCAATGCCTTTTGCAGGATCTATTCAGCAACGAGAACACCTACAAAGCATTTCAGAAAACCTCATGCTCGCTTAAAGGGTCAACATATTTTGAACTCCTAATGATGTTTTACTTGAACAATCGATATATACTTAGGACACAAGCCTTCTTTTCTTTAACGAAACTTAAAAATACATCCTTTTAAAATTGAAAAAGGTACAAGTATAATGATTCAATTTGGAGCGAACTTGTCATATTCTCCAGGCCAGGATTTCAAAAAGGCCTATTCAAAACTTTATTACTATTCATTGCACATATGTATGGCTTAAAACATTTGGGGTTTACTTATGTCTCAGTCACATTTGATTTACGGCAATCGCACGGCGGTCGTAGCTTTCCAAAATCGAGAGAAATGTGCAGCAAATATGTAGTGATTGACACGATTTTCTAAAAATCGATTGTACGAAGCCACGGTCGCCGTTCACCTGCCGTAGAACAAATGTGACGGGCTTTAATATCTGACTCACAAACGCTGCCTTTAAAAAATAGGACAGTCGACTGAAGTACTTTTAAATCTATCTAGTTTTACAGGGTGGTCCAAAACCAGGCTCCAAATAATCTCGTCAAAATACATTGTGTAACAATCGACCATATGCCATAGAAAGACACGTATTGTGGAAAAGTACAAAATCGCCAGAACAGAGTCTGTATTCGTTCACGCGACATTATAAGTTAATTCTTTCTCATGAAAGTGATCGTGCAGTAAGTAAACCCCAGTAATGCAGAAAGATACCCCAGAAAAAACACTGAAATTCAAGATTATTTGGGGCCCATAATGTTGGACTCTCCAGAATAATATTTGTTTACCACCCGATTTCTTGTTGAAATTCAATTCTGCTCCGGAAATAATTGATCAATCTGTAAATTTGGATCTGGACAGTCTGGTTCTAAACTCCCACTTGAATGCGAATCTGTTATAATTTCGATATACTTTTCCACAATATATGTTTTTGTTCTTGAATTGTCCATGGCACCAAAAACATACACCTTTCATACAAATGCGAAAGACCCTATACATGTACAGGTTTGTTTTGTCGAAGAGTTAGCACCTGGAATATGAAGTTCATTGTACGTGTATATGTGAGCCGTTATTTGTCATTTCAGTTCCCATTTTAGGGTCACCCTGTATTTGATATATTGAAAGTTTGATGATAATTTTGAATAATTGCCATGGAGTTTAGCAGAACTAACAGCGTACAGTGAACGAACTTCCAACAATGTTGTATGAAAGGATTCGTTCACATGGTATTCCTGAGACTTCGATACATGTTTTAGTGGTTGAAGCTCAAAATGTTACATTGAAATTAATTTAGTTCTCCCCTCTTTTAAAACCTGATACATCTGTGTGAAAAACATTTGTTAAAGGTAAACAATGGCACATTCATTATATATATAAAACATAACAATATTAGACAGGTACCATGTTAAATAGGAAATAAAAAGTGATAAAGAATACATTACCACGGACATTAACACCTACCTCCCCATTGAAGAAACAAAAGATCATCGCCACAAATAATCCCTAAAAAGACATTAATATTATTAAACAAGAGTACGACATACACGTAGACATAAGAGGCAATTTGATCTACCTGCTATATCTCAAAATAACTAAAATATTACGAAAGTTATGGACTCCTTCTCATATAAACAGGATTTAACTTTGCTCCGATCGGGATTTAGTGTTGCCAAACATTTGTTTCAGCTTGCATTTGCGAATGCAGCTTTCGGCGGTCGGCTACCGGATTAACCTATTGATAAAACCTACCTTGCATTCCAATAGCTGTTAGTTATCGCGTCAAACCCAATCGCTCACCTGAATAACGGGTTGATCTGTCTAGTAATTTCAATTTCATATACTGACACGTTCAAGTTTAATTTATGCAAATTACCTAAGAATCGGGGTCACCCAGTAGCCGGAAGTATTTTTCGCGAATGCAGGCTATTGGTTTCAGTTCTTGATTTTTATTTGTTGTTCAAAAATATTATAGTAATCGGCAAACTCAAATTTAAAATCTTTGGACGCGCATTTGTGAGTTGAACCATGATACTTAGCAAATCAATGCAACTTTAAATAAGCTTTAAAAAGATATATAACACATACTATGAAGACATTGGTATGTGTGTCCATGGGGGAGGGGTCCCATACTTTCGGGACATTCTGTATTTAGTATTCAAATCTCCTCAAATGATCAAGCCGAAGTTGTGACACCGTTCCAGGAGTCTTCATAATTCAATGTACCTAAACTGACAATACGGGAATTTGGAGATCGGGAATTTAGTACCACGCATACTTAAAATACTCTGATTTGAGCTAAACTATTAAAGGCTTATAAAGGATGAGTTTTTATACCTGTGAGTTGGTAATGATGGCGGTAATAATCTCAAAGTAGTATGATGCTGGGCTATGATCAGGTACTCTGTATATGATGAATAACAGTTGTAAACCAAACAATGGGATGAGGATGAATGTGGCCTTCAAGGCACGCCTGTAAACAGAGGATATATAAAATGGTAAATCAATGACATTATAAGATGCTGTTTTATGCCTAAGTCACATTTGTTCCGATTTATTGGCAGGTACCCGGCCGATTGAGTATTTTGTTCAAAACTGAATACAATTTAAAGAAAATACTCAATCGGAGCAAATGTGACATGGGTATCAGTCATTTGGCCCTCTTTCATTTGGCCATTCAACAGTGGTTTAAAATTACATTTATATTCAAATATATATAGCTCCTACGAAGAGAAAATTTTTTCGATGGACTTTTAACTATCTAAACACCCTCTACTAGTGTTCCAATCCACGGCAGTAAGTTTGTTTACCACGGAATATAACTGATCATGTTAGTCAAAATTGTGACCCTACCCTTCGGAAATGGAGACCACGTTTCAAAGCTAGTTCGATGACAACTTCAATTAGAGTCATTCTAAGTGAAGCCGTTTTTCAAATTCTCTAATATGTTTTTTTACAATCATAGTTTTATTAATTTGAATGGCGAAACTTTTGGAATCAAGATTTAGTTTAGTTTAGCTGAAATCGGAAGTTTGTCAAAAACGAAAGAATTTCGGCAACCATCTTGAATGACGTTAACTGCAGTTCGAGTCATCTAGCTGTGGAACAGTGTGCCTACTGGGCTCGTTTGGAGGGCCTGAGGCCGAGTGATTCACACTTACTTTTAACTACTGGGCTTGTTAAAAGGCCTTGATGGCAGTCGTTCATACTTACATTTAACTACCAGGCTCGTTGGAAGGGCCTGACGCCGATTTAATCAAACTCACCTATAACTACTTGGCTCGTTGGGGTGGGCTTGAAGTTGCGTTAGGAGAATTCTCAGTATGTTGCACAAGAAGAAAAGATTTGTCTGAAAGTGAAATTGATCACTGTTTGTTTTGAACAGATTTCACATAAAAATTCATAGCCATGGTTTTGAACTAGCGAGACTGTCACTTTAATTAAGAGCGATCTAATAACATTTTTTATGCAAATACAAAGGAAACCAAGGTAAAAATCGTAGATCTAACATTTTATATGCATATTCGATTATCATGATCATTCTAGAAAACTCTATGTTAGAAGGAAACAGAGTTTGAAATCTTATTCAGTAATATGTAGTTCTAATTTCCAAGAACATTATCTTGTTCTAAGACGTACATGTAAGGAGTAGATTGAAGTAACGGCAGGCATAGTTCATTTACAATGTAATGATTGATGAAAATCTAAGTATTCAGTCGTCGGTCTATGGTAGTCTCCAGAGGGAATTAAATTTACAATTTAACATCCAGGCATTTGTGAACAGTAGACGTGTGTCTATATGTTTCTATAAAATGACAAAATACTTTAGTAAAACCCTGCATTATGTGGTCAACAAATTCAAATAAATAATCAAATAATCTAATTTCATTTTTATTATTGTAATGTGCACGTAACTGTATGCATATGCAACCATTAAAGAGATGACAAGTTTAGTTCAAAATTCGATCTCTTAAAACTAATTCATAATTAAATAGGATCTAGCACGTCGAAATATATAATCCAGCCCAAACTTAAAATATTGCTCTACTTGGATGTTCATTGTTCCTTAACTAGCTAATTTGAATAACCAAAGTGGAGGAACTGCCTGTGTTCGAATTCGGGAAGATTTTTATTTTCTCGATTTAAACCTACTTATATTCAAATGCAGCTTTGGCTCAAAAGATTTACAGCTTACACGAGGTTCGGAATTTGATGTTACGTCAAATTAACAAGTTTAGGGATAGTAATGTTATGAGTTCTAAATGGATTTAGTTTAATGCGTACCAAACTAGTAGTTAAACGAGAGTGGCATACAATACAAGCATTCCTCAAAGGAAAACTTACTAGTAAAGCAAGGAGATTGGGGGCATATATCCACCATTCGTGATTGCCGAAGTGATTAACCCAACAATTCTCGTTTGCGTAGACCGATCGTAAAACGCTATATATCGTGACTGGAACGGCAGGAAATGCTACAAGGAGATAAAAAACAAGTTATATGTTGATTACCTTTATTCTAAGCTCCTAATGAATCAATGTAAAGTAAGATCAAGGAGAAAATAAATCAAACCGTGTAGGTATTCAAGGCCACACGTAGATACACAGTTGAAATGGGATACACTCGATGGGTGGTTACACAATACAGTAGTGCAGTCAGAATGAGGGTTTAAGCGTGCGTTCAGAGGGATTTTATGGGACATAATTTTTCATGTTGCTAGTATGATTTTACATATTTTTATGGATTATTAGATCTTAGTTTTTCAGCTTTTAGATTTTGTGGCCATTTTACCCCCCATGGGCTATAATTTGGACCCCTACTATAAAATTAGGCAAGAACTCAAAAAATACTCAGTGGAATGTTTTCAAATTGCTATGGTATATTGGTATGGTCTAAATGAATATATGATAAAAATTTCATGTCACATGGTTAAGCGGTTGCCATGGAAACAGACAAAACATACCCTTCAGGTGTTGATTTTCAGGCCAATTTTTCAGAAATGATAGAGTCATTTCATGCATATTTTGTCACCATTGTGTTAGGAAGGGTTAAAGTATGAATAGAAAACTTCTATAATATATTAGCAACAATCTTATATAAAGATTAGTCTACAGGATTTCAGATTTTGGCCTTATATGGGTCCATGATTTATACAGGGGTCTATTTCACAGACTCGAACCCCCACATTAGTTGGATGCTATAACTTTTGAAATAATGGAGATACAGGTCTCATTTTTTCAGATTTTCATAAATGGTTGGTTTTAAGTATTGTATCATACTTCGGGAGCTGTTATGTGATTGGTTGCTATGGTAACCAAGGTTTTATGGAAATCCGGACCCCCACATTGGATGGATGCTATAACTTTTGAAATAAGGGATATACGTGTCTCATTTTTTCAGATCTTAGACAATGATTGATTTTAAGGATTTATTCAGACTTTGGGAGCTGGTATTTGATTGGTTACCATGGTAATCAGGGTTTTATTGAAATTCAGACCTCTACAATTGATAAACGCTATACTTATACAGGCAGATACAAATATCATCTTTTCAGATATAAGATAATAATAAAATGTGTATATTGTATTAGACTTTGGAAGTTAGGATTTACTTGGTTGCCATGGTAACCATGTTTCATTTTCATGGTAACTGCCATTTTTTTGTTTTTAGATTCACCTTCATTCTAGATAGGTCAATACATGATATAGAATACCAAATTGCCATTTTATTCTTAATTTTTGGATTTTTTTCTATTTTATATGATTTACATGCTCATGACTCATTAATACTAGAGAGGCAAAAATTGTTTGGCTCATAAATACCAAATACTAGTAAACAATACATGTATATTTATATCTGACAATATTGCCTCATTCCGTACTACTAGTTCTCACAAATATTCTGACTCCTAATTTGTTCATTTTTACTCATCATTACTGTTTTCATTTTGCACAATTGCCTCTTGATTTAAATATCAACCGTTTCTGTTGGAATGAAGGCTTGATTTGACCATTCTTGAGTTGAGGATCCTCAGGGGATTTAGTACATTCATGCAGTGTTGCACTTGGCAGAATGTGTTAAGACTGGTCCCTGGGGTTCACTGTATATAAAATTTGGCTGGGGTCCTAGGCTGAACCCTCAGATATCAATATGTTCCCATACCAATCTGTCAAATTTGAATGTATTTCCATACCAACCAAAGTAATGCCCAAAAGTCATACCAAATGCCCAAATAGGATCAATGGTATATCAAATATCCAGATATAAAAACATGGCCATTCAAAATGTCTAATGCCACGAGAAGAAGGCAGACCTTTGAGGAAAACAACCAAAAACAACTTCACATTATGAAGGATATATACTAGACCAATGCCATACCACAAGTGAGGGGTAACATATTTTCCAAGACCATTCTCATAGTAGTAAGTGGAAAAATCAGACCATTGCCATACCTCAAGTCATAATTTGGAGGGCATTCTCATATCAGATCTTAAAAGGAGAAAAGTCACTATGGAGAGCTTTTTAGAAGGACACAACTATTTTATTCTGGAAGTGATCATCATGAAACTTTAAAATACTTTTAGAAATGAGGTGAATTCAGAGATCCTGATATATTATTCTCAAATTATTAAAACGTGAGTTTGTAGAACGTTTTTTGTGAAGAGTTCATCATTGGCTCCAAAGTAATTCATTGCATTACATTAGCTGCTATGTAGAATATCTTCCACCTTGTAATGATTGCTCACTCCAACATTTAGGGTTTGTCATTCATCCTCTTCAAATTTCTATATTATTGTTATTGATGTCAGTTACTAATGTATTTTTGTAATTCTGCTGTTCTTTTGCAGGTGAACAATTCAACTTTGGATTTTATTGTTACTGGATCTGAACAAAAATAAAATAAATCAACTGAAACTGAAGACAAACAATTCTTAAAGTTGTTTTCTTCAATAGGAAATAATATAGAAATTTCTGATACCATAAAATCCACAGTTGAATTGTTCACCTGCAAAAGTACAGCTGAATTACAAAAAATAACTGCCACTAATAGATTACGAGATGAGCTGTTTCACATGAGATACTAGATATATAGTATTCTCAAAAACAGAACAGTGCTGCCTTCACTTATGAAGGTGTTGACATTTTAACTTTTTCACATTTGAAGAGGGTGAATTATCAAACCTGTGTATGCAAATATTCCCACTAGCCTAAACCCAGCTCTACCAAGCCAAACACTGCATGAATGAATTATGAATTCCCCGAAGAATCCTTAACACCCCAATGGTCAAAAGAATCCTTCCTTGTTGAAATTGTTGATATTTTAAATTAAGAGACCATTGTGGAGGATGAAAACTATAATGATGAGTAAAAACAAGTAAGGAGTAGAATGTGTGAGAACTATTAGAATGTAATGAGGCAATACTGTCAGACATTCATGTAAAAATGCTGAAATTAAGAGTTAAATGATAATTTTGAGCAATTTTCCGTTCTATGTTGTGTCTTGACCATTCTCAAATGAAGGTAAATCTGAAATCAAAAATGAAGTTTCCATGACAATGAAACATGGTTATCATGGCAACCAAGTAAATTGTAACCTCCAAAGTCTGACACAATACAAACGATCCCAACTTTGACCGTCAATTTCAATTTTTGACCTACCGGATGCTCGAAAATCAAGGATTGCGAGTCTCATACTGCACCGTTTCTCTTCAAACTTATACCATTAAAAGCAAAACAGAATTGCCTTTCTGTCGGTGCATTACTTTATTGTAAAGGTCCCTCGTTCTAGCAGCGTTTTGGTCCCCAGCTGTTAGAAGGCCTTCTTACAGCTGGGGACCAAAATGCCGCTGGAAGTAGGGATTATGTTTGAGAGAAAAATGTACCAACAGAAAGGGATTATTGTTATGCTTTGAATGAAAGGAGTTTGAAGAAAAACGGTGCAATACGAGATACGTAATACTTATACGTAGATATATGCAATACGTAATCCTTGATTTTCAAACATCCGGTAGGTCAAAAATTCAAATTAACGATCGAAGTTAGGACCGCGTGACACAAGTCTAATTATCTTTTAAGTTCTGAAAAGCTGATATCTGAATCTGCTTGAATTCAAAAGTTATAGCATTTATCAATTGTGGAGGTCTGAATTTCAATAAAACCTTAGTTACCATGGTAACCAATCAAATTTCAGCTCTCAAAGTCTGATTTAATACTTAAAATCAATCATTGTCTAAGATCTGAAAAAATGAGACACCCTTATTTCAAAAGTTATAGCATCCATCCAATGAGGGGGTCAGAATTTCCCTAAAACCCTGGTTACCATGGCAACCAATCATATACCAGCTCCAAAAGTATGATACAATACTTAAAACCAGCCATTTACGAAGATCTGAAAAAATGAGACCTGTATCTCCCTTATTTCAAAAGTTATAGCATCCATCCAATGTGGGGGTTCGAATCTGTGAAATAGGCCTCTGTATAAATCATGGACCCATATAAGGCAAAAATCTGAGATTCTGTGGACTGATCTTTACATGAGATTGTTGCTAACATATTATAGACGTTTTCTATTCACACTTCAACCCTTCCTAACACACTGGTGACAAAATATGCACAAAATGACTCTATCATTCCTGAAAAATTGGCCTGAAAATCGACACCCGAAGGGTATGTTTTATCCATTTCCATGGTAACCACTTAACCATGTGACTTGAAATTTTTATCATATATTCATTCAGCCCATACCAATATACCATAGCAATTTGAAAACATTCCACTGAGTATTTTTTGAGTTCTTGCCTAATTTTATAGTAGGGGTCCAAATTATAGCCCATGGGGGGTAAAATGGCCACAAAATCTAAAAGCTGAAAAACTAGGATCTAATAATTCATACAAATATGTGAAATCATACTAGCAACATGAAAAATTATGTCCCGTAAAATCCCTCTGAACGCACGCATTTAGGCTCATTCTGACTGCACTACAGTGGTTTACTGACTAAGCTTGTATTCGCGGATTTCGGCTGTCGGCTACTGGATTAACCTACTATTTTATGGGCAACTCTATCAAATATGAAATACTCCATTCATATTTAAATACGTTGGTCATAAAATCGTAGGCTAATCCGATGGCCGACAGCCGAAAGTTGCATCGGCGGATACAAGCTTATTTAGACACTAATACACACCGAAATAAGGGATTAAGATCACAGAATGTCACCATCTCGTTGCTCATAATATTATTAGTTCAATCTTATATCCGATTTGAATTTCTAAGAACTTGTAGATGATTTTTTACCTTAAGGATGTCATTTCAATTAGAAGCAAGTTAGAGTAAGTTACTTGTTAGAGTATGATACCGATCACTAATTCTATAGTTTTGAATTTAGATACACTGATGAAAATTAGTCAACATGGCAGAGGTTTTATTGAGGAGTATTTTTCCGTAGAGTCTTATCTGAAGACTCCTTTGTCTTAATACAAAACCATACTAATGCACATCTAAATATATATTTATCACTGATAAAAGGACCTTCACCAGTTGATGGAAAAAATCATGAGCTACAGCGGATCACAATCACAATCACGATGAAGATAAAACTTTTCTTACCCCATCCGACTAAGTAGAACCAGATTAATGACTTTGGAGGCTCAAAGGCATTCACGATAAGCCTGTGTAAGTAGAATCCTTCACAAAACATCCACATATAGTTAGTTGTTCGTGTATACCGTGTGAGGAAGTATAAGAATTTGCAGCCTCCCTACAAAGTAATATAAATTATTGTAGTAATACGTACATGCTTATAATCATTTATTCTAATAAACAAGTATATAATATTGGCTAAAAAATATAAGTCTTGTTTCTAGTTAGCGGTCAGCACTCAGCAGGTGATCAAGTTGCGGCCGTCCCTTTACATTGTTATATATTACTTATTAGTTGTGCCCTATTAGCTTCTGTATGTCTTTCCGTCATACATTGTAGATGCCGCGAGGGTTCGTAGAGATTTCTGTTTACATGTACGTTTAAACGATTTTTAAGATATTTGTAATATAACTTTGAAAATGACAAGTATTGCCAATCTGAATATTTGAATTTTGAGAGGACATTCTAAATTGCGGATTTATCTGAAATGTTTTAAAACGATGGTTAGGATGAAGTTTGAAGTAAAAATCCCATTTAGGACCATCATAACGTTTCATCTCATAATTTGTCAATGGGCACAGTTCCACTTCACTGAAACAGTTTCCAGTGTTCATTACAGCATTGTCTAGTTTGCCATTTAAAAACAATGATAATGTAGCCGCATGAAGTCTCGAAAATCACTCAGCCATCTGTAAAAATTCTGTTTCTAACCAAACTTGGAAATGTTTCCTGAAAGATTAGTACTTACCCCATCGAGAATAAACCTCGATTCATTACTCAAACACTAGATGGCGCTGCGACGTGCCAGAAAAGGAGGAAAGGCTTTTTTATACAGGAAACCAAATTACCAACGGTAGTTTTCAGTATCACTACTCCGAACTATATTCTTACCAGAAACAAAACATCTTTCTTAAGGATTGCCATTTGTAATTAAATACATCCTGTTGAGACAAAAGGATGCTGAAGCACTCGTTAACAAATTCAAAAGTGATCCCTAAGTTAAATACGTCCATTATTTTTCATCACGAGATTTGCTTTATGAACATTAAATGCCAGAGTCCCAGGCACGGAATAGCATTTTACAAGGAGCAAAGCGTAGTCATGAATTGATAATATCGAGAGAATACAGAGGGCTTGGCACAACATGTCTCATGAAATATGTATCGCCAAAAATTGATATATAGGTTTGTTATTGATCTAATCAGCTAATCAACAGAGATTGCCAATAAACAAACCGACTCGCGAATTTCATGCGAAAACTTGTTTCCGATTTATTTGTTACACTTTAGACTAGTTGCCTTTCTGTCGGTACATAACTTTATTAAACAGAGTCCCTCGTTTTAGTGGCGTTGGTATTCCAGCTATGACGTTTACAGCAAGCCATTTTGTGCACAAAAATAAGCACACTATGTCTTGCAGTATGCAAAGGACATTTCCTAATTTTTATTTCTTGATTTTAATCAAATATATAGAATGGATTGTCTTGTAAAAGTCAAAATAAAGAACAAATTGCCAAGGGACGCGCAGAGGTAATTTACGAGATAAATCTTAAAGGACATGATCTATTCAAGTCCAAGGGCGTAAGTGAACAAAAGACTGCAAATTATTTCATGGTGCTTTTCATTTGAATTAATTTATCCCTAAACCTAACAGAGTGGTCGTATTTCCCTCCTGTTGTTTTTCATAGAAAACCAAAGAGAACCGTGCTGCCAATCTGACGCTTCGACTTGGATACGACGTGTCTAATTGCCATTAGCAAACGCAGCTATGTGATCACCCCGGAATAGCCTGACAACGGTAAAGTCAGATACCGTTGTCAGAGCTTCTAGACTAAATTCCTGTGGGACAACAATCAATCAAAGTGTCTTAATACTCATTGTACAGTTATAATGTTCTACCATCGAGATAGAGTTTAATTTGACCGTTTAAAATGAGATACGATGTGAAAGAAATGATGGTCCCCTAGGGATTACGGTCCCCTTTCTAAACGGCCCTTACTGGCCCTGATTGCGTATAAGATAATGAGGGAAAGAGTTGTATTTAGGTCACCATATAAATCAACGGAGAGTAGGACCATAATTTGATACGACCTCCTACCCTTTTACAACATCTTCGCAGGATTCCTCGATTTCGGGAACTACGGCCGCCATGATATCTCAACCGGAGAGCAAATGTAACAGAGGCATTATACATGTACTTGACAATTGAAAGATACAAAAGTGATTAAAATGGGCTCATAGCCTCACTTACTGTGTTCTTGTACATCACACTTTCGGTCACCGCACTGATGAGGCGATCACGATACACTAGCACATCCCAAAGTATGTAGATGATACTACTAAATACGAACGACGCAAATAAATGAATGTGGATTCTGATTCGATGCTGGCTGCGCAAGGTCCTGTACAAAGTAGAATAAACATGTATGATTGAGTAATGCAAGGAAGTTAATAAAGAAATATTATAGATCTGCCATAGTTCTGAAATGTGATTTTATTATTAACTGTCAGTATCGCTGTGTTTAGTAACTCTTTTTTCCATACCCCTTTCGCACTTGTGCTTACGTACTTGTAGGGTATATGTAGTTCTATCTTATATTGGCCCCTGGCCCCCCATACAATTTGTATAGTTTCCAAATAACACTGACATCATAGATGTCACCTTTGTTTGTCTTTGATTTTCTTGGGCCAGACGTCCATTCACTATTGCTAGAAACTTGCAATAGTCACTTAATTTCAAAAAGTGTTGGTTGAATCTGTATGAAACTCGAATGGCTTACTTTTGGGTGACCCTGTCAATGTACATATTGTGATTAAACGTGAAAATGTTGGTTGTCATACGAATAAGCCAAGGTTTTAATGAATTTTAGCATTTCTCCAATTGAGATTTGGCCCCAGTTCTTTTAAAATGTCATGAAAAATGATTTAAATGACATAACTGTGTAAATCAAATGTATATTTGGAGAAAATTTGTCACTGAATTCAAATATGCTATCAAAAATAAAGAAAGAGAAATTCATTAGAGGTTAAAAGTGCAAATCTCTTAAAATCCCATAAAAACGAGAATTAGCGAGATTTCAAAGTTATTTAGAAACTCCTCTATTTAATTCACATTTCAAAAACTCATTTCAAAGTGACTTAATATTTGTCAAGATGGATCTTTCCGTCGGACTCTGCCATGATTTCTCAATTCTGAAATTTCCTATTTTTGGTATCGTTGTAAAGGATTTCTTTCTTTACATATTGTCAAATGATGCCAAACATACAGCATAAAATTAAAAATGTCTATAGTCAGACAATGGCATTTGCAAGTGACACGAAGTAAAAGTTTGAGAAACGCGAAGATAATAAATTCAACACTATTGGTCCAACTGGATGCAACAAAGCAATATTGAGTAGTGGATTTACACTTTTCATTAAACTTGTTGAACTTTACGATTAGAGCCCTCTTTGTTATTCAACACTGACACTACGTTGGATTGATTGAGATTTCAATATTTTGAGGGTTCGGATTGACATTTTGATAAATAACCAAAATTTGAATTTTGGTTGATGGAGTGCTATATTAATTGATAGGACTCAAATATGTCAAGCTTGTCTCAGCTAATCAGATTCAAATATTCCAGTGCTTAAATTAAGATACAATAAAATAACAAAATACTGTGTTTGGAGCAATAGGAGTTTATGATGTAACATTATATAATACAGGGTGTTTCATATGTATAAAACCCCTCATAAACTCATACATGTACCATTGCTCCCCTATCATGTCATATATCATTTTGTTCCTTGTGGAAAGTTCCATTAGAATAAGTCAACAGAATGCTACTCCTTGACTTATTTTTCGATAATTATTGCCCAATCTCATCACCCGAGACTGATGAACATGTGAACATGAACGTACTCTTGGACGGTTGAGGACACCAGGCGTTAATGTTAATGTATGAATGGGGCACTTATCATATAAAGCTCCTTTAATAAGGAGAATTATCCTACACACCCTCTGGGTATTGTTCAATGTATATCACCTCTTAAACTGTAAATTCCTATTACTTAAAATGATTTGTAGCTGAAGGATGCTATAGCTTGCCAGGGTGCCTGTTATCTCTTGATTACAAAAATAGCCATTATAATATAATATACTCAACCCTAATGTCTGCCGGAGGAGGGGGTCAAATTGACCCCTTCGCGGTTTTTATTAGTACTTTTTGCAAGTTTTCTTTGTGAAAATAGAGGAGTTTCCATATTGCTTTGAAATCTTGCTAATTCTCGTTTTTTTCATGAGATTTTAAGAGATTTGCACCTTTAACCTCTTACAACTAACTTTACTTTCTAATAGCATAATATTATTTAAATTCAGTGAAAAGTTTTCCTCAATAATAACTGTGATTTAGACAAGAATTCTCCATGGACTGTCATTCCAAATTATTACTTTCGCCAAAAAGGGGGCTTATTTGTATTGAACTGCAAGTACAATACAAGTATTATATACACATGCTTCAAACATTTATGAAATTTTCCCGTTCACAAACTGATATAACGGAGGAAATAATATGGAATAACAAAGAAATCACGATACAGAATAAATTTTTCTTCTGGATAGAATTTTTAAATACAGACAAATGAAAAGTATCTACTTATTTAAGGAGAGAATCAGATATAGCGAGCAGGCTTAACAAAAAATTGTTTCAATTTTAGAATATGTTTGGTTCGTGTCATTCCTTGTCATGTTTATTTTCTAAAAATCGCAAGAGAGCATACTTTATTCCAGGAAAACTAAAGATGTTTACAATAATATATTATTTTTCTATAAGAATGGTTACCATTCTTATTATTTGTCGGTATCATATTGTGAATCTTTTGGGAGACATTGTATTTGATATTGTAAGGAGTAGATTGGTAGGTCAATTATATATGTTGCTTGTAATTTTGTCACCCCTATAGATCAGATTCTGCCTTCAACAATAATATATTATTTTTCTATAAGAATGCTTACCCTTCTTATTATTTGGGAGAATTTAAACATTTTCACCCATTTTTGCACTTTGAATCATCAATAACTTCACCAGATTATAACATATTGTGAATCTTTTGGGAGACATTGTATTTGATATTGTTAGGAATAGATTGGTAGGTCAATTATACATGTTGCTTGTAATTTTGTCACCCCCTATAGATCAGATTCTGCCTTTAAAGATGGATCAATTAAAACATGGCACCAGATTAAGGTACAAACAGGTCTATCTGATGTGTACATGCTGAAATGGTTTGAAATTTTAAAAACCATCCCAATGACTTGGCTAATAAGAAATAATGTGTTTGAAAAAATGTCAGTTTAGATGTAAAATTGATATTGTGCACGAAAACAAAATATTTCAGTTTGTACATAAAAATTATTGTGTTCTATTTTATTGTCACACATTGTTGAACAACCAATAGCGAAAGGAAAGCTTAGTATAATATAAATTGAATGAAGAAGACTGGAATTTTTAGTATACATATTATCATATTCTAAACACAGGGCCTTTAAATTTAAACTTATAAATTGCATTTTATATACAAACAATGATCTATTTAAATATAATGTAGTACAATCGCCGATGTGTGAATTCTGCCATACTGCATTTGAGACGATTGATCACTTGTTTTATGTTTGTGAATACAAATCAATTTTGGAACAGTGTTAAGCAACACATTTTGAAAAAACTCAAATATTTTAATTTAAACAATGTACTCTTTGGCTCTAAAAATTGGAGCAAATACGAAAATATGATTATAATTATTGCAAAATACTTCTTGTACAATCAAAAATTTCTACGAGAACTACCAGTGTGCAAAAGCAATTTGGGGTAGATAGTAATGAAAGTGCCTAAGTTTAGTGCATAGAAAAGTTTTGACCTTGAATTTGCTTTATTTGAACTATAATTGACTATATTCTTAGGTGCTCACTTTTCCCTGAGGTTCGATACAATTATGTGTTAGTTACTAGGGAACGGAGTTTTAACAGAATGGCAGAATGGTAATTTGAAAACAATGGAAACATGTAGGTATCTCCTCGTATTAACTTACTACAGGTTCCAGATTCAATTGTAAGAAATTATCACAAAATGACTTGTAAATATGTCATTCTTACTTTGAAGTGCATCTTACATTGAATTAATGACTCCGTGGATTGGAAATTGAGACGTCAGTAAGTGGTCGAGTGGATGTTTTAGAAAGTGTAGAGTTATTAATCGAAATTTCACTGATAATTTCCCATGTTTCATACTCCAAATGATATTGCAAAATACAAGGTGATATATAAATGCCATTAAGGTGGAACCTGTCTGATATTCTGGTTTATCCCCTATGAGCAGCTTCTGGACACTCTACTAGGTACACCTTATGGCCTTAATATCCTGATCTGAGGGACAGAGCTTTTTTTAGTTAAGTTACTTTTCAAGGCGATTTTCTAGAAAGTACAAGTGACATATCAATAGACTTGACGACCGCAGTGAAACATGCACAAACGATGCAATAACGCAGATGCGAGTAGGTAGTTATCACCAGGTGGCTCGTTCGGATCAGATAGCATGGCGGGTATAGAAGAAAGTTCCCTTTAACTTAAATTACATCTGTTTTAGAGGTTCAATTTTCATATAACCCTTATGTATCTAATAGTTATGCAAATTAAAATATGTCCAGTAAAAGAAAATGTTACCTGTCCAATATAAGAAAAGATATTTCACTTTTTGTGAGTTTGTAACATGGGGCCTATGGGGAGTCAACCCGAACTAGAAGTCACGTTTTCAAAAAAATTAAATTTCAATGTTGATGAACAATATTCGAAACCAAATCTCTAGGTGTACTTTGACATGTAGATTTCAAATATGACATCATTTTGACTGAATTTTGTGGGATTGTGGGATTATCAGTGTGACAAAAATGTCTAAAATCCAATCGTGAATTGAATGTTTAGTCATTGCAGGAGACCTACAGGACAACAGGAAGTTGTAAACTTATTTGTGACGTGTCATCATGAGTCGGCAGAGTTCAATTTTAGAATAAATTAAATTGTTTTTGAATTGCATTATTTTTCTTTATGGAATGAATGGTTACCATTCTTATCATTTGGAAGAATTTTGCACTTTGAATTTATAATACCTTCATCAATGTATAACATATCGTGGATCTTTTGGAACATATTGTATTTGAGATAGATTTATTATTTATAGATGACTGAACGTCGGACTATCTTTGATTAAATAGTACTAAGTACTTTTCTGATTTGAATAATCTATATTTTGTAATTATGAGGAGCATCATAAATCGTGCGAACATGTTGATATTTATGTCAATTAAATCAAGAGCTCACATTCGTGTATATCACAGGTGTAAATCACACCTTTATCACTGCATGGCATGCTAGAATTCTATAGCATATAGAGGATATCAAAAGAGGTTCTGTAGTCTATATAGCTAGTATATCAAAAAGCATCCCTTTTGGTACAACGTACATAGATTCAATTGATCTTTGATAAAACAAATATTTTCGACTTTAATTGTGTTGATATTAAAAAGCATAGAATCTGCATGTAGTCATTTCAGCTATTTAACACCGTTGTAAGAGCAAGCACCGGAAAAATCTAGATCAAAACTAAAGTTTCTTGAATTGTCTTTAAAACAATGCATCGTGGGCTACCCCATACATTCCATTAATTCCTTGATTGTCAAACCTTTTGAGGGGACTGTAGCACGTACGTGAGTTGAAATTAATTAGGTAGGGATCAAGGAGGGTCATTTTATATCATTCCCCATCATGTTTATCCAGGATGCTACTAAATAGTCTAACATCTCTTTGAAGCATCGGTGGAGATGTTTTTGAGCGGTAAAAAATAAAGAGCAAAGCTTTCGTTAAGGGTGGTCGTTTTTGTTACATATTCTACTTTTTCCACAGGAAGTAGTAAATCAGTGCTCTCGATGACCATTTGTCATGGTTTCTTGGATTAGGTGCATTGCTATGGATTTATTACTCAAACATACCGTATGTTATGAAACTCAAATCACCTTGAAAAAGCCCAAACCTATCCATTTCATGTCTTTAATTCAAAAATCTAATTCTCGCCACTTTTTATTAAAGAGGGACATGATCCATAACCCGACAGATCGACGGAGAGTTCTAAAATCAATTTCATTTGATTGTATATCACGAAATCGTCAGCTATAACATTCGGCTGTTCCACGCCCTCTATTGTGCGCGAATTTGTTGCGTAGTGTCCGTAGCCCTTTCTAGCAAATATACTCCTACACTGCCAAATAAGGAGATTAATGAACAAGTGTCATCAATAACTTATTTTCAGACATGATGCCATCATCACATATTAGAAACAAAAACATAAAAAGTGCCAAATTTTCAGAGAACCTATTTATCCTTCCATCTGACAAAATGTCCTTTGAAAAAAGAGCTCACGACAAAACAACATGACAAAACAACACTTTTTATGTCACCACCAAAAGTGGTGACATATTGTTATGGTCTCCGTTTTTTTGCGACGGCGGTTGGTGGTTGGCGGTTGGCGTCCGGCGGTTGGAGGTTGGCGTCTGTAACAATTTCTTACAACTTCCTATAACTTAACAAATACTGTTTAGACTGACTTCAATTTTTTTCTAAATCATCTACATGTTCTCAGAAGTTCAAATCTGACTTTAGATTTGACATTTGACCTTCAATGACCTTCTCAAGGTCAAAAAGGTCTTTTTTCAACTTGCTTCACATTGACTAAAATCTTTTTCAAAATCATCTACATGTTCTCAGAAATTCAAATCTGACTTTAGATTTGACATTTAACCATCAAATCTGACTTTAGATTTGACATTTGACCTTCAATGACCTTCTCAAGGTCAAAAAAGGTCAAAAAGGTCTGTTTTCAACTTGCTTCAAATTGACTAAAAATCTTTTTCAAAATCATCTACGTGTTCTCAGAAATTCAAATCTGACTTTAGATTTGACTTCAGATTTGACATTTGACCTTCAATGACCTTCTCAAAGTCAAAAAAGGTCAAAAAGGTCTTTTTTCAACTTGCTTCAAATTGACTAAATTCTTTTTTTCAAAATCATCTATACATGTTCTCAGAAATTCAAATCTGACTTTAGATTTGACATTTGACCTTCAATGACCTTCTCAATGTCAAAAAAGGTCAAAAAGGTATTTTTTCATCTTGCTTCAAATTGACTAATTTTTTTTTCAAAATCATCTACATGTTCTCAGAAATTTAAATATGACTTTAGATTTGACTTTAGATTTGACATTTGACTCAGAAATTCAAATCTGACTTTAGATTTGACTTCAGATTTGACATTTGACCTTCAATGACCTTCTCAAAGTCAAAAAAGGTCAAAAAGGTCTTTTTTCAACTTGCTTCAAATTGACTAAATTTTTTTTTCAAAATCATCTACATGTTCTCAGAAATTCAAATCTGACTTTAGATTTGATATTTGACCTTTAATGACCTTCTCAAGGTCAAAAAAGGTCAAAAAGGTCTGTTTTCAACTTGCTTCAAATTGACCAAATTTTTTTTTCAAAATCATCTACATCTTTTCAGAAGTTTAAATTTGACTATACAAGTTCTCAGAAGTTCAAATCTGACTTTAGATTTGACCTTTGACCTTCAATGACCTTTTCTAGGTCAAAAAGGTCTTTTTTCAACTTGCTTCAAATTGACTAATTTTTTTTTCAAAATCATCTACATGTTCTCAGAAGTTCTTCTTAAAGGATTACGTCAAGTTTCCCGGACAAAAACAATATGGCGAGTCAGCTGGATCAGTCCATTTTTAAGAAAAAGGGGAATTTTGTAAATTCTAGTTTATTGAAATCGTCTTGTAGATGAAATGATATTCTACAATGTTTCTGTCAACAAGAGAGTGAATTACCCAAAGGATGCATGTACATCAGCCAACATAAATCCTTGTATTCATTCAAACTGCTTTGCTTCATTTGTAGGACATTTTATAAGCCACACCGTGGTCAGAGGTAACGCGGCGCAGTCAAGCATATCTGTTCAAAACGAGGCTGCAACGCGGCAAAGACACAAAATGGCCACTCAGTGGAAGGTCGAAAGGGCGGTATGTTTATTCATAAGCTTCATGCACTAGTTTGTGTCTGCTACAGTTATAATAGCATATACCATTCGGTGGAGAACTTCACAGCGTATGTCTATGTGAAGCTTCTTGAAATTTAGTCAATCAGGGAAATACATTCCAAGTCAATCAAAGTCAATCACTTACTGAAATTTGACAATTGTGGCATTTTTCTAGCTTAAATTCTATGTTTTTGACTTTGTCACTTGACACTTATCTATTTAATCACGTATATACCACGGTAATCTCTATTTCTTCAAAGTTTCATCACTGTTTGCCTTCTGTTAACCGATTCTGGGTGGAAAACCAGGTATATTTTGGAAACGCAGTTCAGACACTTCGGCAACGCGGGTTCAGACATCATACATATTTGACAAAACTGGAAACGCAGTGACAGCAATGCAGCTGATGTTCTATCGTGTATGCCTGCACCGCGTTGCCATACAATTTAATCTATGCTGTCGACGCGTTGCCATAATTGCTGAAAATGACTGCGCTGCGTTTCCGGCTAGTTCAATTTTGTAAGCAGATTGCGATGAAAATAAACAAAAGTTTCAATCTTAATTTGTATTGTACATTCTATAAGTATCAGGCTATTGAATGTCAATGTTAAATTTGCTCATGAGTGGCGAAATACCTCCTTAATTGGAATAAGAAGATAGGTCAAGAGAAATAGGATCGGGAAATCATATCTGCGTTGACTATTTCTTTACTCTGGTCAATGCCTGAACAGAAATATTTTTATAGCTTTACATACCATAAGGGGTTGATCACCGAGTGTGAAGCATGAGTTTTCAAAAACTTACCTATGTTTCGAAGAAACAGAGGACGAAGTGCCTCCGATAATTGGAGTTGCCTCCATTTTGTGTCTTTACCGCGTTGCAGCCTCGTTTTGAACAGATATGCTTGACTGCGCCGCGTTACCTATACCCACCTTGAGCCATGTTGTGTGCTAATACGTGATGGGGTTTAGATGTCAAATTCTCCTATTACTCACAAATAGAAGGTCCTAAACTTCCCCAATAAAATGTGAAATTGATTTGTCAAAACAAAAATCTCTATTTTATAAATGTATGACGATCTATTCTATACTATTGCTACAAAAACAGGCAGAGGTGTTTACACCACGACCTCAAACCTGGTATACCCTTGAGTTTTATCCCGGATCGTGCCTTTTATACTAAACGGTGAGCAACACCAAAAACAGGCGTTCGATTTGCTAAACGATATGCGTCAAACTTTAAGGTCAAAAGGTATTTTCCAACTTGCTTTAAATTGACCAAATTGTTTTAGGTGGTGACATTTTGTCATGTTAATGCCTTGTAATAAGACTTATTTCGGACCTTTTATGTATGTTCATAACAGAAACATGTAACAAACAGGCAAACACTTGTGGATAATGTGTGATTTAGTGCAACATGTAAAATGAGAAATATTGCAAGACAACTGTTTTTATTTTTGCATAAATGTAGCACAAGATGAGAGCAATTAAAATAGAGAACCATTGTTTGATACTCCCATTCAAACCTTTTAAAGCAAGGGGGCTACGGACACTACAGAACATTTTACACTTTCACCAGCTTTTACAAAATCTACTAATGCTGCTGGAGAAGAAACTTGTGTTTCATGCAACCATCATATTTTATGTAATATGTATCAGAATGTGTAATCAAGGCAACAGATGTATTATCTGACCGTTACATTTTCCTTTCTACCTTGTGAAATTTGTACAATAGATAAAATGGTATTTTCCATAACGAAGAAGACATCTTTTGGAAAAGCCACTGATGATCAGATTTCTATCAAATAAATTGTAAAATGCAGGAAATTAAGTACATTTTTCGACAGCACTAAACAGTTCAACATCTGAAAATTGAATAATAAAGATATTATTACGTTATGATTAAGGAAAAAGTTAGTGCAACAACATAACGCTGAAATTTACAGTTTTCAGCATATATAATTGGGCCATAACTCCTAAACAGTCAGACCGTCAGACCATGTATACGATGGCGTTTGTAGTGCTACCTTTCAATGTTTATTAAGCCACGATGTCAACAATGATCAGCGATGTTAACATGTACAAGTGTACATAGTACAATGATATTGTATGATATAGGCCTTCATTAAACAATACATAATAATACGCTCTACTCTTTCTGAAAGTTTCTCAGTGGTAGTTTTTTCAAACATGAATGGCATTGTGGTTGCCTCTGCGTATTTCAAGATGTTCCAGGAAGATTCTGAATCTGAATGAAGAACATGCATATCTCTAAACGTGTAAACGCATGCGCAAAGTATAACATTGCAGAAATACATAGGATATTTAATCATGTTTAGCCGATTTTATCCGGGAGAGAAGTCAACGATTTAATGAATAAGAGCATGTGTTTTCAATTTTAAACAGATCATTCATCAAATAACCTCGACGATTAACATAAAATAAATTATTTATTTTTTATTTTTTTATGAGAGATGTGTTATATATATATGTTTGAACCAATGTCAATGCCTGTTGTTCACATTCAGTCTATACTTTTTGGTTAGGATTACTGACGGCCCGGGACTGGCCGGCAGTGGATCTCTAAAATTCTACTCATAATAATGTATAATGTATTAATGGTAGGCAGGTCAATTAAATTATAACGTATAAAATATCATAATAACTTGTTATTTTAATTATTTTAAAGCATGCGGAAATCATTCATTTTTCTAAAAAAGTTTGGTATTGTTTCTCGTTGTTTGTTGCTAAACAAATGTTTATTTGTGATCACTATAACATCACAAATACTCACAATAGCAATGTATGACAGGATGGGCAAATTAGAATTACATGTCATGAGACACACCGAATATCAAAATGACAGATCAGATGAGGTTAGTGCGGCTGTTGCAGAGTGTCACATTAACAGATACATAAGGAGTACCATTGGATTTTATGTACTATCAAGAATAAGTAATAGGACACTGCCAGAGATATACATGGACTCGTATATTGTATGGACAAGGTTGTTACGTTCGAAAATAACAGAAAGTAAAAACAGCAATTAAAATACGATAACAATATATTTATATTTTGAAAACTAAATAATATAACAATAATATAAAGGAGGTTTAATACTTATGTGATGTCCAATCAATGATACGGCTTATTCTTGATGTCGATAAATGTCGTTGACGATACTTGAGAATGTTCCGGATCACGAAATGTTTCAATAATCGTTAATAGTTCTCCAATGTTTGTAATAATCCAATAATGTTTGTTGTAATCCTATAATGTTCGTATCCAATAATGTTTGATGATAATCCACAAATGTTTGATGATAATCCACAAATGTTTATGATAATCCACGAATATATATGATAATCCGTATATAATGTTTGTTGTAATATATGTCCATATAAAGTCCTCAGGTTGTATGTTTGTAGTGTTATAAATGTTCCCACAGTAATTATCTGCTAAGAAGATGTCCTTTTGATAAACTTTGAAATTCTGCTTTATTTAGTTCCTTTTAGATGTCCAGTTATGATTACTTAATTATCTGCTAAGGAGAGTCAATGTGCTGTTCTTTTTATAATGTGAAAGAATGATCCAGAAACGAATCTTCTGGAACTGCATCTTGATTGGACATCTTTAGTGACATGATTAAATTTTAATGAATGGTTATAATTTCTAGAACTATCTGGATGGTCAAGGGTTAATGAATCATTCAGTTCAGTTTTGTTTACTAGATACAGTGTATAATGTCATTGTGACCTTGACCAAAAATCTCTAATGAAGAATAGCTCAACATATACAGCAAGCATAGATTACAAATTAAACTATAGGTGAATATAGTAGAATATAATATACATGTAACTCACTACTGTAACACCTCCCTCCTTAAAAGAAAAGTTTTGAATGCAATGAAAAACTTTTACAATAATATCTTGAGTAGCGAGTGTTACAATTTCTAAAAGTGAGGTTGAGACTTACATAATATTTGTTTACAATAGTCTTTTTATGTGCAGTATGTTTACAAGTATATAATACTTTCTATCGTTACAGTGTGAGTACAATCTAATAACATATTATGTTCTTATAATCCCATACTACAATAATATCTACATAAGTTATGCATTAAGTCATAAATACAATACAAGTAATAGATCATATAACATGTACAATAGCATACATTTTTGAGTCTGACAAACACTAAACTAGTACAATGTTTTAAATTATCACATGATCTTATGTAAGTATGTCTAATAGTACACTCTCATGTTATCAAGTAATCTTGTGACACTATTTAATGATCACCTATAATGCTCACATAATCGGGATACAATCTTATAGTTCATATAATATCAATTTCAATGTTTAGGCAAATGTTTTTATGTACAGTATATAAGTGACAGTTATCTCAAATCTCCAATTTGCCTATCATATAATATAATCTTCATGAGTTAATCATTATAATTTACAATATCTGACTCTTGAATAACATACATGTATAGTTGTCATTGACATACAAGTTTGGCCTGAGAGCTAAGAGCACAAGCTCATGTTGAGTAAAGAAATTTTATCACGTTCAACATACCGTTTCATCATATGTAACTCTCTACACCTCACAGGAGTAGTTTTATCAATGCAAATGAAATCATTCAGCACTGAGTAAGATTGTAAGTTGGATATAAGCTCCTTTGGTAGCCCAACTAATGTGAAATTGTTGATTTGTGATTTCACAATATACTTGGTTTTGTTATTCCTAAGCATAAGGAGTGATTTTATTTCTGTAAACTGTGTGGCCATAGACAGAATAGTGAGCAGATATTGATTATTAGATTTTGTTTTTGGTAATGGACCAACACAGTCAATAAGAACCTTACTAAATGGTTCATCAAATGCAGGTATACGTTGTAAAGGAGTAATTGAGATTTTCTGGTTAGGTTTCCCTACCATTTGACATGTATGACAAGACCTACAATACTCTTGGACATCTTGTTTTATTTTGGGCCAATAGAAATGATTGAGTATTTTATGATATGTTTTAGTTACTCCTAAATGACCTGCCATGGGAGAATCATGAGCTAGACTCAAGATTTCCTTATGATACGATTTGGGGACAACAATTTGATGTACAATTGCCCAATCATCTTCAGGGGAAGCTTCAGGAGGTCTCCACTTTCGCATTAATATGCCATCCTTTTTGTAGAAACAAACAGGGACCTTGTCAGCTTCATCAATAGTAAGACATCTTCTATGAAGATCAATGAGTGATGGATCATGCTCTTGTTCATAAATTAACATGTGTTTAGAATGAGGATCATTTTTCAAAGAATCACTATCAGAAATAGAGGATGAAACCTCAGAACTAGAAGAGGATGAAACCTCAGAACAAGGAGGGGATGAAACCTCATGAACACTAGCAGAAGAAGATGAAACTTCATCAAGACTAGCAAGAGCGGGCGAAACCGCATTAAAATAGTGATCCTGCTCAGAAGGTGAATCACCTCTGGCAATAGGCTTTTTCAATGAAGAATTTGCCTCAATAGTTGACTGCTTGGCTCGAACAGAAGGCTGTTTCAATGAAGAATTTGCCTTTAAAATAGGATAAGGACCATCTTTAACAAGTGGTGAGTGACATTCATCATCAAACAAGGAGCTTAAAAACCCACTATCAAAGTCATCTCCCACAGACGAATCCCCGCTATCAGCTAACCTTTTAGCCATAGCCCTAGTAACAGCACAAGCAGGATATATATCAGAGTCCTGTTGGACAGAATCCTCAATAGAACAAGGCTGATCTGAAACAATGGGGTCTAATGATACCTTACCCCCAGCTAAATCATTGCCTAAAAGCAATGCGACTCCTTCAACGGGAAGTTGTGGCCTAACACCAACAATAACTGGCCCTTTGACTAACTCTGATGTGATATGAATACGATGGAGGGGAACTTTAGTAAAACTTAATTCAATGCCTTGCATCAAAATATGGGTACCTGTGAATGACTCCTCAGATAGAGGAAGGACACCTTCTAACAACAAAGTCTGAGATGCACCCGTGTCTCTAAGAATCTTAATTGGCTTTGAATTGGTATCATCACTTGACAGTGACACAGATCCTTCAGACATGAAAGGCTTATAATCCTCCATAATATCACTATGAGTAGATTTCTCAGTATGAGTATATGAATCCCAAACAATGGGCTTTCTTGAAATGGGAACAGTAGCACAACCATTTGAATGAGCAGAACCAGACATCTCTCTTCTATTCTTAATCCTATAGCATTCAGAAATAAGATGACCAGACTTTTTACAATAGTTACAGGTGACATTTGATTTTGGACCTGAAGAATTTGATTGATCTGATTTTGAGCTAGAATTCTGTGATGAATTAGACTGGTCTTTTGCTTTGTTTGATCCATTTGATGATGAGGACTGATTTGGTTTTGAATCATATGAAGGTTTGTTACCTTGATAACCTCTAAAGTTGGGATTACCTTTGATAAAACTACCCTTATGAGTAAGAGCATAATCATCAGACAGGGTGGCAGCTTGGCTTAAAGTTTCTACCTTGTGTTCATCTAAGTAAGTTCTAATGTGATACTGAACACAGTTTTTAAATTGTTCTATTAGCATAAGCTCTCTGAGCTTTTTAAACTCTTCAGATACATCTTTAGAGACAAGCCACCTGTCAAAAAGCTGCTCTTGCTCTCTAGCAAACTCAACATGGGTGTGGTCACTCTGTTTGTGGGCATTTCTAAATTTTTGTCTGTAAGCTTCTGGTACTAGTTCATAAGCTTTAAGAATTGCATTTTTAACTAGGTCATAATCAGAGCATACTTCTCCTGAGAGAGAGGCAAATATTTCACTTGCTTTTCCAATGAATACACTCTGGAGCATAACTGGCCATGCAGATTTAGGCCAGTCTAGGCTCTGAGCAACCTTTTCAAAATGTGTAAAGTATTTATCAACATTTTTCTCTTGAAATTTAGGTACAAATTTGAGAAATTTTGAAGCGTCAAATCTATTTTCAAAATGTTGATGCATAGTAGCATGTTCATCAGTTTTAGATTGAGCTTCTATTTCCAAACGTTTTAATTCAATTTCTCTTTGAATTTCTTGTTCTCTCATTTGTCTTTCATTTTCTCTTTTTTCTCTTTCATTTTGCATTTCTAACTCTTTTTCTCTTAATTCTTTTTCATTTTGCAACTCTTTTTCTCTCCTTTCATTTTCAAGCTCTTTTTCTCTTATTTCAAGCTCTTTAAGCCTTATAGGATCTACAGGCTCAACATGCTGGACTGGCTCTACAATAAGCTTTAATGCTTCTTCTGGTAATATTTCTTCCGCTACCAAATATGGTACCAGAATATTTTTTATTGCACCTTTTCGGTATGAAGTTTTTACTGCCAAACCAACATGTTTTGCTAGTGCCAGAAGTTCAGTTTTCTTTAACTTGTCAAACTCCTCCAAAGAGGGCGCTTCTAAAAATGTCTCAACCTCAAAACTCATTTTTGATTAATTGCTGTCTTCACAATTTAGATATACAATTTTGGAATTTTGAATTTTATGAATTTTAGCTTGTTGTAGTTGTATCCCGGACGAGCCCCCAATTTCTGTTACGTTCGAAAATAACAGAAAGTAAAAACAGCAATTAAAATACGATAACAATATATTTATATTTTGAAAACTAAATAATATAACAATAATATAAAGGAGGTTTAATACTTATGTGATGTCCAATCAATGATACGGCTTATTCTTGATGTCGATAAATGTCGTTGACGATACTTGAGAATGTTCCGGATCACGAAATGTTTCAATAATCGTTAATAGTTCTCCAATGTTTGTAATAATCCAATAATGTTTGTTGTAATCCTATAATGTTCGTATCCAATAATGTTTGATGATAATCCACAAATGTTTGATGATAATCCACAAATGTTTATGATAATCCACGAATATATATGATAATCCGTATATAATGTTTGTTGTAATATATGTCCATATAAAGTCCTCAGGTTGTATGTTTGTAGTGTTATAAATGTTCCCACAGTAATTATCTGCTAAGAAGATGTCCTTTTGATAAACTTTGAAATTCTGCTTTATTTAGTTCCTTTTAGATGTCCAGTTATGATTACTTAATTATCTGCTAAGGAGAGTCAATGTGCTGTTCTTTTTATAATGTGAAAGAATGATCCAGAAACGAATCTTCTGGAACTGCATCTTGATTGGACATCTTTAGTGACATGATTAAATTTTAATGAATGGTTATAATTTCTAGAACTATCTGGATGGTCAAGGGTTAATGAATCATTCAGTTCAGTTTTGTTTACTAGATACAGTGTATAATGTCATTGTGACCTTGACCAAAAATCTCTAATGAAGAATAGCTCAACATATACAGCAAGCATAGATTACAAATTAAACTATAGGTGAATATAGTAGAATATAATATACATGTAACTCACTACTGTAACAAGGTGTTATATCTGCTCTAAGGATCTCTAGGTAGTATTGTAAATTTGAGGAAGGCTAGTCACTGTTGAATATCATTCCCAATCTGGTTGCTTGCGGACAGAGAATAACACTACGATAAGCTGGCATGCTAGAATTCTATAGCATATAGAGGATATCAAAAGAGGTTCTGTAGTCTATATAGCTAGTATATCAAAAAGCATCCCTTTTGGTACAACGTACATAGATTCAATTGATCTTTGATAAAACAAATATTTTCGACTTTAATTGTGTTGATATTAAAAAGCATAGAATCTGCATGTAGTCATTTCAGCTATTTAACACCGTTGTAAGAGCAAGCACCGGAAAAATCTAGATCAAAACTAAAGTTTCTTGAATTGTCTTTAAAACAATGCATCGTGGGCTACCCCATACATTCCATTAATTCCTTGATTGTCAAACCTTTTGAGGGGACTGTAGCACGTACGTGAGTTGAAATTAATTAGGTAGGGATCAAGGAGGGTCATTTTATATCATTCCCCATCATGTTTATCCAGGATGCTACTAAATAGTCTAACATCTCTTTGAAGCATCGGTGGAGATGTTTTTGAGCGGTAAAAAATAAAGAGCAAAGCTTTCGTTAAGGGTGGTCGTTTTTGTTACATATTCTACTTTTTCCACAGGAAGTAGTAAATCAGTGCTCTCGATGACCATTTGTCATGGTTTCTTGGATTAGGTGCATTGCTATGGATTTATTACTCAAACATACCGTATGTTATGAAACTCAAATCACCTTGAAAAAGCCCAAACCTATCCATTTCATGTCTTTAATTCAAAAATCTAATTCTCGCCACTTTTTATTAAAGAGGGACATGATCCATAACCCGACAGATCGACGGAGAGTTCTAAAATCAATTTCATTTGATTGTATATCACGAAATCGTCAGCTATAACATTCGGCTGTTCCACGCCCTCTATTGTGCGCGAATTTGTTGCGTAGTGTCCGTAGCCCTTTCTAGCAAATATACTCCTACACTGCCAAATAAGGAGATTAATGAACAAGTGTCATCAATAACTTATTTTCAGACATGATGCCATCATCACATATTAGAAACAAAAACATAAAAAGTGCCAAATTTTCAGAGAACCTATTTATCCTTCCATCTGACAAAATGTCCTTTGAAAAAAGAGCTCACGACAAAACAACATGACAAAACAACACTTTTTATGTCACCACCAAAAGTGGTGACATATTGTTATGGTCTCCGTTTTTTTGCGACGGCGGTTGGTGGTTGGCGGTTGGCGTCCGGCGGTTGGAGGTTGGCGTCTGTAACAATTTCTTACAACTTCCTATAACTTAACAAATACTGTTTAGACTGACTTCAATTTTTTTCTAAATCATCTACATGTTCTCAGAAGTTCAAATCTGACTTTAGATTTGACATTTGACCTTCAATGACCTTCTCAAGGTCAAAAAGGTCTTTTTTCAACTTGCTTCACATTGACTAAAATCTTTTTCAAAATCATCTACATGTTCTCAGAAATTCAAATCTGACTTTAGATTTGACATTTAACCATCAAATCTGACTTTAGATTTGACATTTGACCTTCAATGACCTTCTCAAGGTCAAAAAAGGTCAAAAAGGTCTGTTTTCAACTTGCTTCAAATTGACTAAAAATCTTTTTCAAAATCATCTACGTGTTCTCAGAAATTCAAATCTGACTTTAGATTTGACTTCAGATTTGACATTTGACCTTCAATGACCTTCTCAAAGTCAAAAAAGGTCAAAAAGGTCTTTTTTCAACTTGCTTCAAATTGACTAAATTCTTTTTTTCAAAATCATCTATACATGTTCTCAGAAATTCAAATCTGACTTTTGATTTGACATTTGACCTTCAATGACCTTCTCAATGTCAAAAAAGGTCAAAAAGGTATTTTTTCATCTTGCTTCAAATTGACTAATTTTTTTTTCAAAATCATCTACATGTTCTCAGAAATTTAAATATGACTTTAGATTTGACTTTAGATTTGACATTTGACTCAGAAATTCAAATCTGACTTTAGATTTGACTTCAGATTTGACATTTGACCTTCAATGACCTTCTCAAAGTCAAAAAAGGTCAAAAAGGTCTTTTTTCAACTTGCTTCAAATTGACTAAATTTTTTTTTCAAAATCATCTACATGTTCTCAGAAATTCAAATCTGACTTTAGATTTGATATTTGACCTTTAATGACCTTCTCAAGGTCAAAAAAGGTCAAAAAGGTCTGTTTTCAACTTGCTTCAAATTGACCAAATTTTTTTTTCAAAATCATCTACATCTTTTCAGAAGTTTAAATTTGACTATACAAGTTCTCAGAAGTTCAAATCTGACTTTAGATTTGACCTTTGACCTTCAATGACCTTTTCTAGGTCAAAAAGGTCTTTTTTCAACTTGCTTCAAATTGACTAATTTTTTTTTCAAAATCATCTACATGTTCTCAGAAGTTCTTCTTAAAGGATTACGTCAAGTTTCCCGGACAAAAACAATATGGCGAGTCAGCTGGATCAGTCCATTTTTAAGAAAAAGGGGAATTTTGTAAATTCTAGTTTATTGAAATCGTCTTGTAGATGAAATGATATTCTACAATGTTTCTGTCAACAAGAGAGTGAATTACCCAAAGGATGCATGTACATCAGCCAACATAAATCCTTGTATTCATTCAAACTGCTTTGCTTCATTTGTAGGACATTTTATAAGCCACACCGTGGTCAGAGGTAACGCGGCGCAGTCAAGCATATCTGTTCAAAACGAGGCTGCAACGCGGCAAAGACACAAAATGGCCACTCAGTGGAAGGTCGAAAGGGCGGTATGTTTATTCATAAGCTTCATGCACTAGTTTGTGTCTGCTACAGTTATAATAGCATATACCATTCGGTGGAGAACTTCACAGCGTATGTCTATGTGAAGCTTCTTGAAATTTAGTCAATCAGGGAAATACATTCCAAGTCAATCAAAGTCAATCACTTACTGAAATTTGACAATTGTGGCATTTTTCTAGCTTAAATTCTATGTTTTTGACTTTGTCACTTGACACTTATCTATTTAATCACGTATATACCACGGTAATCTCTATTTCTTCAAAGTTTCATCACTGTTTGCCTTCTGTTAACCGATTCTGGGTGGAAAACCAGGTATATTTTGGAAACGCAGTTCAGACACTTCGGCAACGCGGGTTCAGACATCATACATATTTGACAAAACTGGAAACGCAGTGACAGCAATGCAGCTGATGTTCTATCGTGTATGCCTGCACCGCGTTGCCATACAATTTAATCTATGCTGTCGACGCGTTGCCATAATTGCTGAAAATGACTGCGCTGCGTTTCCGGCTAGTTCAATTTTGTAAGCAGATTGCGATGAAAATAAACAAAAGTTTCAATCTTAATTTGTATTGTACATTCTATAAGTATCAGGCTATTGAATGTCAATGTTAAATTTGCTCATGAGTGGCGAAATACCTCCTTAATTGGAATAAGAAGATAGGTCAAGAGAAATAGGATCGGGAAATCATATCTGCGTTGACTATTTCTTTACTCTGGTCAATGCCTGAACAGAAATATTTTTATAGCTTTACATACCATAAGGGGTTGATCACCGAGTGTGAAGCATGAGTTTTCAAAAACTTACCTATGTTTCGAAGAAACAGAGGACGAAGTGCCTCCGATAATTGGAGTTGCCTCCATTTTGTGTCTTTACCGCGTTGCAGCCTCGTTTTGAACAGATATGCTTGACTGCGCCGCGTTACCTATACCCACCTTGAGCCATGTTGTGTGCTAATACGTGATGGGGTTTAGATGTCAAATTCTCCTATTACTCACAAATAGAAGGTCCTAAACTTCCCCAATAAAATGTGAAATTGATTTGTCAAAACAAAAATCTCTATTTTATAAATGTATGACGATCTATTCTATACTATTGCTACAAAAACAGGCAGAGGTGTTTACACCACGACCTCAAACCTGGTATACCCTTGAGTTTTATCCCGGATCGTGCCTTTTATACTAAACGGTGAGCAACACCAAAAACAGGCGTTCGATTTGCTAAACGATATGCGTCAAACTTTAAGGTCAAAAGGTATTTTCCAACTTGCTTTAAATTGACCAAATTGTTTTAGGTGGTGACATTTTGTCATGTTAATGCCTTGTAATAAGACTTATTTCGGACCTTTTATGTATGTTCATAACAGAAACATGTAACAAACAGGCAAACACTTGTGGATAATGTGTGATTTAGTGCAACATGTAAAATGAGAAATATTGCAAGACAACTGTTTTTATTTTTGCATAAATGTAGCACAAGATGAGAGCAATTAAAATAGAGAACCATTGTTTGATACTCCCATTCAAACCTTTTAAAGCAAGGGGGCTACGGACACTACAGAACATTTTACACTTTCACCAGCTTTTACAAAATCTACTAATGCTGCTGGAGAAGAAACTTGTGTTTCATGCAACCATCATATTTTATGTAATATGTATCAGAATGTGTAATCAAGGCAACAGATGTATTATCTGACCGTTACATTTTCCTTTCTACCTTGTGAAATTTGTACAATAGATAAAATGGTATTTTCCATAACGAAGAAGACATCTTTTGGAAAAGCCACTGATGATCAGATTTCTATCAAATAAATTGTAAAATGCAGGAAATTAAGTACATTTTTCGACAGCACTAAACAGTTCAACATCTGAAAATTGAATAATAAAGATATTATTACGTTATGATTAAGGAAAAAGTTAGTGCAACAACATAACGCTGAAATTTACAGTTTTCAGCATATATAATTGGGCCATAACTCCTAAACAGTCAGACCATGTATACGATGGCGTTTGTAGTGCTACCTTTCAATGTTTATTAAGCCACGATGTCAACAATGATCAGCGATGTTAACATGTACAAGTGTACATAGTACAATGATATTGTATGATATAGGCCTTCATTAAACAATACATAATAATACGCTCTACTCTTTCTGAAAGTTTCTCAGTGGTAGTTTTTTCAAACATGAATGGCATTGTGGTTGCCTCTGCGTATTTCAAGATGTTCCAGGAAGATTCTGAATCTGAATGAAGAACATGCATATCTCTAAACGTGTAAACGCATGCGCAAAGTATAACATTGCAGAAATACATAGGATATTTAATCATGTTTAGCCGATTTTATCCGGGAGAGAAGTCAACGATTTAATGAATAAGAGCATGTGTTTTCAATTTTAAACAGATCATTCATCAAATAACCTCGACGATTAACATAAAATAAATTATTTATTTTTTATTTTTTTATGAGAGATGTGTTATATATATATGTTTGAACCAATGTCAATGCCTGTTGTTCACATTCAGTCTATACTTTTTGGTTAGGATTACTGACGGCCCGGGACTGGCCGGCAGTGGATCTCTAAAATTCTACTCATAATAATGTATAATGTATTAATGGTAGGCAGGTCAATTAAATTATAACGTATAAAATATCATAATAACTTGTTATTTTAATTATTTTAAAGCATGCGGAAATCATTCATTTTTCTAAAAAAGTTTGGTATTGTTTCTCGTTGTTTGTTGCTAAACAAATGTTTATTTGTGATCACTATAACATCACAAATACTCACAATAGCAATGTATGACAGGATGGGCAAATTAGAATTACATGTCATGAGACACACCGAATATCAAAATGACAGATCAGATGAGGTTAGTGCGGCTGTTGCAGAGTGTCACATTAACAGATACATAAGGAGTACCATTGGATTTTATGTACTATCAAGAATAAGTAATAGGACACTGCCAGAGATATACATGGACTCGTATATTGTATGGACAAGGTGTTATATCTGCTCTAAGGATCTCTAGGTAGTATTGTAAATTTGAGGAAGGCTAGTCACTGTTGAATATCATTCCCAATCTGGTTGCTTGCGGACAGAGAATAACACTACGATAATTTAAGATTCAATTTATGAAAAAGAACTGTTCCGCTGTGGAAATAGCGAACAATGACAACAGGGGTATGGAGCAGTTCAACGAAAAGTTGGCAATGACCTAGATATGCGTTTGATCTGCTTGAAATAGGTACCGAGGAATGATTAAATTAACAAATTTATCTATTGTAAACGTTATGATTTAACTGATCTGCCTACCCTAAATACCATGGCAACCTTATCTCAAAAATGATTTAAGATATAGCTATAATATTTTAGCATTGTATGTGTAATTACATAATCTTCAAGTTCTGAAAAAAATGAGAGGGATATGTGATAAAATCACAAAATGAGAGCATTTTTATCAGAATATATGGATCGCCCCTTGTATATGTCAATGTGATGCTTCATAAAAAACCGTCGGTAGTTTTTTGATAACTTACCCGTTTGAAGCGATAAAATACACAGCAATTTACAAAGGATTTACATGTAAACTCAATAGAAATATTCGTGATAAGAGTTTAGATGGTAATTTACATAAATATCTCCCATGATGCATCGCTTTGGAAGGGACAAATTTTCATTGGCCCGCCGAACGAGTCGATTTCTCTGAACGAAACGTCCGGAGATTGCAAAGTCAAAGGTCATGATCCGCTAATTTCATTGGTCGAGGATTACATCATAGCGTATAGCATCATAAGAAGATTGCTCTAACAAAATTTCAACAAATTCTGATAAAACTAGCGTGAATCTTGACAAAAATGACAGTTTCTCAACCTCCGATATTCCACCAGCGCTCGAGCGTAGTTATATGATCCAATCTATTCAATAATTAGAAATATAATCGGAGATTAAAAATTACATTATTTTTATTTTTTCGATCTTCAATGGCGTGGTGTGGGAAATCAGTGACGTCACTGGAATTGGACGGCATTTCCAACTAAAGATTTCTTCGGATTTGGGGATTATATTTCAAAAAGCCTTGTTGTATATCTTAATATCATACATATCTATCATTTGTGCAAATGTAACACTTCATAAATGTTTAATAAATCCGTAGTGCGGCATCGAAAATCGGACTCCTGTGTAATCCAATGGGAAAGAACCCGGATGTAGACGAAGTTATACCTCTCATGAGAGCTCTTCAAACGTGAGGTGACTAAGCTGAACGAAACTAAAAATTTATCGCGTATTGGCTTATTGCTTTTGTCTTTTCGCGGGAAAAGTTTAACCCATTGGTGTCACAGATTTTTACGCGGCTCATTATAATATTCTTGAGCTGACTTTGTGAAAAGGTGAATACAACGTCCCATGTCCTTCCCCAAAACGCCCCACAAACCACACAATAACTTAAACCATAACTTACGTTGTATCATCTAAACCCTTCCTATATTAAAACGTATAATCTTAACCTCCTTAATAAATATCAAATTTCCGATTGCCAAATCGGGTATATACGTACCTGTACACGAGAAAGATAACCATGGCGGGAATGAGAACCACTACACTCGCGGCATTCACGCCGATTCCGATGAAGATGGTCACTCTATAATTGTCAATGGATACACACTTCGTGTAGTCTGTCCATTCGAAATATTGGGGCGGTTGCGTATACCACGTTCCATTCTTTCTACAGATTTTCTGGGCGTTCGCTAAAATAAAACAGTTAAATTCGGAATGAACTATTCATTGAGTTTACACTGTCAAAGTAGTTTAATTTGATGCACAATGTAAAAATCAACGTTTAGCTAAAAGAATACCACACAATAAGAGAGCTAACAACTCAAAAATCGAAATATGGTATCTACAGGTTATATGATACAGCACAAAATATTATCTTAATCATAATGCATATAGTAATAAGCCTTGTATACATTTATACTTAATGAATTTATTCTACCGAACCAAATGATATTTTGTTCTCTAGACTTTTTCACCACTTCAACTTTATTCTTTTGTTACCAAATTGTTGTACCATATTATGTTCTCGTATGTGTGGGTATAAGCGTCTGAGAATGATGCCACCTACCATGTCTTATTATGTAAACTACATATTTATTCTTACTAATAAACTGAAACTGAAACAGTACAAGGATTGATTTTATCCTATCAAAGTTTGTGCATACACGATATCTAAACAGGCCAAAGATGAAAAACGTCATCGTTCTGATATATCTACTATAAATTAGACAGAAGTAGACAACTTCAAATAACTAAAAACATTGATTAAAGAAAATAACATAAAAATTAAGATATATGGCCACAAGCATTTAAAGCTGTTTAATATAAATGCAAAAGTATTACTTGATGCATTGGAACACGGGGATAAGCAAATGGTAATAATCTCCGGGGATTCATACGTGTCACGCATTTTTCCTTATCGGACGATATATGAAGTCGATTGTGACACTCTGCAAGTAAATTACATTATATCGAAATCGACAACGCTTATATTGATATTCCCGGAATAGGTGCAAGATAACTTTACACGTAGCTCCCATTTTCAGATTTAATTTGTGTTCGACTGCATTGTGAACACTTACATTTTTTTATTTTCAATCCATGACTTTCAAAACAAAATTTTCAAATCAACATTATGCTTGCCTGGTATTCTAATTTAGTCAACATACTAATACTCTGCCAGAAAGAAAAAAATTAAGGGATAAAGTTCAAAAAGATATCGAATATAGAATTAATATAACGGAACGAGAAATTGAAAGCATCATACAAAGGGGCTCAACAGAACTTGACGACCTGAGTAACAAATACGAAACTTTGAGCAATTTTAAATCTGAATTAAAAACTTATCGAGAACATTACATAGAAGGATTAATGATGAGAGCAAAACTAGATTGGTATGAGTACGGGGAAAGAACAACTAAATATTTTAGCGGACTTGAGAAAAGAAATTATGTTAATAAAGTTATTACTAATATCGAAGTCGATGGAAATCTATTAACAGATCCAAAAGAAACTTTAGAAGCACAAATGCGTTTCTATGAAGATCTTTAATTTATTCAAGCAAAGTCGATTGTACGAACGAAAATATTAATGCGTTTTTTAACAATGATCAAATGAATAAACTAAGTGAAGAGGAGAAGAAATCGTGTGAAGGTAAGTTGACAGAATGTGAATTAAAACTGTCGCTTAAAGATGCTAAAAACGGAAAATCACCCGGATCAGACGGTTTTAGTGTAGAGTTCTATAAGTTTTTCTATAAGGACATTGGCTCCTTTCTCCTTAAATCATTTAATGCGGCGTACGATCTAGGTCAACTTTCGATTACCCAAAACAAGGTGTTATTACATGTATACCGAAAGGGAATAAACTTAGAAAATATTTTAAGAATTGGAGACCCATTTCGCTTCGATTTTTTACTCTGAACGAATTCAAAGAACGCTTCAATTCAAATATAAATTTTTTAGACTTCTTAAGTCTTAAAAATACAATACAAGTTAAATGGACAAAAACGATATTTGAAAACGACAAAACTCTTGACCACTATCCAAATAGCAAAAAGCATCTATTGAAATTCACAGAAAAAATAAGATATCCTGAACAATCTATTGGGAATTCATTAAGGATCTCGATTTTAATAAAAGTTATATTTTAAAGTGGAACGATGAACTGAATATTGATCTCAATAATCATGAATGGCATATCATAAATACTATGAACAAAGTGAGTAATTTTGAGCCAAAACTAGCATCTTTTAACTATAAAGAGCTCCATAGATTTTTGCCTACAAATAAATATCTACATAGGTGCGGTCTCCAAGATTCTGCCCTTTGCAGTTTTTGCGGAAACCAAGTCGAAACTATTGGCCACCTTCTCCTTCATTGTGATTTTGCAAACAAATTGCTGAGTGATATTAAGAAATGGTTGCCAGAGGGACTGTCCGTTTTAAGTGATCCGAGAACGATCATATTGGGTCCAGTAATCATGAACGAAAAATCAATACTATTAAACACAATTTTTTGCTTTTGCATATACAAAAGATATATTTATCTATGTAAATGTAAAAATGTACGACCACATTTTGTAGGTTTTAAAAGTAATGTGCAACAATATTTTCAACTAGATGTAAAGTTGGAGAAAGGGGACAAGTGGGGAGAGATCAAACATTTATTATAACATAGTGAATTTACTTGAATTTTCTGAAGGATCTTATATATATATTACTCCGAAGAATCTACATAAAATGTAGCAACAATGCAACACTCTATCTATTCGTGGTGCTCTTGGCAGAAATACCTGCAATTTATTATAGAAATAATGTAGAATCTTGTTTATATTGAACATTTGTATTTATTGAATTGTAATGCTGCTAAACCTGAAATAAAAATCTATTAAAAAAAAAAAATTAGTAAAAGGTCAAAAATGTCCGGTGCAAAATAATTAGTAGACCCTTATACACCCTATGCAGACAGAACCTTTAAGAAATATTTGGTGCGGTATGTGCGGATGTTTGCGGATTTAACGGTCATTTTTCATTTTGGGTCTTCTTATCTATTCATAGGTGTGATCTTAACGCCTAATATCAATAAAATTGTGAAAATAGTGATGTAATTCATTCTGTAGCGACGCAGTTTGCATTAAACTTTTTGGTTTGGCACAAACATGAACATGAACGTATTTCCTTGTATGTATAGAAGTTTGATAAAGCAGTTGGTCCAAGCACTCTTAGCTCATATCAAAAACTATCATAATTCCATCGAAGGATAACGTTTCTTGTTGAGTTTTTTTCCGCACCAAGTATTTGGAGGGGACTCATATCTGATGAACATTTCCGAATTTTTATAAAATAACACAGAAGCTTCCAAGATGCAAAACTAATTTATATGTATCTCGAACATCATTTTTATGTAACCACCAAAAAGTGATGGCATACTAGTATTATTATTGTCTCAAGTTTTTTTTGTGACGGCGGTTGGCGATCGGCGGTGGCGGTTGGTAGTTGGCGATCGGCGTCTTTAACGAATAGGATAGTTTCTAAAAAGCAGAAAAATCAATGAAATCTATTGCTGCCATCTTTTACTCAGCTTTTAATTTGGGCTAGAGTTCCATTCACTTACATGCTAAATTCTTAATTTCATGATTTATCAAAGTGTGTTAGTTGAATCTGTATAAAACTTGAATGATATACCACATGCTGACCCTGTTTATGTACATGTTGTGATTAAACATGCAAATGTTGATTGACATACAAATAATCCAAGGTTTTAAAGAATTTTAGCATTGCATCTATGGATATTTTGCCCAAGTTTGTTTAAATTGTCGAAGAAAATTATTCAAATTACATATTTGTGTAAATCAAAGCTATTATAGGAGAAAACATTTCACTGAATTCAAATATGCCGTTTAAAAGAAGGTTATGTAAGTCCTTAGAGGTCTAATATGCAAGTCTCACGATTTAGCGAGATTTCAAAAGCTATATGGAAACTATACTATTCCAATAACTTCCAATAACTTAAAAAATACTGTTTAGACTGACTCCATTTTTTTCAAAATCATCTACAAGTTTTCTGAAGTTCAAATCTGACTTAAGATTTGACCTTCAATGACCTTCTCAAGGTCAAAAAAGATTAAAAAGGTCGAAAGGTATTTTTCAACTTGCTTCAAATTGACCAAATTATTTTTTCAAAATCATCTACAGTTCAAATCTGACTATATATTTGAGATCTGATCTTTAATTACCTTCTCAAAGTCGAAAAAGATTCATAATATTGTGAGCAACTAGGTGGTGACATTTTGTCATGCCTTGCCTTGTTTGTGAATGTTGGAGACGCTGTAGAAAACGACAATTTCAAAATATACAGGTCTAGAAGAGGTTCAATGCATACTGCGTCGCCATAGAACTACTATTTTCACAATATTATTGATATTGGGTGTCAACTTCACACATATGGGTAACTTATATTTGAAAACCAATAATTGCTGAGTTTAAGAAATATCACAAATTTATATTCAAAAATGACCGTTAAATCCGCACCATCCGCTCATTCATGCCGCACACAATATTTCTCATAGGCTCCGTCTGCATAGGGTGTTATGTAAGTGTTAAATGGTGCATCTTCGAGTTAAAGGATTACTGGGCGAACTTAGATATCCGGTATAAACGAAATGATATTGGTCTTCTAGGCAGCGCACGATGAAAAATCTAAATCATGAAAATATTTTTTGTGAAAAAGTTGCTCTCATACCAAGATCGATCTTTAATAACAGACAAATCGAAACCAATTCGGAATAATCATAGATCAAATGTATTCGGCATTGTTAATTCAGAAACTTGTCGTAAACGATCGCTGTAAACTATTACTAAAAGTCGAAAAAGTAGAAGTGTTCCATTTATATTCTAACTAAACATTTTAAAAGGGTCTCGTGGGATTATAACTATACATCTCCCTTCGGAAGATTGATCTGAAATGTAAGTTCAATTTCTGCTTGTTCAGCAGCATAATTACACCAGTTTTATTAATGAAAACACTGGTGATTTTTTAAACCAGCAGTTTTTAGACCCTGTAGCTAGCCAGTCTTTCTCTTCACATTTCCAGTTTTATTCTGCCATGCAAAATTGTCCCTCAACGTTTTTACAACGTTTCTCTTCCATCAAAATGGGTGTAATAGTAGGGCACATGCATTCTTCCCTTAGGTTAGGTTATCATCCCTTGTTTACATACCTGCCAACCTACCGTATTTTTACGGGAATCTACCGTAAATTTTTCGTTTTTCCGTAAAAAATGACAAACTACCGTAAAAATACCATTTTCTCCCGTTAAAACGCCCGTAAAAATCTACCGTTTTTTTCCGAAATCTACCGTAATTTTTTTTAAAAACTCGTTTTTTCCATGGGAACGGCCGTAAAATCTAGCGTAATTTTTGAAAATTTACCGTAAAATTTTGAAAATCTACCGTCGATTTTTGAAAATCTACCGCATTTCTGCTGAAATCAACAGTATTTTTGTTCAAACTACCGTAAAATTTCCCGTTATTGTTGGGAAATGCTGAAAAATTTAAGTCTTCCTGTACTGTCCCTGTAATATTCCTTTACCAACCCGAATATAAATAGGTATTGGTAGGTCTGTGGTTATCAGGTTATTGCGCATTTATCTAAGTAAGCTGGCGTGTAATCAGCAGTCCAAACAACTAACCCTTGAAGGAATTCTTTCTGCCATGATTTTTGTAGTTAACCAAACCCTTTTGTACACAGATCTTTATTCTGAATGCAACAAAAATATAATTTTTAGTTGCGCTTCATCTAAATAAATGAGTGGAAATTACAAAAACTACTTGTTTTAGCGTATGAAATATGCGTAGTTTGGTTTGTTATGATCAGTAATGAACGCCACATATACATTATACATAGTTTAATCAATTTGTTTTCAGTATGATAAAATGTTGTATTTTTCATCTGAACACATTATATCAGTAACAAATACATAATTAAAAGATAAATCACCCCAGAGATTGAGAACTCACACTTTATCTGTTGAAATGATTATATGGTTTAAAAAGGTTTCGTGGCGGTTCAAAAGTTGCACATTAAATTTGAAGAGTTTTAAGCGGGTTCCTGAGTCAGCAATGGCAGGCAGACATGATCCAAATGCATCGCTTATTAACAAGGTAAGCTGCGTTAACATACTGTTTTATTCATTAGTTTTTTAGAAATCTACCGCAAAAACTACCGCATTTTTTCAAAATCTACCGCAAAACTACCGCATTTATTCAAATTCTTCCGCAAAACTATTATTTTTAAAACCTACTGCAAAAACTACAGCATTTTTTCAAAATACCGTATAGTAAAATTACGGCATTTTTCAAAAGCTACCGCATTTTTTCAAAATTTTCCGCAAAACTACCATTTTTTCAAAAAACTACAGCATTTTTTCAAAATCTACGGCGTAAAACTCCCGCATTTTTGAAAATCTACCGTAAAACTACCGCATTTTTCGCAATCTTCCGCAAAACTACCGCCTTTTTCAAAATTCTACCGCAAAATTACACTTTTTTTCAAAAATCTACCCCAAACCGTAAAAACTACCGCATTTTTTCAAAATCTACCGTAAAACTACCGCATTTTTTCATTATCTTCCGCAAAAGTACCGGTTTTTCAAAAAACTACCGCATTTTTTTAAAATCTACCGTAAAACTACCGCATTTTTCTAAATCTTCCGAAAAACTACCGCTTTATTTCAAAATTCAACCGCAAAATTACACTTTTTTCAAAGATCTACCCCAAGCTCAGAAACTACAGTATTTTTTTAAAATTTACCGCAAAAACTACCATTTTTTTAAAAACCTACCGCAAAAAATATCGTTTTTGTTAAATCTACCGCAAAAACTACCGCATATTTGTTGAAAAATACAGCAAAAACTACCGCATTTTGAAAAAAAACTCTACCGCAAAATTTTGGTCTAATGTTGGCAGGTATGGTTTGAGTAATTAATATCATAAACTACCAAAATGTAATTTGAGTAACATTTAGTATCATCCTATGGCAAGTCGCTTTGTTTAAATTTCTCAGATTTCAGAGATGTTGGAGCGTTTCTGTGTAGTTGTTTACAATCGGACTCCATAACACGAGGAGTTGCATGAGGAAATATTTGGTCTATAGAAATTACTTGGCCGGTTAACAAGGTTTATCAACATCGAACGAATTTATCCACCATCTTGCTGAAACTATAATGCCTCGATCACTTTTGATCTAGTGCAAACATACGGCGATCGTAGCTTCCCAAAACCAAGAGGAATTTGCAATGATAAAATATAGTGATAAGCAATAGGATGTAGATTTTTTATCGATTTTGTGAAGCTACGGCCGCCGTACGTCCACTGTAGAGCAAGGCTTTACTCATCAAGTTGTGAACCAGTCCTAAATGGTTATTTACGTTAAACCCATCTTTACTTGATGCAGCTTTTCTTGACATAAAGTTTGCAGGTCGCCTCTTTTAAATGTAAATATTGCAAAAGAAATTGCATCCAGGGCTCTAAACAACAGAGGGAGGATAAATTAGAACGATACTACACAGACAGTTTTGCAGTAAATCGTGAACCCTAGAAGAAAACTTACAAATCAGTGGATTACAAGACATTGCAGTAAGGATATTTATCTTTAATACCATAATTTACCGCATTGTCTTTGAAAACAATGCTTCTTAATTCAAAACTTTATTTGCGTTTATGGATATATACCTGTTGGAAAAGCATGCTCTATAAATGTTGGACACGGCTGAGTGACATAGACTCCAGGTTTTGTATCGTCCCAACACCCAAACCCATCCCAAGTGCGCGGGCAGTACTTGCCCGTATTTGGCATCGGCGGCATACTCCTTTGCCGGTCGCAACATCGGATTGCCGCCATACAACAGTCAGTCCAGCGCGTACATTCATCAGTTTTCAACGTACTACAAACTTGATCACGGTTTGTAGAATTCGTTATATCAGGGATGAGTAGAGTACCGATTGGAAACACATTATAGGTCGTATTTCGACTTCGTAGATTCAAACCATAACTCTCCAACTCTTTGGGACTTCCATCCGGGGCGAATAAGAAAGCGTAGCATTGGCTACACGTCCATAAGTTATAATGGACCTGAGGTAGGGATCCACGTCGATCTCGGCACTTTTGTCCAGAAACACTACTGGTTGTAACCTGAGAAACACAATCACATTTATAAAATTAATCTGTTCTATTATCAAAAAATAAAATGGAAATATGTCACGTGCAAAGCGAAGAAATAAAGTATGTATGTCGATTGTTAATATTTGACAGAGCTTGAACAAAACACAAGGTTATTAGGAGAGAGTAAAAACATCGAAACATTGAAAGTAAAAACCTTTTGAATAAGTACAAGAACAGCGCAAATTATGATCTTCAGCTATTTAATTCCACTTTATTAGCTGCAGTGTTTATTAACAATACACTTTATTAATCGAACTAACAACATGATACCTTTCTATTTATTTCAACATACTTTAGTCCATTAAACTCAGTTAATCTATCATATGCAGCCAATGTAGCAACTCTCCATAAATATAATTAAAGGCGCACTATACTTAATTTAGAAGAAAAAATTCATTGAAACATGTTACTCACACACTAGCTCAAATATGACACAAAGTTTGATTTGAACCAAAAAAGTAACTCACATAGAAAAAAGCATTTGAAGTTCAGAGATCATTAGACATGCATGCACATGTCAAACAAAGCGCATGTTTTAAATTACTATTGATTTAAAAGATGGCGACACTTCTATAAAAATGAATGTATCACGTAATACAAACAACTCTGCCATCTTTCGATGACATTGATAAAAACTTGATATATAAAGCTTGACAGATCGAAAATATTTTTTGATAATTTATTGTAAGCTTTGATGTGGTCCATTTGAGCTGGTGTTGGTGTAAATGGAAGATAGGGTTCTTATTAACAAATTGGTCATACTACGAAATTTAAATGTAAGTCTTTATTTTGCTAAAAAATGTTGAAAATTCCCAAAGTGCGCCTTTAAGGTATAATAGCAATTTTTATTGTCGAATAAAGATTGATCTGTCTAAGAAACGAGACTCTATGATAAACAAATTAAAAATTACAATATTTTCTGTGAACAGCAATTTGGCTTTAGAAAAAATAGATCTACATATATGGCTATCACCAGCTTCTTAGAAACATTAATCCAGTCAATTGAAAAGAAATGTTAATATTGCCATTTTAATCGACTTGTCTAAAGCATTTGATACTGTTAATCATGAGATACTTCTTCAAAAATTATACTTTTATGGAATCAGAGGAAATGCTCTAATAAGTTGATCATTAGCTATCTTTCAAACCCACAAAACCAACACAGTCACCTGTGGGGTTCCACAGGGCTCGATCCTTGGACCCATTCTGTTTCTTATTTACATCAATGACATTGTTATAACATTTTCTATATTTAAATGTGTTATCTTTGCTGATGATACAAACCTCCTCTGCTCACATAAATATAAGTACTCTTATTAATCATGTAAACTCTGAATTAGAAGATCTTGACGAATGGCTACGTGCAAATAAACTATCGCTTAATATAGAAAAATCTAAATTCATGATCTTTCATTCACATAAATTAAAAGCATCTAAAACCTTAAATGGTTTAAATGGTTTAACAGTAACAGTAAAGTCAATTCAAAAAATAATAAATAAAAACAAATATTTGTAACCACTGTATAAAGATAGAACGGACTACTTTAAAATGGCTTATAGCTGCACGAAACAAAATAAAATTCAACAACTCCAATTTAAGATTCGTCATGGTATTCATACCACAAATGCTTACCTAACGCAGATAGGAATTAAACAGGATGATAAATGTAGTTACTATCCACTAAAGCACAGGTTTTGGGAGTGTAGGCGGGTTCAGATTTTTTTGAAAGCTATTAAAGAGAATTTAAAGAAATTATTTAATGTAAATTTTGATCTTCATGCCCATGATATGGTGTTCGGAATATCTGCAAATAATGAAAACATTTTGCCAAATAGGCTATCACTAGCGATCAATCAAATATTATATACTTGCAAAAAATGTAATGAGGTAAATCCCAACTTGGACGAGGCTCAATTCGAAAATATCATGTTTTTATATATACCAGAACTTTTGGGTATGATCTTTGTCTTGTAAAATGTATTATTTCATGTTTGATTCAAAAAAAAGAATCTGAAATAAAAATGCTAAATATTAAAATTCGAAATATACCTTTTGAAAGAATTTCAAACACTACTTTTCTTGGAGTTATTATCGATGATAAACAAAAATGGAATGAACATATTGCTCATCACAAGCAGTGGGAATTCTTTACAAAATCAAACTGCAATGATACATATTTATTACTCTCTTATATAGCCATATATAGATTATTGTATTCTTATCTGGGGAATAGCAACTAAAGCGTTGTTGTTTCAAATTCTGAAAGTACAAAGAAAGACTCTTAAGACTAATTACAAACAGTGCTAGAACAGACGATTCCTCTCCACAATTTAAGAAAATAAAGATACTTAAAATTAGAAGATATTCACAAGCTAAATCTTGGTAATTTTGTATTAAATTGTCTCAAACGACCAAAAGAATTTATCAAGCATTATACTTTGACTACTTCATATCAAATGCTCAAACTCATGAACAAGGGAAACGTTATATATTCAATCTTAGATCTAATCAATATAAATCCACATTTGGACAAAGGAGCATTAAATACATAGGAAAGACAACATGGAATGAATTATCTGAAACTTTTAGACATCTAAATTCGAGAAATTAATTTAAGTCAAATCTGAAAAAGTATTACCGGGACAAGTATTAAATTGAAATGTATAACTTTTAGCTATGTATATTTCTTTCTCCTTAATTTCTATCTTTTAAAAACAGTTTTATATCTTGGCATCTTGATTATATTGAATTTAGATAATTTGAGTTTTGTGATGTTAACATTTATTTGATAAGTTCTGATGGGTGATTATGACAAATTCACAAACGGACAAAAATACAAAATTAGGGCATTAAACTTGAAAGATGTAACACCATCACAATAATCCTTGGTATCGATAAAAATGACAGGCAGGACTCCCCTCTCTAACTTTGAAAAGAAAAAAATACATAAATAATGCCCCAGCCTACGGCAGTCGTAGTTTCGCAAAATCTAAATAACTTGGAAAAGGGCGCATCCTATAGCTTAACCTCTTCGGTTTTTAACATTATCTATGAATGTACATACATTTTTTGAGATTAGCCGCTCCGTAGTTTTTTGTTCGAACCAGTTGTTGCTAATAAGGATGTCCCCACCAGTACGCGTCAAAACGCATAACCACTTTAAAATGTTTAAAAGAAGAAGATCGGTCGTTTATTAATCCCTTTGTGATGCTATCAAATTTGAGGCACACTACCTTTTGATGTATTATATAATAATCCAGAACATCTGATCATTCTCATATTATAGCAACCTACGATCAAAAATAAATAGATAAATATATATTAAACATTGAAAATAAAGGGTAAAAATAAAAGCATCAATTATACTAACATGTTTCAGAATAGATATTTTGGATTATTTCACGATGTAGGATTCACTTAATGATCATTGTTGATCAAATGTATTACTTTAGTTGTGCATTCTACATTAACTACGAGCGTAAAGTGCATTAATAAAAACCGGGGAACCATTTTATCATCTCTAGAGAGGTTTCACATATTTACATTAATCAGTATCGGCGATCAAACTATGGTGTATCCAATATTTTTTATGAGAAACGTAGCGTTGTTCAATCAATGTCATCATTAAATATTAAAACAAGTCAGAAGGTTATGTATCTCTAAAACGAAACCCCTTGGATAGTATTAACAAATGTTCCAAATATCAGGTAGTAATGAATACGAGAATAGCCTACACTGCTTTTAAAAAGTCGGGCAACCGGGAGTCGATCACGTGTTAGAGGTTGTTTTGGCGACTTTAACAATTCGCTGGGTCATAAAAGGAACTAAATATTGCCATTAACATGAATAGGCTTCAGCACGCTATCAAAGCGACACTCCAGCTGTAAGTTCTGTAGACTTGCACATCTTCTTTTCTCTTTCACAACCTCCTGAAAATACCGAATGTCAGATTTTCAAGCTATAACGTGGCTTACTCCTCCAAAGACCCGAACCGTATATAAAATAGCCTACAAATGGAACAACCAAACATGACAGTTCAAACTTCTGTGATATGGCCGGATTATTATGATGAGTTACAAGCCCTCTTCTGTTACAATGGTTCATGAATCTATATAGACTATAAATACCGAAGTAAACCTAAAATATTGTTTATTTTTGAAATATTTTTTTCTGTAAAAAGCGTCTTGGAACAATCAGTTGGTGCGACTGATTGTATAAATGCAAATGTAAGAAACAATTTAGCACCTTTAAGAGTAACAAGTCCAATAACATGAACACCCCCGTTATGTATGAGGATAGAATAAAGAATGTATTGTCTTCATTTTAAATGAAGGGACAGTTATTCTATCGGTAAAACGCCATGAAAGATCGCTTTACACACCTTCTAATTATACCATCGAACGAAGTTTGGGGGAACATACAGAGGAGGACGTCCGTCTGTCCGGGTAATAACTCGAATAACGTTGACCCAATATAATTTATATTTATACCCTATGTGGATACACGTTCTGCTTGAAAGCTCATTTTCAAATTGGCAGCCGGTTTTAAAATGGCCACCATTTTAGTGTCAATTAAAACTGCAACATTAATATGTTTTAAATGCAAAAATGGTAAGTATATGGACACATTGTGGCCATCTTGAAAATGATGGCCGCTACACGCTATTTTACGAGTTTTGCTATACCTTGAAAAGCATTGGAGCGTTTCTGTTCATATTTAATTTGTGAATTCTCGTAAGCATGGTTCACTTTGTAATTTGAGAATTAGGCTAGTAGGCGGCCATTTTTTTATAACGCTTCGAATAATATTATGTTAATTCCTGGCGTGTTAACCAACATAGCTTGTTATTTCACATCAAGATGAAGAAAGATGTAAAGAGTATGCTTACATCGATTAAAACATCACGACGCTTTATATTCGAAAACTAAAGGGTGAGAATTTGCGCAAACGAAGGTGGTACGCAAGAGACGTAATATGTCAATCATCGCTAAAGCTCTGGGGGTTTCACTCTTCGGATGCTATAAATCCAAAATTAATGGAGCGATTTCGTTCATATTTGATAAATGAATAGTTATAGGACATTGGACACTTTGTCTTATGAGAATTTGGCTAGTAGGCGGCAATTTTGAAAAATGGCCGCCATATTCACCCGTGTTATTTACTTTTTTACTGGACTAGTAATGGAGTGATTTTGTTAAAGTTTTATATGTGACAACTTAGAAGCATCTTACACGTAACACGTTCTTGTGACAATTTGGCCAGTGAGCGGCCATTTTGAACTATTATCACCATTTTACGTGGGTTATTTCACGATCATGTTTAAAATTCTATATGTGAAAACTCCAAGGCATATTTCACTCTCGATGACAATTTGGCAAATAGGCTAATCATGGCTGTTGAAAGGATTTGCTACGCCTTGGCGTTGCTGTTATCTAGTCAAGCTATACTCACCAATATAAAATAAAGGGCGACATATCCAAATCTGATGATCCAAACCAGTTTAGACATTTTTTTCATGTCCATATTCATTTTCCTTTGCTTAGTTTGAATTTGTAGTTTTCTTAATGAGGATCCTCACAACAGTAGCATTTTTGAATGGTTATTTAATTCATAGGCAATCAGTCTCTTGAAATGGAGTTTTGTTTCATTGAAAAACTGTCCAGCAAACGTTTATAGGTTTATGTCCTTATATCACTTTTGCGATGAAAATCCCAGACGTATATCTTCTGATGTTTTTGTACGATTCTCTCTCTCTCTCTCTTGCAATTATATATAACAATCGCAAGAAGGTATCCAGATACTCGTATGTATATATTAGTAAAGTGTGAACATTTTATCAATCGTACATACTGTTGTGATTCATATTCCTTCACTGTATCAACGAATGTCCATTTTATTTTAACGCTCCATTATCAGACAATTACAGCCGTATTAAATAATAATATTAACCTAATGTGAATCGACCAGTCATCTCATGAGGCAAGTATTGAAATGCTTGGCTCTGTTAAACAACTCAGCGGCAGCGGCAGACAACACTTCCTAGCCGCACCTGAAAATGGAAAATATAATTAATACATTGCTTTAATAGCCTCATGGAATATACACTTTCTCTATTTTTATGTATTTTACGAAAAGTCATTTTTAATCAATGCTATTGGGGTTTAAATATAAAATAATCTAGATGCTACATAAAAATAGATTCAACAGGGGTGTAGCGAGGATCTTATGAGGATATCAAAGAATATGTCTTATAATATCAGAGCATGTATCCAGTGGAACAGAAAGGCATGATTAGGTCATTTATATACATTTACAGTATGCCATATACGTCCCCAAGGACAAACTATAAACGAGTACCTATTTATCAATAAAGACTTGTATATATTCACATTTAGCCTAATCAAAAGTCCATAAGCCACGAACAATGTGATAACTTCTCCCGTAGCTTGCTAATCAAAAGTCAGAGAGTAAAACGTTAACAAATGCGATAACCATTCTCGTCCATTGGGTAGTAAATCTCGATTTGAGAACGAAACTTCAAACAGCGATGCATAGTTTGACCGCTCGAGCCGATTTAGAATGTAAATGTGTTCAAGTTGGGAATGTCACGCTCATCGATCTAAAAAACACATTTCGATTTTTGCTCTGATTTACGAAAATGTGCCCGGCCAATTAGTGTTTTTTGTCAAAATCGAATCGTACGTATGCATTTTCAAAAACTACAAAATTAATTTATTTGAAATCATATTGCATGTTTCCGAATGTTAACATACAAAATGTGGTTACAGAATTATGATGGTATCTCGTATGTATTCAAGTTTTATATATGCTTTTTTTATTCTCCTCTCCCCAAAATATTCAATTTCACTAATTATCCGATTATACGCTTCTGCCAGCTGCTGGTATTTGTTTTAGATCTTGAAATATGAATGCTATTTAGACAAAAACAAGTTAAATTGGAAGCTGCTGATTTTCAATTGCGTGTTCCATTGATTTCAATGCATCAGTTCAGTTGTAGAAAAGCGTTTACCTTGATTTTTGTTTTATTTGAAATCCCTTCATGACTTTAAATGGCATTTTTGGTACCAAAAACCTTCGTTTAAAAATATCAACAATTTATCACAAAATGTCAGAAATGTACACCCCCCTTGGTCACCTTGACCTCGATTTGAACTATGTTGACCTACCTTTTTTAAAAAACAAAACTCTTCTGAAGAGGTGATTGAATATTAGCTTTACAACAATGCCAACATTATTGAGATCTAGACATGAGAAAAATGTGAGTGAGGCAAATCGAAGTATGTATCGCAGAACTATCATTTACTATTGGGAATTCACCATTGTAGAAACCTGCGATCTTACGACTTGACACTGAAGAATCGTATCACTGAGCTTCCCGACGTTTCTCGGGTTATTGATATAAATGAACAAATACTAATTTGATAAAGGGTAAAAGGCGATCAGAAGACACTTTACTGAGTGACTTGTTTTAAATTGGCGAGGAGTGATATGGAAGAGACATGTACGCCTAAACAGAATATCACAGATTCATGATCAGCAAAAGGTAACAATAACAGCTCGATGAAGAATTCCTTCGGTGTTAATTAATCGAGCAGCGATTATTAGATAGGGTGCCTCGTGATATGTTTGTACTACTGCTGTACCGCATGATTTCTAAATTGCGGGTGAACAAATCATCTAATGATTCGAAAGGGTCATCAAATAAGCTTTGTTTATCCAAATATAATGTCAACTTCCGCTCCGTGAGAGATTCCAGTCTTTTATCACAGTCTTATAGTTTCTTTACATTGAAGAATAACGCGGATGCGAGTAGGTAGTTATCAGTGTTACCACCAGGTAGCTCGTTCGGGTCAGATAACATGGCGGGTATAGTAGAAAGTTCCCTTTACTTAAATTACATCTGTTTTAGTGGTTCAATTCATGACATCACTTTGACTGAATTTTGAATATTTGATGATGTAACAGTGTAAATCAAGATTATCTCTACTAGCATCTAGTCTATTGCATCACAAAAACGTGATGAGTATATATGAATGCAACTTCATGCGATGGAATAAAACTAAGCCTTTCTTGATTGCACTGTACGCAAATTAGTCATTATTAGAAGGTACAACATGCGTACTCCCTTCCGTAAGTTTGGCAACCTGAAAATCTCTTTAGATCACCTATTAAGCATGTTTACGTTCGGAGATTCGAAAACAATTCATGAAAGACATGAATTTAATGTAGTTACTAGTAATCAAGGATCAACATTAAAATTCAAACATCGACACTCGACAGGCTCCTAATGTTCTGTTCAATGAAGGTTTCCGATTGCCGTATTCACCCTTGGTATACGCAGCTAACGAAAATTGACCGGGTCGGGTCAAAAGCTGGACCGGTACGGGTTAATGGTTTTATTTGAATTTAAAACAGCCATAACTTGCTCAATATTGACTTCCTCGTGTCTAATTTGAAATATATGATGCCTCACGATGCTTTTAAGTACCCCAATTTTTTACAGATTTTTAAACGGACCAAAACTCTCTAAATGCGCATTTATGCTCTTTTCTCTCGAGAACGACTGTCTCATTTTCACGATAACTTTTATTTAGTACTTATTACATATAAGATCTATTTTTCCCCATCAAGGTATGATGTAAATGACATGCTATTTACATCTTGTGAGTTTCAATGACGCGCGTTTGATTTAATAAAAATGCCAAACTTTGTGACAAAGAATTTCATCAGCTATTGCCCCGAACCGGTCCGTCTTCTCGCTGCAAGCAGATTGCCCCGAACCGGTCCGTCTTCTCGCTGCAAGCAGGATATTGTTGCACCACAACAATGATAATACGGTATTTCTAAAATTAAAACAATTTTATATTTTTATCCAAAGTAACCTTTTTATCTAGATAAACCTCAGATATAAATGAGCAAAACATTATATGGAGATCCCTTTGGACTGTAACTCACACGGTCGTGAATTATTTCTAGATTACCTATGAAATTTGAATGTCAGAAAGATATTTATATTATGAAAAGTATTTATGAATTATTTTTCTATAAATCCCAGTGCCTAGCTCTAATCTTGTGTCTAGCCGGACCATGTCTAGAATTGAATAATTAACATGCTATAAAATGCATGGTTTCAGTCGAACTCGTATGTCATTCTAGTTTTAGGGTTATCAAACATGAGCCGTAATTGGGAAGGGTCGTATTTTATATGCGATTTCAATGATTTATTAGCCACAGATCGTATAACTTATGATTTATATGGGTACCTTGATCACTTCTATATATGCCCTATGGTTATCATGCTACATAGACCGACCTTCAGAGATCAAAATATCAATACAGTTGAAATAGTAATTTTGATCGTTCTAAATATTTTGTAAGTAATATTTTCTGCAGAAGCCATAAACATTTTTAACCGTGGATTAGCTTGTTCAAGAGGTCTTGAAGAGATTTTTTATGCAGAGGCGAATCTGAAAAAACAACAAGGTGGAGGGCCAAACACGTGCTTGACGAATTTGAAAATTTGGTGGTGAACGAGCGTCTTTATCCACAGATATTAAACCTCCGATAGGGTTGGGACTAAGATTTATTTTCCTTTTCTTAAATTCATTAATAAAGGCCTGTTTTAGAGGTTCTGTCTCGTTTGTCAATGTCAATTGACCATTATCGAATGTAATGAAAACAATATAATATGCACGTTCCCGGCAGAAAGTATTGCTTTAGTTGTTCCGCTGCCAGCGTATGTGATTTTTCTAAGTTTATTTAGCAGAACGTCTTGAACTTTATATCATACAATGGATTTTCTGATTTTAAGCACCCCTCCATTGCATAACTTTAGTCTTGACGTAAAAGGGAGAAAAACAATTTGTGACAAGGTATCCATCGTGAAATATTGATTCGTGAAGACGACGCTCTCTTCTAAGAATCGAAGTCGAAATACTTGGTACTCTTGTACTTCAATCCCCTCTAGGTGTCAAATTATCCGGAAATGCAAATGGAGTTTATAACTTCACAACCGCTAATTCAATATATAGCCCCATCAAATCCCGTAGGCTGTTGTTATTCTAAGGTATACAAATATCTAAAAATGTCAACATCAACAAGCAATCTACTTTGCAACTGTGTTTTCCGGTATACTCAGGCACATTTACATTGATTTCTTTCGTCTACTAAATCTTGAGGATACCCTTACTGACATATTAATGTGTCATTGATGCTAACTAAAACAATATACTATAATTATCACCATTCCAGTACATCATTGCAATTGAACTACTCTTATCTTACTAATTTAGCACTTAAAACGTTCTTCGGGGCATATTTTATCGTTTCCATTGGTGATTTTGACAGTCACTGTGACTGTCCAATAGCAGAATGTGTCAGCAGGTATAGTAATTTTGTCCAACTTACCTAAAATCTGTAAATTTTAGAGGACGGTAAGTTTATGCCCATTGATGCGGCGATATGGCTTATTTAACAAATCATCCGCGATCTACGCAAAATTATTATTCCTTATTTCTTCCAAAAGAAGTATCTAACTAATCTTGATTTTTATCATTTTACGTTCAAAAGGTGTTCATTTGAGATCTAAATACAACATTATATCTAAAAATTACAGGCTGGTATCGAAAGATTTGTCCGCTGTGACGGAGCATGCTATTTTTCATAAATACACTAACACCCCAGTCACATTTGTCGCACGGCGGCCGCAAGTCGACCGCAGATCAATTAAATCGGTGAATT